CCTCCACAGCTTTAAAACATCACACATTTAAAAAAATTCTGCGTCTTTCTTCCCAACATAAGGACGGCTTGGTCAGCAAAACTGTGCTCCAGGATGTCGTCTACAGATGCTCAGATGAGCTATAAAAGCGCGCATCTCGAAATTGTTTATGAGCCAAGGTCTTTCTCTTCTCGGTAGATTGCGTGGCCCGGCTAAACTGATTATGATGGCACGTCGTTAACACCACTTTTGCTTGACTCCTCATTTTCTGAAATAACGTTGTCATCCAATATCGAATCTACCATGACCGCAACGCAGTCGCTACCAGTTCCTCGCCAAGATACGCCGCTGCCCTGATCACTCATAGAGCCAAACTTGTTTACTTGTGAATCAGCTAGTGCAGTTGGAACACATGAACCGGTGCACGAAGCCTGCCCTAACTTCGGTTGATAATTACCAGCAATTTCTCTCGTGGATAGGAGAGCAGCTTTGTTTTCATAGCTTTACATCGGGTAACAGCCCCCACTAACAGTTTTCTGGCTTATCAAATTATTGCTTTCAGACGTGTCGTTTCAATCTGCCTTAAGGCCTTTACGCTCCCCGTCAGCCATTTGCAGGTTGTCCGAATTACTTCCATGTGCACTGTCACGTTCAGCGACACCACTTCCAAACCTGTCTTAGGCGTTGTTTGGGCTCTCTGAATCAACTTTTAACGACGAGTCGGCGTGTTCATCTTCAACACTTCTAATCAGCTCATCGCGTATCACCCTGTCAAGCAATTCACCCACTGTAGCCGTGCCCTCAATTTCTTTTTCAGTGCCTTTATACTGGTCGGGCCCGGCTTCTAAGGCGTATAAATCACTTTTCAAAAGAGTGTCCTTAGGTTCAGCCGTCGTACCCTCCCATGCTTCGCCCATAGCTGCTGAGAAGACTAAATCACTTTCTGAAGCGTTACTACTCTCAAGTCGATCATCGGGACTGTTCGATCTTTGTAAATCGCTTATTACGCCTATTGGTTAACTTCGAAAGCTCCACTAGCTCTATTTTGTCGGTTGCATTCGAGGCTTTCATGGTTGGTTGTTTCGCAATGAGATTTTTTGTCTCCTGAGATGGTTTGCCAGTGTCCTGTCTAGAGACCATATCCCTGACTTCCATTGTACACTATTTGATGGGTGATTGCAGCACCAGAGTCTCCTGTGATTAATTTTAGAAAAATCTATGTTGTTGCTTCCATCGTATCTACTCAAGTCAAGCAAAGCGTGAAGTCAAACGAAAGCCAACTAAAGTCGCCCCTGATGGAATTCCGAAGGCGCGATCCAGGACATATATATACGGGGTGGCCTGTGAACGGTTGTGCACCTTGAGCAGTCGTTTTTAGGGGTGAAGCTCCTCTTAGTCTAACCTTGTCCTGCGTGTGGCGTAACCAAAAGAAGAAGAGACAATAAAAAAAGGAAGGCAGTATTTCTCGAATAGTCTAATAGACGGCGCTGTCTCATGGAAGTACATACAAACTGCAGTTGAGTGAGGATATTCTAGATGGCGCTGTACCACTACTGACTGATTTGCTGCTGTGTGGGCTGTGCCTGGGTGCGCGATGAAAGAGTACCTCCCTTAGTTTCCTGCAGTAGTCGCCGTACGTGGCGGATCGTTCGTGGGGCATGGACAAAGCATAGCGGTGGGCGCGTTGAAGATGCTTGCGCACGGCTTCTTTGGCTCGCGTCTCGTCGCTGTTACGCACGCGCTGTCTGCATTCTCGAACGCGATCGGACGCATGAACGCATGCATGGATGGACGGATGGACGGATGGACGCACGCACAAATGAATGAACAGACAGACAGGCGGAAAGACAAACATACATATGGACGGACGGACGGATGGACACACAAACAGACAGACAGATAGGCAGACAGACAGATGAGTGCAAGGACGGACGGATGAACAGATGCATGAACGGACGCATGGTTCGACGCATGGACGGACACACGGACCTATACACGAATGGACGGAAGCACGGACGGACGAATGGACAGAAGCACGGTTGGACGTATGGACGCTTCTCCCCACTCATCATCATTAACTCCGTGGATATGCTGTGTTTTTTTTTTTTTTACCAGAAGACGCCGCCTGCGTCAGCTTTACGAGGCAAAAGAAGTGGGCGGGGGAGACAGAGTGCACGGGACGCGAGCATGCGGCACGAGACGCGGGCATGCGCAGTGATGTTGTGTACAGCACCACCGGCGCCGAATCCACGACCTCGTGCGACTGAGACTTGCTCCGCGTTTAAAAACTTGAACCATATCCCCGAAGGGAACCCTGATGGGATGCGAAGCAGCAGCGTTGAGCACGGGTGGCGTCGAACGGCACTAACGGGGGTGCTGCGGTGAGCGCTAAAAGACTCGTCCGAAGCAATGGCTGGCGTAGGTTTTGTAAGTGACATGTACAGACATGTTACAACGCGCACGTTAGGCGCGCGACAGGTTCATTGCGCCTGAACCGACGAGTCGGTGGCGTAGCGAGTGGCGGCAGGTTTAGCGCGCGAACGGACGAGGCGGCAACTGCAGGTGCCACGGTGAGCACGTGGCAGCAAGGGAGAGATTGGCATCCGCGTGTACTGCGAGAGGAGAGGAACGTCAACGGGCAGCAGCGGCGTGACCTACTTGGCACCGTGCCAACACCTGCGGCGTGCCGCGTGTTCATATGGAGCATAGAGTTCAAGAAACTTTATGGTACGGAGGAACAGCGCTACACAGGCTAGTCAAAGAGCTGCTTCGCATCTAAAATGCGTTCCGAGGGCTTTCCTTCTATTTAAAGCCAAGCTGCTCTCGCATACTCGGATATAACGTGGAGAGAATTGAACACGCCCTGAAAAACGGAGGAAGCGTCAAAGCAGTGAAGAGGAAACTTGGGATAGGCAAAAATCGGATGTATGCACTAAGGGACAAAGAAGGCAAAAATAACTACCAATATGGATAGGAGAGTTAAAATAGCGGAGGAGTTTTACAGAGATCTGTACAGTAGCCGGGACAACCACGACTTTGATACTCTAAGAACTAGCACTAACCCAGATGACACCCCACCAATAATGATAGAAGAAGTCAGAAAAGCTTTGGAGAGCATGCAAAGAGGCAAAGCTGCTGGTGAGGATCAGGTAACATCAGATCTGCTGAAAGATGGAGGGCAGATTGTGTTGGAAAAACTACAGAACATAACCAACCACTATACATAGCCTTCATAGATTACGAGAAGGCGTTTGATTCAGTAGAGATATCAGCCGTCATGCAGACACTGCGGAATCAGGGCGTCAATGAAGTATATATAAACATCCTCGAAGAGATCTACAGGGGATCAACTGCTACCATAGTGCTTCATAAAGAAAGCAACAGAATACCAATCAAGAAGGGTGTAAGGCAGGGGGACACAATCTCCCCAATGCTATTTACCGCGTGCTTAGAGGAGGTTTTCAGAAGCCTAGAATGGGAACAGTTAGGGATAAGAGTTAATAGAGAATACCTTAGTAACCTGCGCTTCGCCGATGACATTGCATTGCTGAGTAACTCAGGGGAAGAATTGCAACTCATGATTACGGAGTTATACAAGGAGAGCAGAAAGGTGGGTCTTAAAATGAATCTGCAGAAAACGAAAGTAATGTACAACAACCTCGGAAAAGAGAAGCACTTCGAGATAGGTAATAGTGCACTTCAAGTTGTAAAAGACTATGTCTACTTGGCGCAGGTAATGACCGCGGAGCCGAACCACGAGATTGAAGTAACTAGAAGAATAAGAATGGGGTGGAGCACATTTGGCAAGCACTCTCAAATTATGACAGGCAGATTGCCACTATCCCTCAAGAGGAAGGTATATAACAGCTGTATCTTGCCGGTACTTAGCTACGGAGCAGAAACCTGTAGACTTACAAAGAGGGTTCAGCTTAAATTGAGGATGACGCAGCGAGCAATGGAAAGAAAAATGGGAGGTGTAACCTTAAGAGACAAGAAGAAAGTAGAGTGGATTAGGGAACAAACGGGGGTTAAGGATATCATTGCTGATATCAAGAAGAAGAAATGGACATGGGCAGGGCATGTAGTGCGTAGACAGGATAACCGCTGGTCATTAAGGGTAACTGACTGGATTCCCAGAGAAGGCAAGCGGGTTAGGAGGAGACAGAAGGTTAGGTGGGCAGATGAGATTAAGAAGTTTGCGGGTATAAATTGGCAGCAGGAAGCACAGGAGCGGGTTAACTGGCTGAACATGGGAGTGGCCTTTGTCCTGCAGTGGACGTAGTCAGGATGATGATGATGATGATGATGCTCTCGCATACTCTGCTTCGACGTTGCGGACTCGGTCGGCAGCGCCTAGTCCTCTTCAAAATGCTGTAAAGCCTTGCTGATAGCCGAAATTTCTTCTCTCAAAATGATGCACAATACCCATAGATAGATGCTCATCTATGAGGGGGGGGGGGGGGGGGGAGTTCTGTTTTTTTGGTGAGTGAATAGACGCTTGTACTCTTCCCGCACTAAACGCGAAGCGCTAGCGTTCGCTTCATCAACTCGGGAAAATCACGGAAACGCGATGGGTTGTTCATCGGACACAGTTTGTGGAACGCGTTGCAGACACCAGACCAACTCGAGCGACGTCATGTTACCTAAAAACGGCGCATCATCACGTTACTAAAGTGACCTTACAACAAGCCTCCACTCACCGACGTCGACGGGGTTTTACTACTAGTTTCATGAATTATTGAAATACTTTAGTTGTTTCAAACATCAATCTTAGCCATACTGTCACTTTGTACGATTAAAGTGTGCAATATAGTTCTGGACTTTTAGGAAAGTTGAAGGACTATTTGCTGTGCTCAAATAGCCCCGATTGTACGAGAGAGCTCTACCTTTGGCTGCACTGCTAACGGCTTGAGAAACCGAGTGTAGACAAAGATAGAAAAATGCGCATTCATTTCTCTTTTTGCAAACATACAAAATTGTTATTTACGTATTATAGATCTTATGGCGTCGCTGATACTCACGGCTGCGTAGACGAGCTGCCTGTGGTCCACTGAGAGGGTCTCGGCTGCTGCTGGCCTTCAGGTTCGAATCACTGAGGGGTTCGGGGCCATCGATAACCCGGATGAATGAAGAGCAGGAAGCTGGGGAGAAACAGCAAGAAAAAGATCAGACAATAGTTACTAGCCATTTTCTATATGAGCTATGTTCTCCGAGCACTTAATTTGACGTTTCTTTGCAAAGGTGAGTTGACGCAGTGCGTCTGAGCGTGGGTGTTTCGGTTTTACGCAGCAAAACCACGTTGACGACATTGCTCTTCCGGGACTCAGGCAGTGCTTGGATTCTAAGATCATGTTCTCTATCTCTATCTTTCCCGTTCGCTCACTCTACTGGAATGATACCAGATATCTAGTACTTCCTATATTGTAGGTTACTTGCATCACTATGATGCAGACCAAGTATGTACTGTACTAGCGAAAACAGTGAGTTGACTAATTAGTTACTGGCAGCCAGCCAGCGTAGCCTGCCACCCTATTTCAGGTGTAATGTCGAACCCTAATAAATAAGCCGAGGAAACTACCAAAGTGATCCGTTCGAAGGGTTATTGTGCTGCGCATCCGGTGATCTCTTACGCCAGAACTAAAAATAAAATGACAGCAGTTTCTGAACTGCTTTTCTAATATAAGGACGGTTTTTAGCAATCAAGAAAAGCTTATGCTAGCGGTTGGGGTGTTGATCACATGCCCTTGTTAGAGAAAAAATGGTATATGGTGAACGCCCTTCTCTCAACCATCTTCTCCCAACCACATTGTGAGCAAGTACACATTCCGGAATTATGACTTTGCTTCTGGTATAAAGCCTCAATACTTAGTCATGTTTCCCACAATTTGGTTAAACTATTTTTTTTTGAGACAACGGTTATATGCCTTCTTTTTTTTTTTTGGAGTTGTAATGTCACATTGATATGTGAGCACTTTTATGGTGCTCTAATATGAGCAGCGCATTCACTGCATTTAGTATGGCGCTTCACGGTCTGTTTATTTTCTGGCAAAATTAACAAAAAACGCACACTTGAGAATGAAGTAAACAGGAAAATAATTTTATATTTCACGAAATAATAAACATAATTAACGCAACTTCCCGCTTCTGGTGCAGCCATGAAGAAAAGCGGACCTGGCCGATCTTTCTTTCTTTCTTTCTTTCTTTCTTTCTTTCTTTCTTTCTTTCTTTCTTTCTTTCTTTCTTTCTTTCTTTCTTTCTTTCTTTCTTTCTTTCTTTCTTCTTTCTTTCTTTGCTTCTTTATCTTTCTTTCTTTCTCTTTCTGTTCCTTATTTATTTATTTATTGTATTATTTCCTCACTGCCTTGCTTTACCATGCTTCAGAGGGCTATAAGATGCTCTGGTCGCGTTCCTGTGTAGCCGAGTGGTTACGACGCTTTCTTTCGACCGTGGGCGCGTGGGTTTTAACCCCTTTATGCTTATTTCTTTGGTCTATTTTAGTCTTTTTTTTTTCTTTCTCTGCGTACTTGTGCTCTCACCAATCAGAGTGGTGGCATTCCACACCACCCAAAACAGCATGCGTGTTCTGGTGCGAAGAAGAAAGACTAAGACCACACTGCCGTATTATGTTGACGATCAATACTCGTCGACACGATGCGGAACGATGAAAACCTTATCAGCTCCGGTGTGAAATTTTAGCATGCACACTTATGAAAAAAATTCGTGCGGCTTGCGCAATGTCGCACAAAACTGTGTCGGGGTAGAGCTGGTGGAGACACGGCCGGACTGGAAGAGCGCCACGCGCGCATTCTGTTACGGCCTGCGCACCGAAGGAGGGAACAATTGGACCGGTTCTAGACAGATGGTTGCAGTGTTCGCCGAGTGGCAGCGCTTTGAGCCAACCCCCCACCCCCTCTCTCCCAACCCTCTTTCACGGCGCGCGCTCTCTCAGTACGCGCGTGCCGCTTATCATGTCCGGGCGTGCTTCGTTTTTCAATTTTAAAGACGACAGTCTTTTTTGGGGACCTTCGACGCAAAAAGTTTGGCCTGTCTGTCTGTCTGTGACATAAAATGTGAAATGGTGGCTATGAAGTCATTATAATTTGCATTGATTGCAGCGTGGTGACGTGAGGAAAATAGGGGTATAATCTTTGCGTCACTTTTGATGGTGTCTATACCACCAGCTACGTGATCGCACAAGCAAAATTCTATTTTTATGAAATATACCTTTCAAGCTACAATCACTGTTGGTTCGGCGAGGATATGCGCTTGTTCACGGAAGTCGATCCTTCAGGCCATCTCGGCCACAAAATTTTGCATCAGTATATTTTGGAACGAGTGCTGACACAATTTCGCGGCACCTCAAAAAAGCACTGCGGTTTCATGATGTAGACTATCAACACTCTCCAGACACCGGTGCCTGACAACACGTAAAAAATAGAACATCCTATTTCGATTTTAAATAATTTGTCACCAAACATCTGCAAGTCAGCCTCACCACGATAAACTGGTCGCCTTCTCAACCATTCACTACCTTATGGTCCTTCTACTTGTAGTATTATCACCCAATATTGATTCAAAAGTAGAATAATTTCTTACGAAACGAGAGCTCCGTAAAGAAGGTGCTTTACTTACGATGTGGTGTCGGTGGTTGTGTTGGAATGACGACAATCTCCGTTGAGGTCGAGCCCTCTGATGAAAAAAGAAACATGTGTCGGCTTAACGCATGCATCTGAATGCCGGAACAGTTAGGGGTTCGTAAATTTAGATAATTCAGTGTCGTGAAATGAAAATCAGTGGCTCCAACGTTTTTATATTAGGTACAACATGTTTTTTTTTTCACGTGACAGAATTTTCGCTGTAGCCAAGCTCCAACTGGGACCTAGTATAATGCTCATGTTGAAGCGTTAAACAGTTCACACATCACTAGTACACATGCATGGCTTAGGAATTATGCATATTGTAGGATATCGACGCTACATCACAAGAAAGATGGCTATGTTTCATGCTTCATGTGTGATATTTAGTTCATATATAAATGGTAAGTTCCTCAATAAAGACATGGCAAACATAAAAAAATTGAATAAGATAAACTATTTATTTTTCAGGGGAGATTAAGAACTCGAATATTCTAGGAATAGGTAGCAGCAAGTTGAGCCAGGAGCGCTTTTTTTTTCTCATTAGTTTGAAGCTCTGAGCTCGGGCCTTACGTAATGATCAAATTTTTGCTTCATGAGCAAGGTGAAAGTTTTGACAAATATAAATGTTGTGGAAAATTACGATTAGTAAAAAAAATGCTTCTTATCTATTTTCTAATCAGCAAAATAGCCTTCACCAACGAAGATACGCATGTCTCCATAAATCGACATGACCGAAGAGATTATGTGTAAATATAACACTCCTTGTCATTACCAGTGAGCCACAACAACAAATAAAACCGTTGACATTGGTTGAACAACTTTTGATTCTGACGCTTTATTTGAAAAGAAGATAATTTCATTTCCTGGCAAAATCATATAGCGCAGCTTTCAAAAAAAGGGACCGGTGAGCCAAAGTCTTCGGAATGTAAGGCAGTGCACATATTTTGGTATTTTGGGGATAATAACAGAGGTACAAAGGTATGTTCTATAAGAGGGTCTAGTTGTGCTGGCCCCAACGCTAAAAACGTGTTTTGTAAAAGTATCTACTGGTGTTGATACCAAGTGCATAAGAGGGCTTTCTTTGAAGGTTCACGCAACGTAACAAGCAGTAACTCAATTTATGTCTAACAAGTTTCAGCTTCTTAGTACCTTAAAAAGTCATGGAAAGCTCCCGCTAATTTTGACTTTGAAGGTCAGCCTTGATGTTATTGAAGATACAATTTAGCAGATAAAGAAATGAAAAGGTGTCACATCTTGGGTAAGACAAAACAGCAATACTGCTTATTATTCGTCCCTATAAGTGACCACAGATTAAAAGTGATCGAGAAGATAATTAATCGCTTTGAAATTTCCGCTATCTTTATAATTTTTCTTACATACATTAAAGGCCTGAAAATGCAAAAGAGATGAATCAGCATAACATTTAATTCGAAGCGCAGTTAAAAGGAGAAAAGTTACAGTTTTGATGTTTTTAGATAACAGTGTAGGTTAGCGACATTGCCAAGAATACTTGCAACTTTTTTTTCTAAGAAATCAATTCGCCTCGCTCAGAGAAGCATGAAATTGTCAGGCGAGGAAAAAAGAGCGTACCGCAGGAGCAGTAGAATCGAATCTTGTAGTTTTCGCATCGGCGTTCGGCTGGTTGATCGGCATCGCTGCAGGTGAAGCCATTTGTTACGGAGCAGTCGAGTCCCAGCTGACCCGTCTGACTGAAGTCGACATCCTGGTCGTTTCGGCAGCTGGCCGCGCTCACGTAGCCCTGTGATTGGGGCGTCGTGTTAGCACTACAGACTAAAGTCAATTGCATCAAACTCAATAGCTGAATATAGCACAAAAGTCTTCGGACGTGTCACCCAGTGCGTAGACGAGAGTTAGAAAGACGTTTTTTTGAAAGGAAAGGCACCATTTGTGACACCACGAGAGGAGAAGAACAAGACGAGTGCGAACAGCGTGAACACGTTTTATTGACACTTGTCCTGTTATATTTTCGTATTGCCTGAAATTGCGCATGTGCTGCCGGGACGATTCACTGACCATCCGCTCAAGAAGTACTTTGAAAAGATATACTTCGTGCATATATGCCATAGCGCAACGTGTTGCCAGATCTGGGAAGTGCCAGAACAAAGTGCGTTGATGTGCATGTGAAAATGGCCTTTTTATTGTATTACTGCTATTTACGCCATGAGCGCATCATAAACGTGCAACGTTAACAGGAGTGCACTCATCATTGAGGCTTTCGATAATATTCGGTAGGAACTCTCGTTGTTAATAACGTGCACCTATGTCTACATAATTGAATAGTAAGGCATTTCGTTCATATACAAACGGTATTTTAACGCCTACTTATTGAGACCCTAATTTTGTGCTTATAGAGGGAAATATATCTACTGCGATGTTATAAAACCTATTTTAGCTGTGTGTGACCCTAAATTGTAATGAGCAACCACTGACGATTCCGTGATTTAAAACTGTGCATAGTGGGATAAAAGAGGCGCCTAATGTATTTCATTCAGAGATAATATTTTTGATTATTCATTTGGAGCGATACTTAGTCCTGATGAAGTAAGATGTATAAGGTATAGTCTGTCCAATGCAATTTTAACAAACTTTTCACAGCTCCGGAATTGTCATTACGAGAAAACCGGGATTAAGGATATAATAGTTAAAATCAAGAAAAAGAAATGGACATGGGCCGTGCACGTAGCACGTAGACAGGATAACCGCTGATCATTAAGGGTAACTCAGCTGGATTCCTAGAGAAGACAAGCGAGTTAGGGGGAGACAGAAAGTTAGCTAGGCCGATAAGATGAAAAAGTTCACAGGTGTAACGTGGCAGCAGAATGAATAAGACCGTCTTGATTGGCGGAACACGGAAAAGGCCTTTGCCCTGCAGTGGGCGTAGTCAAGCTGATTACGATGGTGATGAAACAACATAGGGACATAATTGTATATTGTAAATCTTACCAGTGCCGGTACATTCTGCTCAAAACAATTGTGCCGTGTTATTTGAGAGACACGGAATTCCCTGTAAGGCGTGCTTTGTGTTATGTGAGGCTTGTTGTAGAGATAAAGCGTTTGAGCCATTACTACACTCTAATACGGGCTTTGCCGCTTCAAGCACAGTTGCGCGGAGAAACATGAAATGTTTTTCTACACAACTCAAGTAATTACACTTACGCCGTAAACACTCACGGATGACATCACCCCCACCCCCTCACAAAAAAAAAAACGTACGCGTGCATGTGCATGTGTGTGTGTGTGTGAGGATAAATAGTTGGTGCTTTAATGCTCTGCAAAATTAAATTTTTTTTCCACGTTATGGCAAAAGCAGTGCGTACTGTATGGTACTGTTGAGCTTTAGCGGTTGTTTGAAAGTGCGTCGGCACCTGTTCTTCATTTCTATGCTTTTTACACTGAGCTTTCAAGCGGCGCAGCATGATTTTGTGAAACACATGTGATGTCCTTTCAAGAAATTATAAATTTCTGACGCGGAATATGTTTTAACTTTGTTTTGTACATGAGCTTGTCAGTTGCATATGGATGATTTTGAAGAAATTTCAAAATAATAAACTGAACTGAAGTCAACTGAAAAGACGAGGACACGAGAAGAAGAACGTCACAAGACAGGCACTGACAACCGCCTGTACCCAGCGTCTGTCCAGTGTCATCCTTCTCATGTCGTCGACTTTTTGCACTGCTTTTACCATGAAGATTAAAAAAAAAACTGGAAAATATTTTTTCTTCCGAATACAGTTTGAATAGCTTGAACGAACTAGCTCACACTTGCGTGCTATTGCCGTGTTGAATGCAGTCGTTTTATAAGCAGTTTTAGTGCTTTGCCACATGGCTACCCTTATGAAGGCAAAGCATGCTTTGCAAACTAACTAACTTGGAGTTTTCGTAAAGCGTGCTTTGCCACACTAAGGGTAGTGCTGTGGAGAAACACCCAACATATTTATTCGTGCATCTATTTGTTACGTTATAAAACTATATATTTGCAACGATTCAAAACATTGTCTGTTAGTTGTGTAAAAACTTTTTAAAAGTTACAAAACCTCGCACCATGTTCTGCTCGGTAGCTTGAGCCTGCTTGCAATGAAGGTTAGTTAAGTGAACAAATAGGGCTGCACTCTAAACGTGGTAACGGGTAAAGGTGATTCTGTGCACATAAAATGTAAAAGTTACATCATATTACAGTGCAAACATTATAAATTTGGTGACCCTTACTATCTATGCATAAAATAACATTTTCGATAGCCACGTTTACAGTGTATTGTATTCGCCCCGAAGAGAAAATTGGGTTTCAAGTTATGCTGCTGAGAACAAAGTGCAATACGGGGAGGAACGGTACATTTTAATTATTTTTTACACAATGAGTTTATGCTGTATTTTAATAAAATGAACGGTGATTATAAATAGCAAGTTTGCTACCTTCCTCTTGGAAACACGTGAAGGGAACTACAAACTCAGCACTAAAAAAAAAAAAACATGCACCTTCTGGGAAAATATAGGCACACACTAGACGAAGGGTTGTTCAGTGGTGTCACTCGACCAAAGCGACATCGGTAGGTGCCTTCGGGAGTTTTGTGGATGTAGTTAGATAATCATAAAACCATCGTAAAAGATTAGAGGGGTCACACAGCACTCGCCTGAAGTATACGTTTGGTCTTCCTCTAGAACTTCTCACACCGGCAATCTAGTTCCCATTAAGAATTACTTGAAAGTTTGGATTCACGAAGTAGTGTCGTACTCACATGTTCGCAGAAGCCCTCAAGCTCAGGGTGGCCGCGAACTCCAGGCTCCCGCTCGCCGTCATGACCATTAATGCCGGGTCGGCTCGTGTCGAACCACTCGGACCAATAGGCGCACACACGTGGTGTCGTGACGACAGCCACGGTGGTCGGCACGGGTGTCGTACTATATGTGACGCGTGGGGGCAGCACAGTCGGTTCACCACAGTCGCAGTAGAAGCGCACCTCGAAGTCGACACAGCTCCTGCCCTTCGGCTGAGCGCTGCTTCGGCAGAGCAGTCCGGACGAGAGGTCGCAACGTACACCAATCATGCCGAGCAGATTCCATGGTACCTGCATTTGGTACGCAGGAAAAAAAAAGCTTAGTAAATAAATTTACACGTCGTAATTGAGGTAATCTTGGTGCGGGTGGGAAACACAGGTTCACTTCCTCCGCCCATATCCCGTTCAGAGGCGGTGGCTACGTTTCTGAACGCAACTTATTTACGCTAGTAGGATTAACTTCTGAGACAGAAAATCGTTAAACGAATTGAACCTATTGCATGGTGAACATGTCCTGACTTAACTTCGGTGTAAGGCGTATGGCTGTGTCCAACCGCTTTCTTGGAAGGACTACGATTTTCGACGGGTCGTTAGATGTGCTGCGTCTCAGAACCAATGTGAAACGTTTTTTTTCTATCTTGAAATTAATGCAACAACAACAACAACAAAAAAAAAAAACTGATTGCGTATAGATTTCAACCTATGATTACAATCTTTTCATGTAAGAATAAAAATTGAATACCTGCATGACAATAAAGTATGTAACCACATGCTAATTACAATCATTTGCTGAAACTACCACAAAACAACACATTGCTTTAACATTGGTTTCTTGAATATTTGGTGCTAAAGTTGGTTCGCATCTATTTTCCACTTTTTGCTTTTTAGATGAGCGTACAAGCTCCGTACACATGCTTTTGAAAAATCCCCTGCAATACTTTTCTGAGAAAATGTACATCCATTCTGGCATGGCGTTTGCTTTAAAAGGGTCCCTGAAACGGGTTTTCCAGCTTTCGTTTTTGATTAGACTACTAATGGAGCAAATCATTGGCGCCAGAGTTCACTCGAAACACCCATCATTAACGAAGCTACGAGCACTAAAAAAGTATCCTCCTCCTCCGCTCCGCCCTTCACCTTCAACTGCCCTCAACTCTTCCTTGGAGCGCTCGGGGCTAAGCTCCGCCTTCACGGCGCTTGCGTCACGATGTGGCGTGAGACCACATGCGCGTAAATACCGCCGACGATTCGATGCTAACAGTCTGTGCTGCGCGTTCCACAGCCAATCAGGTCAGCTGGAAACAATGACCTCAGTGGGACAGAGCGTCTCGTTTGGTGTGTGGGCGGTTGAAAACGCGTTTGGCCTATTTGCAGCGATCTGCAGCGATCTGGAGCGATTCGCAGCTCCAAAGCGTAGTAATAAATTACACAGTATAGGCAGAGAGCTCAAATCAGTCTCTAAGTTACCCTTGGCACTTGGTATACCGGCCCAATGTGTTTGTAAAAATTATCAAAACTGTTTCAGGGTCCTTTAACTTTGCGTTTTACATAAGCTTGTTGGTTGCGCAAGCTTGCATTTGAAGAAATACACGTTAAGTCTTTCCGTAAAAATATGCGTTGCTTCATGGTATGGCAGGTTGACTGGCAAGGTGGCGTGATACTGTGCGCTATAAAAGCGAATGATTGGTGCAATAAAGTTCACTTGTAAGTGCAGTGCTCGTCCAATGTTCCTTCATCTTCGTCCTTTGTTGCGCTGTGTTTCCCCAGATAAGTATGTACAGACTAACTCTAATCAAAGCATTGCTTCATTTGTTTCTCGGGTTTTAATGCTGAGTTCCGGAGAATGGTGCTATGTGAGTGACACATTCGTAGACAGGGCCTCATACATCAAAATGGTCACTTGTTGGGCTTGTTGGTATGAAACCTTGCATAGAGGGGCGCATTTTCGGTTTGGGAGAAATAACATAAGGTACAAAAGGTGCTCACTTTCAAATGAATTTGTTTGAAAAAATTCACATGAACAAAGCTTATGCGCAAGCGCTTTTACAACAGACACATTCACAAAAATATTGCCATATTGCTGGAGAATGCGGTAACAATCTGAGGTAGCTCTAACCGTACCACATTTAATCAGTTTAAATAGTTAACTGTTGTGAAGGAAGCTTATTTCCTTAACGGTCGATGATAAGTGTATAATAGGAGCATCGTAATTGGCTCCTGAAGGCGATATTTTGAAGCTGCCACCTTCTTCTCTTCCCTCCTCCTTCCCCCCTCCTCGCCAAGAGCAAACAGAGCCAAAAGACAACGCATAAGTTCTCCGCCTCCTTGCCAGCTCCTCCCGTCCTCCCGGAAAATGAACTACTAGTCGCGGGTGCCCCCACCCATTTCTCTCATTAAAAAAGTCCAGGCTCCAGCCTTGCACTATGGCTTGATTGTGGGGAATGTTATAGTTGGGGACCGCGAATTAATCTTCTCAAACTCGGTAATCGGGCTCGTTCGTTGTTCGTGATCACCTTAGATAGTGCTTAAAAGGGGTGCACAACTACAAGAAAAACACACACACACCTGGTATTATTTAGCGTGTGGCTAAATCTAGACACACGGGTATTTACGCACTTCTACACAATCGAAATGCGTCCTCGTGCTTAGCAGCGCAAAACCTTAATAATAATAATAATAATAATAATAATAATAATAATAATAATAATAATAATAATAATAATAATAATAATAATAATAATAATAATAATAATAATAATAATAATAATAATAATAATAATAATAATAATAATAATAATAATAATAATAATAATAATAATAATAATAATAAATTAAAAGCAGGATATGATTACGAGAGATGTTATAGTGAAAAGCTCCGGAAGTTTCGACGACGGGGGGTTTTTTAACATGCACACGGGCTTCAAGCACTTTCACTTCCATCTACAATGTGGCCGACGCGGCTGGGATTCGATCCCGTAACCGACAGGTCAGCAGAAAAACACCATAGCCACTAAAAGCACGGCACCTCTTTCCCTGAACTACCTGGGCGGGTCATTCATGCCACAACAAGGGGGTCACTCACCTTGATTTTACCCTTATTGAGTCAAGCAATCTTTATGTGGACGTGTGGCAAATAGCTCAGAAAGTCTTTTAGATGCCCAATGATAGCTTTTGCACGAGAAATTCAAGTACACATACTTTTAAAAAATTTGGTTATTATCAAATCACTTTACGACAAACGTAATATGCAACTATAAACAGTGTACTGTGAAGTCATAACCGCTTTTAATGAATTATCAGGGTGTCACAACGTTCGTGATATAATGAGTAAAGCTCGCAGTGAAACTGCTGAGTTTAAATAATTTAGGGGAGGAGGAAGGGGCAATGTTTGTGGCACTCTTTTCAAGCAAATATCTCGGATCGGGTGTCATGCGCAAACTTCCCTGAAAGTGGTTAGGCCTTGCGAACTCGTAAGCTACAATCTGTCGATCGCGATAAAGGATGCAAAGCAATTATTTAAATGTTTAGTTATTCCATGGTGTGCTGCAGTTTCTCGAGCACGCAATGTTCCCCCATCCGGGTAATTCAGGTGACAGGCACAACTTATGGCGTCAATCGGAGACACTGTTTGAGTCTTTACAGATGTGAATACTCACCTGCAAATACCAATAGCTACAGTGATACCTTTGATAGCTATGCTACTTATAATCATCGTCATCATCAGCCTGACTACGCAGGACAAAGTTCTTGCCCGTGTTTTGCCAGTCAACTCGGTCGTGTGCTTGCTGCTGCCACTTTATACACGCAAACCTCCTAATCTCCTCTGCCCACCTAACTTACTGTCTCCCCCTTCGTGTGTTTGCTTTTCTGGGAACCCGGTCAGTTCCACATCATGCATCTTATCTATTGTTACCCAAAGCGCCAATACCTCAACTAAGTCAACCCAGTTTTGGGAAATCTGCTTCTACTACTTTTACCAGCAATAACAGTCACAAAAAATAAAATGAACATATATATTTGTATTTGTGGCTCGGTGACTCGAGCAATTTCTCAGGTACAGTACGTCAACTACTTTTTTCTTAGGTAGCTGACAGCTGCCTAGTTCGAGAAATGCTGATAAAGTTCAGCAATATTTTGAATAAAACCCTGGCAGGTATACAGATTGCCTGCGCTCGATAAGCTGGAAAGAGCAGGTGCTGGAGGCTGCTACGGGAGTATTTGCTGATCAGCATGTGTGCGGCTGCAACGCCGTTATAAAAGCACCAAAGTTAGCAGAATGCCGAAACTTTAAAAAAAAATAAAAGCGAAATTATTTCGCCACTGGCATGCGGTGTCTGGAGCCTTCGAAGCAAAGGCGTAAGGAGATCTTAATTGAAACGAAGGGGCCAGCTGAGAAAGACGAGAAAGTTCACCCTCTTTCGAAAGAAGTTATGAATGGTTGTTTTTGCACTGGGTGATGTTGTAACAAAGATCCCGCCTCCATTTAGTAGAAAGCGTCTGGAAATGGCATGGTCACCTACACAATTTGTGTTTTTATTGAGCAAGCAAGTGGCCTCTTTTTATAAAAGAAACGTTGAAAAGGAACATTTTCACAGGAACGTTTCACGGGCATTTTGAGCACGCTGTTTTGGTGCGCTACGTGGATCAATACAGCCAGAAACTCCTTTAGGCTTTTGAACCATGCCTTGCCCACAATAAAAATATGCATTTTTTGGTTTTAGTACTTTAGATGGATGCATGATAGAAATGTAGGAATAGATGGAAGGGAGGGGAGCTTACCAGTTCTTAGAACGGCTACGTTGTACCGGGAAAATAAGGCTAGCAAATTTAATAAAAAACTTGCCCCCATACTCCCCCCCCCCCCCCCAAAAAAAAAACGTCTGTTTCACGGCAAAGCCGAAGCAATGAATGTGAACTAAGATGTTGTATAAAGTTACTCGGTCGTTTAGCTATAGACGCGGAGTAAATCATGAAAATGCTGGCTCAAGGAAAGGTGGCCGCTGCCACGAAAGAAGCGATCTTTGCTCTTTATGTCACTTCAACCCAAGCTAAGCGGTGGCAGGTAGAATTCATCTCACTGTCAAGACAGGGTGTATGCTGCACCACCTCGCAGATTACGCAGCTCCTGTCGAAGCCGTGCAGTGCGTCCCGTCCAACTCCATTGGAGCCTCTGCAGACCTTTCAACCAACCGAAGGAGCCGCTGTCATCGGCTTCCCTCATAGGCTTGGACCGCAAATAGAACATACGGCGCGTTGGATGATGTTATCGTCCTTGGTTAGGTTCGGTTAGTGTGGGTTAGGTGAGATTTTATACGAAAATTGACGACTATGTTAATGGGGGAAGTTCACCTAGAGCGTCTATATTATCCTAATAATAGAAGAAAAAAAACTTCTCGATGCCACAAGAAAGAATTTTCAGACTCCGGTCAAAGGCTCCCTCAGATGAGAAGGCCTGAAACTGATTGCTGCGTTCCTTAAATAGAGCAGGGTTTAGATGCCCCAGGTGACAAGATAAAGTAGCAGAATTCGCGAAGCTTCCAAAAATAGAGATAATAGCTTTAATAGAAGTCCTTTCTGTTGACACGCTATGTATAACAAAATTAAGACGGGGATAACATCAGTGATGCGCGTGGGGCATACGACTGACGCAACACACATAATACACAGTGTCGAAGTATTTCGTTGACATTACCGTGATAGCCACGCCGTGGTGGTATAGTGGCTAAGGTACTCGGCTGCTGACCCGCAGGTCGCGGGATCGAATCCCTGCTGGGGCGGCTGCATTTCCGATGGAGGCGGAAATGCTGTAGGCCAATGAGCTCAGATTTGGGTGCACGTTAAAGAACCCCAGGTGGTTGAAATTTCCGGAGCCCTCCACTACGGCGTCTCTCATAATCATATGGTGGTTTTGGGACATTAAACCCCACATATCAATCAATTACTGTGATACCTCAAAGTCCTTCAAAAATGCATCGTGAAAAATGCAGCCTATGCTCTTGCGTCATCGAGGCACGTACCCGAGTTCCAGTTTCTCTGCACTCGATCGACGTCGGCTTTGGGCAGTCTAGCAGACCAGATTCAATCACCGACTGCAAGCTCTCCTGGTCTCCGAGGTTGTCCAGTGTGTGACTGTTTATCCACGAACTCCAACCTTGGCGGCACTCCGGTGTTACAACCTCCTTCGTAGTCGTGGTCGGAACGACTTCCTCTGCGATGGTATTCAAGATATCGAAAACATTAGCTGCTCAATTCAACAGTCTGAAATCACCAACAACGCGCGATCACGTCACAGAAAAAGACACCACCAGGCAGGTGCAAGGCCAGTGTTGTGGTGGTATCTTGCGTCTCTGTTTTTGCCTTTTTATTCTTTTTTTGCATTGTTACGTAGGAAACCGGACGAGAGTCTGGTTAATCTCGTAGCAAAACAGTGAAACAACAACACGAACAAAGTAGAGGACACGGGGCTGTGTCCTGCATGCTCTTCGTCCCGTAGTGTGTGCTGTTTGTACCAATGTTCACGAACCAACAAGCCCACCTAATAACCCTATGGTTTACCTTAATCCCGGACTATTCTATCTCTCTCCCTCAGTTTAATGGTATTGTTGTCTCGGTACTGACTGTGCGCTGGTTTCCTGACAGAACTTGCAATAGTGTTCGTATGTACAAGGAAGCCGCACAAACCATTACCTATCGCGCGCTTCAATTTCCTTCCCCCATTTACGCGAGTGGCCCTGCACTACATTTCTTTACTTGGTGCACTGTGTCCTCAATCCGGGATACAGCAGACGCTATCTACTGGTGCTCTACACAGATTAGTTTACAGTTTTCATAAGTGTTAAATAAGAATTGTTAATCACAGGCTAAATTCACTTAGTACTTGAATGGTGCCTCTGGAGTGCTGCAGTTACTCGCCCTCAGGTGCGTGCACGAATACAGCGGGCAGCAACCCTCACAACAGCCTACCTTCAGAAACAAGGCCTAAATATATCAACTGTGAAGTGCGCGTTGATGGCGTTTACACGCAAACCAATGACGCCATACCCTGTTTACATCAATGGGCAGAGTGTCAAATATGCACGGACGCATCGTTTCCTGGGCATAATAATCGACAGAAGTCTTTCGTGGAGCCCGCATTGTGCGTACTTGAAGAAGAGACTGCTATCTATTGTGCATATCATGAAATTCTTGTGCGGTAAAGCAGGGGGACTTCTGTGGCCTCCATGCTACAGCTGTACAGGGACCTATTTCTGGGTCTATTGCGCTACAGCTTGCCGGTACTGACTAACACTTGCAAATCGAATACTCATTCATTGGAGAGTTTGCAGGGTCAGGCATTGCGTAACTGCCTAGGACTGCCCCGATGCGCTTCTACTTATGCCGCAATCATGCTTGCCAAAGACCATCCGGTCAGGACATATATAGTTGTGGATTGCCTCAGAGCGCACATTCGACATGCTAGCCGTGTCCCCGACCACCACTTGGCCCTTCTACCTTCCGGAAGACCACGTGCTACGTTTTCAGACGTCATAGCCAAGCACCTAAACAGCATTCCATCAGCATATACGCCAGCTGCGAGAACGGCTTGTTCTTTGTGGTGCCTCGACCAGCCGCAAGTACGTCTAGAAATTCCGGGAATCAAAAAGAAAAGCAGTCACTCCAGAGTAGCATTGAAGCAAGCAACACTGCTATTATTACATGAGTTGCTCTTAGACCGAACGCAGATATACACTGATGGGTCCGTCTCATCCAGCAGCTCATCAGGTGCCGCTGTAATTCCGGCTGCAGAAATGACAATCAAGTTTAAGTTGTCGCATATGACTACATCTACGGCATTAGAGCTGCTATAAGGGCTGCTTTACAATATCTCGTTCAAGAACGTCCAGGAAAATGGGTCATATTCTGTGATTCGAAGGCAGCGCTTCAGAGTTTGCAGTCTGCCATGCGTAGGAGGAGTCATGACCAACTGGTACAAAAAATAAGACATTGCCATCATGAAGCTCTTGTACGAGGGCATGATATTATATATCAATGGCTGCCTGAACATATCGGTATTACCGGAAATCAATTAGCCGATGATGCAGCCCGCTCAGCCCATGAAGAAACCCGTGTAGTCCGGATTCCTCTATCAAGGAATGATGCAGCAAGACAACTTTACCTGCTGGCTCGAGATCTCACACGCACGTTCTGGTCGTCTACCAGCTTCCAAAGGTGTCAATTTTATGAACTGGATCCTTCGCTCAAGCTAAAGCTGCCATCACAACTTTCCCGCTCCGATGCGACACTGTTATGCCGCCTTTGGTTGGGTGTTGCATTTACAAAGGTGTACTCCTTTCGCATTGGTATGGCAGACACTCCTACATGCGACTACTGCGGAGCTGAAGAGACCATCGAACACGTCCTGTGCAGCTGCGCTTGCTACGACACACAGCGATGCCAGCTCCGGATGGTTTTGAATCGACTTGACCCCGGACCATTTTGTGTGCAGAAGATACTAGGACCTTGGGCATCTGCCTCAGTTGCGCAGAAAGCAACTAAAGCACTGCTACTTTACCTCAAGTCAACAAACCTGAGTGACCGCCTGTAGACTGTGTGTGCTCCCCGAGTGTGCTCGTGATTGTGTGTACCTTCTCATCTTTCTGCAACCTCTTTTCTCCCCTTTATCCCTTCCCCAGTGCAGGGTAGCAAACCGGATATGCGTCTGGTTAACCTCCCTGCCTTTCCTTGCATCTTTATCTCTCTCTCTCTCTGAATGGTGCCTGAGCAGCTATTGGTGTCTGCAGCACGAACGCTTCCCTAAGTGCACGTCAAGCCACTATGCCACTAGAACAGCTAGATGGTGGTTTTTAAAACGACAACAAATTGACGACAACGGGCCCCCTCATTTTTACCATTACACTACGGCGACGTACCTCCTCACCGTAGTTATTACTTTATGGTGATGGGCCCGTCGCTATAGCGGCATTGCTATTATGACGGGCCCCCTTGCTGTTAAGTTTTCACCAAGCTGACGTGCCCCCTCACTTTCACGATAGCACTCCGTTGACTGGCCCCGTCGTTATATTCACCGTCTTTTTGGATTGAATATAAGGTAAGTTTAGTGGTGTAATTTGCGAGACACGTCCGCACGTATGAAATGCTGCGTTATCCTGGTCGTGAGATGAAGACAGCCAAATCCGCTGGAGAGAAGCAGTTTTTGAGCGCCTTTTCTAACAGAATATTCGTTTATGCAGTGCACATGCTTAACAAGTACACCACCGCACTGGTGCGTTAGTTTATTGATAAAAGCTAAAATTTTTGAGCAGACTAAACGTGGGTGGCTCTATTCTGAAATTTTCTCTCTTTGTAGTGTAATGAGAGTTCTAATCGTCATACTGAGAAGGGCCCCGTAAGACTATTAGTTCAAAAATTTGTTTCAAAGCACTCCTAAGTAGCTAAATATTGGTTTCAGTAATGAGGCTCCAGGCCCAATCCTGATAAAAAAGTATACCATTGGCATAACTTTTTTTTTAGTTCACTTGAGTAGAAAAGAAGCTAAACAATGAAAAAGAGTCCAAATGAGCACGAACATGCACAAGAGGTGATAACAAACTGTAAGATGTGATGCGTGACCTAATTTTAATAAGGTCATATTCACAAATACATCTGATGCAAACTTTGGCGGTTTTTACGCGCCAGAAATACGATCTTTTTTTTTGAGACACGTTGAAGTGAAGGGGGGGGGGGACTCTGGTTTAATTACGACTAACTGGGTTAATAATGCTTACCTAATCTAAGCACTCGAGTGTTCTTTGCGTTTTGCGTTTATTGAGATAAGGTCGAGGTGGCTACGAGTCGAACCCGCGACCTCAAGCTCAGCTGCGTGATACTTCACATGAGCTACGGTATATAGTAGAAATAGCCAGTCCTAAAGCAGGAAATTTTGTTTGTGAAGCTGTTTTGCTGATAGACGAGAAAACTTACGAGCGAAAGGCCTTGTGAATTCATCGTACACTTTTTTCTGATGATTGCCCGCGATAGAAGCAAACAACTTTCCGTGCACCCTCTTGCTCACCACAGGGACAGTAGAGGCGCACTTCGTAGTCCAAGCAGCCGCGTGGCCCATTGTCGCTGTTCCAGCATCGCATGCCGTGCTGCAAGGAGCACTCCACTTTCTGTCCAGCTTGCGTCCAGTGCGTCTTGTCTGCAAATGAAGCGCCAAGGCAAAGCTGCTCAGCGTCGTGAATGTTTACCGAGCGGGCCTGGTAACCTTGTGTCTAGATAAATGTGGATCGTCAGGTTATATGTAGTCTGACGTCTGCAATATGTCGATTACTAAACAGCCTAATTAACAAAAGAAGCCGAATACACTTGTAAGTGGAGGTCACTACGTGACAACTAAATGCTCATTCTTTTTGGAGAACCAAAAGGAACTTTAATCATATCTAAATATATAGCCACCTGCATTCTGGTGCTCTCGCGGTCATTTCGTTAAGTTAGTATACACCGAAACTAACGCAGGATAACATCGTTGTATAAAGAACGCGAATGACAAGTCATTTCATGGTTAACATAACATTCCTGCATCCCCATCATGATTGATAGTAAACACGTAAAAAAGATATCAATTAGAACAAATTGCTACCTTTTTTACGTGTCTGCTGCTGAACTAGTGTCTGCTGCTGAGGTCAGCTATTGTTATGATCGTTATCATCGTAATGATTTTCATTACCACCTCCCCATCCATTATCATCATAAGTTACAGTGCAGGGTGAAGGCTTATCGCTGATATATTTGCTGTGCAGTATTCAATTGCAATTCCACACTTACGAAGCCACTCTGTCATTCAAGTAGATCTTCTCAACCTATAAGACAGCTATCAAATCTATTCACTTGTCTTAATGTCAAGCACGCAGCACGCTGGCTATTTACGCTTGCTGACTACCCCGCCACAGCATCTTGTTCCGTATTGTGTTCTATGATTCTTAGCTTTGTGTCAACCACCTTCGTTAACGTCCGAATGTCTACTCCAAGTGTTACGGTGAGCTACACATTATGAACGATATTGTCAAGGTAACCCACTGCCGGTGACTCGACATTCGATGGCTGCAGGGTCGACGCATGCTTTGCCCTCAGCCTGAAGCGTCCGAATGTCTTCGAAGTCGCCGGGCCCTTCAGGCACGTCGTCATTCAACCACGGAGTCCAGCAGCCACCTTCGGGAGATGCTGCCGTGAAAAAAAAAAAAAGAAACCGAAAAGCGCAGTCTTGATTTTATTCGCAGACTCACAAAATACCAGAGCAAATATGACAGTTCAGCGTTTTCAGGAGAAGGCCCAAAAAAATAAAAACTATGGCAAGGCCTCCTATCATAATCGAACAACGCAACTTTAGTTAGCATATGGATGGCTCATATATGTCTGGATTGACTGTACAAGTATAATAAATTACAAAGGTGTAATATTAGCACGATAACTAATTAGTTATTTGTTGTGAATTCATAATGATTGCTCTATGTATCTTTTCTTATCAACAGGTATTTTAGTAAGAATCGGATGATTATTTCAATAACGCAGGAGAATAGCTACGTATATGTACCACAGACACTACAAGGAGAAAATATTTGAAAATAATCGCATTGTGCTGCATCCACCAATGCATAGCCACGAGTTGGTGATCTTCACAATTTGTTGCTCACACTATCTCGAGTAATGGCAATTCTGCGTTGAATCTCGAACATTTTGTCGCCTTAGTGGTGCAATTGATATTTGGCCATTCAGCAGTGTTTTTATACCTAAAATCTCTTTGGCATATGTAACAGGTTTTTGCTCTTATTAATCAGGAACTCAATTTATTTGCTTATTAAGCAATACACTCATTTTAATTTATTTTAGTTATAATAAGGACTGGTTACTTACGTGACCACACTGTCGTGGGCACTGGCGCTGCTGTAGGAAGAAAAGTAGGCATAGAGTTAGCGGATCACCCAAACATACATTATTTAGGTATTTTTTTCTATTACTGTCCCAGTATTTTCGCAATTAGAAACGATGATCTAATGTGGCATTCAATAATTTAGAGGACTACTGCGTTTGGTATGCTAACTTTTTAGAAAATAATTTACTATCCTTTTGGACTGAAATTGTTTTAATATCTAGAATGATACAGATGAGTGCAACAGCACTAACCATGTCCTTCGTGCGTTCCAAGTCACATAATTGCTACCTCCAGTAAGACTTACGTTTGTAATACTTCAGAAGCGTTAAATAAGTAATTCATTTTGGTTTTCTCTATTTCTGTACAAGCCCATATATTTTCTAAAAGAATCGAATGGAAGACATGAAAACACCTGAATGTACGGTGAATGTGTGGCTAGGAATGCTGCATACCCTACCTTTAAATAACAGCTTTCATTATGTTTGCTTGTTCATTTTTTAGACGCAGAGCTGCTTAGGGTTTAGCCCAATCTGGTGTGTGGCAGTGACTTTCCTTACTGCGCATGCGCGTCCGCTTCTACTTTCTCCTTTCCTATGCTCCCCATCTTCCGCCTCAATGCCGACGCAAAGAGCGTCTCCTAACCTACGCTCGCGCTTCCCCGTCTCTCTTCTAGGCATTCCTCCCTGCAAATGTTTGCAGCCCCATTCCGCATGCGTGTCCATTCCTTCTTTCCTCTCCTACGCTCCCCTTTTTCATGTCCTAATGCCGACGCAGGCGGCACCTGCTGGCGAGTTTCTTGATTTAAAAAAACCTATTGCTCGCGCTGCACAACCATTCCCGGGTCACGCCTTATGTAAAGAAACTGGATATTGACCTCCAATGTAGTACTGGGGAGAGATTTGTCCTATGTGTTGGTTGAACGATTAACATTCGCAGCATGGGCGTTAACTAAAGGCAGATTGCGGGTCTCGGTGTTCAATCGGAAAGTGGAATCGTCTGTCTCACATAGCCAATAGCAGTGATTGGTATGTTCTGGTAGGAAATCACGGCGTGCTTTGCGCAAAGATGGCTAGGTTTCTCTCCTGCTCAACGCCGCGATGAGCGCCAGCGTCAACGTCACCCCCCGTGTAAGCGTTAGCACCCTGTGCTTCGCATCTACACATGGTACTTTTTAGTGAGAGAAGGTGCAATTTTCACTTCTCAGAATTATTTTCCAATATATAATTGATCAACTTCTCAATATTGAAGCCTTCTCAACAATGTGAATAGGGAAGAAAAAAAACCGTTGAGGTAACCGCATAAGCATACTTGTAGTCTCTGACGCAGCAGTGGTTCCGCAACCTGGAATGCTGACGCAGCTGACTTGATTGTGCAGACACTGGCATTTTTCACACTCTTGCTCCACCACTTCTCCCGGCTGCGTTAGAGCAGAAAGAAATCGTTGCTGTTGTTCTCCTAACACAAAGGCTGTACATGCAACTTATCGACAACTTATTGGTACGTTTGTGAACGTCATAGGTTCCCGCGACAACCTATAGACTCGCAGCCTTCATGGCCTATTGTCTTTGAGAACTTTTTGTGAAAACGAAAAAAAAAAACTCATAACAACGACGGGACCACAACTAGAAGAGCGAAAATATTTTGCTCTTTTCTGTAATGCACTATATAGCCAAATTCTTAAATAAGAAACAATAGGTTGTATAGAATCTAGAGAGCAGATACATTTTGTGAAACGTTACGCTACATCTTATTTGATACATCATACCTAGCTCTGTCACTTGGGCAAAAGGGAAATATTTGAAAGAAAAGAAGATTAACGAAAAAAAATTAACTTGAGGTTTGAGGTTAAGAAGGTTCGTCGGACGTCATGCTGAAAAACTTTGACCACATGGCAATCTTCTAAGGTGTCTATAAATCTTACTTTTCAAGTTTGCTTATTATTTTGGGTTTAGGTACGATCAAAGTCCAATCAAAGTACCGAGCAAATGGCGCTGACAAAGGGTGCGTATGCACGAGGAAAGCCTTGGTGATTAGGCAGTGCTCGGACAGAAGGCCATTTTCTGTGGCATTGGTTCACTGTCGGAGCCTTATTGGCGTCACTATTGACGTATTAAGTAAGACGTATTTAGCTATCTCTTATAGTGGCTTATTTATATATGAAAGTAAATGCTAAATAGAACGAAAGAGGGCCTAAGCAACCACAAATAGCATAAACAACAGCAACATGATGGACATTTTCTGAATGGTTTCGTTCGATTCATTAGCACTTAGAAGTAAGATATTTCCACAATAATCATGGTGTAGCTCAAAGCCAGAAAATAGAGGCGCAGAAACACACACGACAGGCGCTACTTGTAACTTTAACTCTTTCCGGAATGTGGTCACCCCAGGTAACCAACTTTTCCTCATTTTTCGCCCCTTAAAACACGTGAACTTGGCGTGTCGGCTTTTGAATGGCACATGTTTTTAAAGCTTTCGCCAACCTGAAGGAGATGACGCTACTTCGTTTGGTCTTAAATGTGACATGTCAAGTTTGCTTTCTTCCGGCGCTGTTGTCCTCGAGCCGCGCTACACGGTGAACCCGAGATGTTTATACATATAAACGTATGTGCCCTTCTTAATAGCTTTACAGGGCAGGAGAGCATGCTGTATGAGTAGCTAATGCTAAGGACTATACAAATGATGAGCTGTACTTTCACCGGAAGTGGCCAGTAGACGCTTACTGCGTGGTAGTCACCTTAGGTGACCACCTGATAATCTTTAACTGTTATTGCCAATTTTTGTTTCTTGCGAGAAATAATATTCTGCAAATATTTCGCCTTTTTTTTTTCAAGGAAAATATGTTTCTGGATAAAATGGAGTACTGTGTATGAAAGAGTCAATAGAAAATAGATTAGATACACAATATCTATACTGTTCTAAACGCACAAATGCACAAGTGACACCCGGCAAGCTACAGGGGGCGCTCGGCAGAGATAACATATCAACTTTATGGCAGAAAAAAAAAACTATGTCACATGGTTAACAAGACTGTTCCAAACGCTCTGGCATGTTCCGCCTGCACGTTTGGAACAGTACATTTATTTTGTATTTCATCAATGTTTCATTGAAGTTGTAAGTAGAACATGTGGTGTATATTTCTCTGCTTCCGTTCTGTGCCTTAGCGCTACACTGCGGTTATTATCGAGCACCAGGAGCAGGTACTTGCTGTAATCCCACGGATTTCGAGTTACGTATCGCGTTCGCGTAAACGTGTTGCTTAATTGCTCGTTCGGGTTCAGCGTGCTTACTGCGAGTGGTGCTTCCTTGCCCTGCATGAAACAGGGGCAGTGCTGAGCGGGCACGCAGCTCTCCCAGGTCGAAGTGCAGACTGCCCAGTTCGCAGTGGGAGCCCGCGCCGAAGCAGCCGGCCACGCAAGCGGCGTCCTCTCCGACGCAGAAACCCTCCGAGCGCAGCGCGTGCAAGAAGTGGTCGCAGGTGGCGTTGCAGCGGAGGCCGCATTCTGACCACCGGCTACCAGGGGGACACACGCCTAGAGATGAAAAATACCGCAAATTTAGAGCAATCGAAAAAAAAAAAAAACGTTCTTTTACGGTTTTTCCCCCCAAAACATTGGGGAAAAAGCAAAAGAACATTTTTTAGCATAAGCAACAGTTTATTGCCGAGTGTCAAGAACAATAACTTTCATTATGTAAATAACACTAAAAGAAATGCTTTCTCTCTTTTCATAAATGAAGATGGCATTTATCAGATCGAACGCAGGCCAAAAGCATCACCGCGAACTCGTTTAGCCTTCTGTGAGTAGCTGCGGCTTCTAAGAATTGTTACGGCATTTAGAACAAGGAATTCCGAATTATCTATTTTGTCCTGGCTTCAATTAAGAAAACATGGATCAAAGTCATAAAGGTGTAAAGTTCAAACTCTCATTGAGAGTCGGTATCTCTGGCTTCATTTGCAGCATTCTTCGCCATGTTAACTCTTTTCAGCATGGCGGTCAGGTAACCAGATATTAACTTATTTTTCTTTCTTTTTTTCTATTAAAACGCACGAGCCCCGCGTGTGGGCTCATAAATGGTGCATATTTTAAAGCTTTTGGTAATCTGACAGGGAAATGATACTTCATTTGAGCTTCAATTTGACATGTTACGTTTGATTTCTGCCTGCTACCGTCGTGATCAAGGTGCGCTAGAGGGCGGAGCCAAGATATTTTTATAGATACAAAAGGATATGCTGCTCCTATTATGTTGATAGTGCTGCAGAGCATGTTGTATGAGTACCTATTGCTAAGGAGCATGTATAGAAATAAAGGGCTGTACTTTCAATGAAAGTGAACAGCGGACCTTTACTGCGTGATCCTCGCATATTGCCATTTGTATTTTCTTTCACAAATTTTAATATTGAACTGTTTCCCGATAAAAATGAAGTTCTGTGCATGAAAAAGTTCAGATGTCACCCCGGAAAAAGCGTACCCACTGTTGCAGTGCTAACAGACAGTGAGTTCGCGTTTCTCACCAACGGCCTCCCCTAGCGCGAAGTACATCCACACGTCGGAAATTAACGCAACCATTGCAGATTCCGCTTCCACACGGCTTCATAGGCAGCCTTTATAAATGACAAAGCTACGCTGTAGGCTCAAACTAAGCAGATGCTGGAGTTGACTGATTGATTGATTTTGTGACGTCGATGGCGAGAGGACAGCCATCGTTTGCTGCTTTGGTATCATGGGCGGCGTTTTGGTTTCACGCGGAACGCTAGGTGTTGTTTAAGGTTTATTGCTGTACGTTTACCCCCGAAAATTTGACCGTTTTCTCCAAGTGCGCCGAATAAAAACAGAAAAACAAACTGTGTTTTTTTCACACTTCGCATAATTACACACGCCTGCCGACACAAACCTAGAAACAACCTTAAAACATGACTGAATATGATGCGAAGGCCACGAAACATGGGGAGCCTACTTGAGCAAATATAATCTCGTCCTGACCTTTCAACTGCGTCAAAACTGCAGACACTTTTATATGTTTATCTATCCCGAATTTTATGTTAGCAACTTATTCTTAAACGAGCACGTATACCACTTTGTGATGCTGCGGGAAGTGTCACAACCTACTTCCGCAAGTCAGTTTTACCGGATGAAACCTGATCAGCTTCCACGCACTGCACAAAAGCATGAGCTGAAAATGCAAAACTGCGAGCTAAGCACTCTCATTATGGTCTTAATTGTATATTCCATAACAGATTTTTTTGTTTTTTATGCGTGAAATGATCTTTAGTTTATGTGGCAATAACAAAAAAAACATGAAAACGCTATCGGACCCATAGAGCTGAATGTTCCTGATTCTTGAAGTGTTATCGTTCACATAGCTCTTTGTGCAGTCCCCCCTCTCCCGAATTTATCGTGTGGGACGCGTTGAGACACTAGATGCGGAAAAAAATACCTCCCACCAGTAGTGTAGCCATGATGTGGCACAATGAGCCCCCTCGAAAATTTTTCGCCATGAATTAGAGAGAGAAAAATGACTATTTCGAAGGGGGTGTCCTCCCCGAAAGAAAAGAAATCTTTTCCTCCCCCCCCCCCCCCCTAGAAAAAATTTCTGGTCACGCGCCTGCCTTCAAATACACCCGTGCCTGTCGAAAGAAGACACATTAACTTTGAGAAATTTACAAACAAATCCTTACCCACATGAGAGAAAGAAGACGAAACGTCCCCTGTGAACTGTGTCGCAAGCCAGAAGGCCTCTACTACATAGTACATGAATTCACATAGGACATGAATTCAGAACACAAGCGCCCTCTGCCGTTCTATTTTCTACGGTCCATGATTAGTGGGAGACTTCAAACGTGACGCGTGACCACTGGTGAACATGTGGGCTGGTCCCATGGTCTACTACCAGTAAAAGTAACAATAAAAAGAAACTTTGTTAACTTTATAATTCAATTCATATCACTATGTTCGCTACCTTTCTCTTGGATGCTAAAAAAACACAACTCAAGAAATGAAAACAATGTTGTGCGTATTCGTAGTGTAGCCCGAGAAGTTCTAAAAGGTTTATGGTAACTTGTTACCATAAACCTTGTTAGTTGAAAAGCATCGAACTAACACGCCGCCATGAACCTTTTTGAACCACTCCTAATTTTAGCCGGATTTCCTTGAACATGTACAACATCGGACGAATGCGCTTAAAGTTTCTGTTGATTCCTCTCACATGACGCCTGCTTCTCGGCATAAAATTATTTTATCATTGATACCGACTTCTGGACCAATAGATACGTGCAGTAGTGTCCGCACACGCAACCTTGCAGCCACTTTTACTTCAAACCTCAACGCTGCACCTGAGTCGTACCATCACGAGCACGACTAGTCGGGTTATTCTTTTTGTTGCCCTAAGCCTCCGTATGTGTGATGAGGTACTCACTTATTGTTGTGGTGACTTCAGGAAGTGGTGTCGTGGGTACTTCTGTCGACGGACCTGTGATAGGGTTGGCAATTGGTCAAGCAGTAAAAAATAAGTCACAGCTTTGCCACAAAGACGAAGCAATGAACGCGATAGTAGTAAATGGGAATGTCAGGCGCACAATGGCAAGGAGATCTAAACATGCCCCATGTTTTTCACGCATAAATAACGCATGAAACGTACTGACAGGTTCAGATGAACGCGAATAAGCGTCTCAGTTGTTACTTCACTGTGTCTGCAAAGTGAGGTCTTTTTGCAAAAAGACACTGTGCAACGATTGCACTGACCTAGTGCGACCGGTAACTACAACAAAATTGTTCCGGTGAAAGCCATAGGCCAACCAAGATGTGCGATCCTCCCCACCGCAAGATAAGTGTGCGCGAGTTAGCGTCCCTCTCACCAGGTAGCCCGAAAGTCAACTTCGTTTTATGATTAACGGCATAACTTACGAGAAAAAAAATATCAGACTTCACCAACACGGAGGCACCAATTTCGTCACCTGTCATTTTCGAAAATTGCAAATGCTATAAAAAGAAAAAATATTTTTGTTTCAAGGAAGATACTTTTTACCTGAAATGCATGTCTAATTAAGAATGAAGTCATTTGGTTTCAAGTTTGTAGACCTTAAAAAATACTTTTAAAAATGTCTAATTTTGCGACAGCTTGAAATAAGTTACGTATTCCCCATTTTTTTTTCTCCGAAAGTAATGCAAGCAGCGTTTTCAAACTTGACATGTTTTAAGAATATGGTGTGTTCATTAGGTACATAAATTGCTGCTGTCGTAGGGCAAATGTAAATTTTTATAAATTGCCTCAAAGTTCTCACATTGGCCAAAGTGTACTCCACTGAAATTTGAGTAATAAAAAAAAACACCACCTTCGATGTTTCTTAAAATCTCGTAAATAGACAACCGAAGGCCATCATACAGTAATATTGAAAAACATGTTGCATTATTTTGCTTTTAGCGACAATATTCGGGGTACAAATCAGAGCTTTTCGAGAATGCGCTGATAAGTTGAGAATTCTAGAAATCGGAACAGAAACCTACTTTATTCTACTTCAGAAGTGATTCGAATAAAACCAGAGAACGAAGGGTGGGACTTGTTCGCTAGATATAGCCAATACACAAAGAAGGTATGAAATCCATAGCGGTCAGTGTTTTCTTTATACTGAATTTAATATAGTAGTTACACTATAAAATATAATAAAAGTGAAGGAAAAACTAGCCATTGGTGTCAAACGTAACCACACAGCCTTGGTATTCCTGTACAAGCAACGCGTACGTTGTGGGTTCATTTCCCATCTGCGCTAGTTTAGTCGCTTGTTTTTTATCATGTAACTAATGACTTCGATCGAAGTTTACTGTCCCTGTGGATTGCTTTCTTCAATAAAAATGTTCCTACGTACATTTACAGTAGGCGCGCACTTTGTAGTCAGTGCATGGTGTGCCAGGCGTGCAGAGGAGTCCCTTTTTATTGCATGGCTCCGCAAACCTTGCCATTTCTTTCTCGGCGTCCACACTGTGCGCTGGGTCAGCGGGCAAACACTCGACGGCTGCCAGCTCGGGACAGATCTCCGAGAAGCGCGGTATGTTGGCCAATAGCTCGTTGTCTCCACCGTCATCCGAGGGAGTGTCCTGGTTGATCCACGGAGTCCAGGCGTCACAGTAAGGTCCGATCACTGCAACATCGGACCAGTGTTGAGAATCAGTTTGCGCTTTACACAAACGTGAACCAGAACTATAGATGCACGTAGCGGAGACCAACCGAATGGCTGATGATCAGATCATATGGCGGTTTGCAGAGAAGGGACCCGCGAGTGGCAAGTAATGATGCTCAGTAAATAATGGTGCTTATCACTAGTGGCTGTATAAGGGTATAAATTTCTTCGTACTAAAGGCAAATGTTCTTATGGTATATAGCTATAAAAAGTCAGTTAAGGCTAATTTAAACATCAGAAAAAGGAACGCACCAGACTTTTCGCGCTATTACTAGTCGATGAATTTATCCCAAGATGACAAGTAAAGAAAACAACTTGTGCGTTTTAGCTATAAGGTCACTGGTACAGCCCAACAAAAGTTTACTATATATTTTATAGTTTTTCTGCATTTGTACCACGATGGTAGTCGTTTTCTTTACTTTTCTTTTGGGCTACATTTATCAAAACGTCGGAGCCCTTGTATAACTGCAGGTTTCTGAAATGCTTTGTAATTTATTTTATCCTCATACAGAATACGAAACTATAGCCCATCTAATACACAAAGTCAAAAAAGAAACGGGAACTGGTGGCGTTAAACGGAAGCAAAGCAAGATTAGACATGATGATAAATCCTAATAATCGAAGCAACCATACTGTTGCATCGTATACCACGTCCTTTCCATTCTCGAGCTCTCAACTGTCAAGTCCGTGTGTGCAATCACTGTTTGTTACCTCTTTCAACAGCCATTACGACACCACACAGTGTGGCATTTGTATATTTAAATCCTTAACGGTGATAGTCGCTATTGACGGGTTTCGGTAAGTTGAAATACAGGTTATTTTTTTGTGTGTACGGTACTCGATTGAACTTCTCATGCCAGCAATTTGTTCCATGCATTCTGTGGCCTCCCAACGCAGCCATATAGCTTAATTCGTGCTGAATCAACGTATAACTTGACGTGTAGGCCTAGCAAGCTAAACTATCGCCAGGCCGCCAATCATTCTCATTGGCCAAGGAGATGTGTTGAGATGAGTATACCTTGTCTGCGTGCTTATTCAACGCCATTCTGTGCATCGAATCCTCGTAACTTAACGCCCGCCAAACCACTACTTCTCTTCTTTCCATCTGTTACTTTCGTAGCCAAGTTGTTACGCCTTGAGCGTTTAAACGTATTCTTACTTGTTTTCATAACGCAAGCCTTGGCTTGATAGCGATACGATAGAGACTGTTTTATATTGGTTAGAGTGCTCTTCTTTTGACCTGCTTTAATTAGTCACTCTTTTTAGCAAAATGTTTGTGTACATTGCAACAGCACAAGCTTTGATGAGTATAGGCTAACAGCACTTTGAGGAAATAAGCAACACCTCTTTATTCTTAAGTTCTTGTCTTTTACAGATGCTTATCTGCTGATTTTGCCTTTGGTCAGCAACGTCGAAAAAACACCACGTGTGGACGTCACCAAGGGGCCCCTGAATACCATTTTCGCACGCTTGAAAGCCAAGCCGCTTTTAGTTTATTCTTCAAAGAAACAAGCAATAATATTTTCACAATATTTGCCATATAAGGCTGGACAAAGGTACAATGAAAAATTCAAGCTTGAAGAGTTGAGAAATCTGTGAATGCGAATGGCATTTCTAGAGCTTTGATCCTATTTTGAAAACGCATACGGAGCTTCAGAATTTCTTGAAGTTTTGGTTCATATTTGGTTCCAAGTCCCTTTATGTTTGTATAGGCTGTAGAGAAAACACGCGAGCGGCCCTTTGATATCAATGATAAACGTTTGTTTCGTACGGCTTCAAAGCTTCCTCTTTAAATGTAGATTGCTTGTATTTCAAAAGATTTCTATCCATCGACGATGCTGTCTGGATCACCCTCTGGACAGTGACTTGATTGTTTTTATCCCGAGCTGAGCAGAGTTTTTCTCTTGAATTGGGCTATCCGACGCTTCACTTTGTGTCTATCTATGTGGCTTTACTGTGACATTGTATTTCAAGCAATATCAGGTTTGTACACATAAGCCACGTTTTCGTATTTTATGCGCAACTTGGTTTCCCACCCATCAAATTGTTTCTTTTCAGAGGTTACGTGCCAGAGATTTGCTCAGAACGAGGTTCTGCACAACATCACTTAAGGAACAAGAATACTGGCATCTATATTATTCTGCATTTGATCTCATATCTGCCTTTAGCTATTGTCATATGTGAGTAAGAAGAATATGTTTTAGGGGCGAAGCTCCTTATGCCGTGGGTCGTGCGTCCCTGATGTATGTATGTATGTATGTATGTATGTATGTATGTATGTATGTATGTATGTATGTATGTATGTATGTATGTATGTATGTATGTATGTATGTATGTATGTATGTATGTATGTATGTATGTATGTATGTATGTATGTATGTATGTATGTATGTATGTATGTATGTATGTATGTATGTATGTATGTATGTATGTATGTGTGTATGTATGTATGTGTGTGTGTATGTATGTATGTGTGTATGTATGTATGTGTGTATGTATGTATGTATGTATGTATGTTGTATGTATGTATGTATGTATGTATGTATGTATGTATGTATGTATGTATGTAGTATGTAGTAGTAGTAGTAGTAGTAGTAGTAGTAGTAGTAGTAGTAGTAGTAGTAGTAGTAGTAGTAGTAGTAGTAGGTGGCAACCTGTCGCTTAGTCCTTGGAATGTTTGCTGGATGGCGGTACTTCTATGCGATGAATATGTAATGAAAAGATGCGAGGTGGTGGTACTGGGAATTTTCACTGGATGGACAGATGGACGGACGCGTGGACAGACGGATGGATAGGTGAAAGTGCGGATGGACGGACATACAAGCAGACGAACGGATGGACGGACGCGTGAACGGACGACGGACAAACAAGCAGACTAAGAGATAGACGGAGGGACTCACAAGCAGACGGATGGATGGATGGATGCGCGTACGGACTCACGAAAGGACAAACAGACGGACTGATGGACGAATGCGTGGACGGACGGATGGACAGATAGATATACATATGCACGGACGCACGCACGAACGGAAGCGCGGAAAGACTGACGGGCACTTTGCCCCACGCATCATCATTCAGTCCGTGGATAGGCTGTGATTTTTTCTTTCTTGTAATGAGACCAGGAGATGATGTGGACAAGTTATTTCACGACGCGCCGACAACCTTAGGTTGTCGGCGCGTCGGTTTGCTCGCCTGCTGATGCTTGCTGCTGCTGTCGTGATGATACTGATGTCGGAGTGCATGAGAGGCCACCGCCGCCTCAGCGCTCGCCGCGAGGAAGAGAGAGCGAAAGGCGAGCGTTATCTAGGGAAACCATAGATGGATGGATGGGTGAAAAAATTTATTGTGGTGGAATCCTTTAGGGAAGCCATAGAGTTTCCTAAAGTTAACTAGAGGGGAGTCTGGCGCTGCGATCGTTCATCGACCATGGGGTGGTGGGTAGTACATAGATTTGTATATAGTCTTCCTACTTGCGGGCGGCGAATCACTCTTGTGGTTTCGTTTATTGCTGTGTTTCGGCCTTGTTTCGAAAGAAGGAAAGAACACTCTGTAACTTCGTGACCTGATTTGAAATGGTAAGGCGAAAAGATTAAAGCGGGAAAGCACAAATGCTGAGCATTTACCAATTGTTGTTTCGTGACAAAGCTGCTTCAAGCCACGCGTAGCCAAAAGAAACGTAAAATACGAGGACTATACAAATCCGTGTACCACCCATAATTCTCATGCTCGCTCGCTGAAGCGCCGTGCGTTGAAGATCTCATAAACAATAGCACCATATTTCCCTTTAGTGTATATATAAGAAACTCTGTGACGGAAACGCTCTTCCTGCGGTGAACTTTGAGCTCACTAGGAACGAGGACGTGCCCTCACCCGCGATATACACCGCAGACGCAGGCAGTGTCTGCTAGCGAGTTTCTTAATCACGCTGAATATCCGTTCATTGGCTCACCTATACACACGCGTCGGATCGAGACCTGCAACGTAGTGCCTGTGGGACATTTCTTTTGTGTGTAGTTGAACAATAAAGATTCGCAGCGCGCTCATTAACTAAATCAGATTGTGGGTCTCTGTGTCTAATTGGAACTAACAGGGGGCTCCGATTATTCGTGAACACTGCATGCTTCTCCCCTCCCCATGTTTCAAGTTAGTGAAGTGTAACTGCCCTCCCCACCCTCTCGTCACATGCTGTTCATTTGTTTATTTTTTTATTTAAGTGAGAGTGCCTGAAGCAGCCAGGCTAGTGCACTGTTGAAGAGTGTCATGGCATTACCTGTAGAATCAAATAGGCCACAAAAACGATGTCCACTTAGTCCCACCCGCACTGTCACCCCGAGTGTGACAGTGGGGCACTCTCGGGAGGACTCATGGTCACCCCCGAGGCATTCGCTGCTCAAGCACATTGCTTTCTTTTTCTACTATTCCAAAGAGAAAGTACTCACATGTCACGGTGGTCGGTATGAAAGGTGTTGGCGTCGTTTCCTCGGCTAAAAAGCAAAACAAAAGAAAAAAAAACAGAAATGGTAGTGAGGCAAGACAAAATGCAGGAGTTGTAGATTAGGCGAGTTGGTTCGTCGTAATTGAATTGGTGCCGCGCATCACGTTTCTTCTTTCCCGCAATGCGCTATACCAGTTCAAGTACGACAAAAAGCAGCCAACCCATTTTTATTATGCTATAAAAGGGTTTTAATACAACAGTCAGTCCGTGTGCGTGATTGCAGCAAGTTTCTCACTATAGTCGGATCCAGCTTAAGTAGTTCAAAGAGGCTCCACCCACGTAAACAACGAAATACACCAAATAAATAGTCCTACTCACGCATTCAGCAATGTTCTCTGAAGGCGGAGTTAACCAGCCATCCGGCTTATGAAGTCAAAGAGAAGTGTGTGCTCATTGGGGCAGCTGTGTGCGCATCCGCCTTCTAGGAGAACATTGTGCGAATTTATAAAGCTAATAATAATGATTGAGGTTTACGGTTCCAAAACCACGATATGATTACGAGAGATGCTGTAGTGGAAGGCTCTAGAAAATGAGAGCACCTGAATTTTTTTTACCGTGCACCTAAATTGAAACACACGGATGTCAAGCATTTCCGCCTCCATCGACAAAGGGGTCACCGCGGCCGGGATTTGATCCCGTGAGGTCAGCAGTCAAGTCCCATGACCACTAGACTAATATGGCGGGTATCTTTAAAGCTTTATCGAGATATAGAATAATTCGCCGAAGTGGTCGGCAACTATTAAATTTCGCCGCAAAGTTCTCAAGTCAGAGGCACCCTCAAAGGACAATCTGCTTTATATTTACCGATTAGGAAATGCGAGAATACTAGCGGCAAGCGTGACAAAAGTAGGCAAAAGAACCAACTGCACGATCACAGAATAATTATATCTAAAATATATTACATACTGCTTCAATATAGAAAAAGGCATATGTTCAACACATTGTGACACTTTACCGCAATATAGCAGCCTTAACGCACCCTTCTCTTTTACTTATTTCAATTGATTTTATTATATGCATTCTGGTCTTTCATTTGAAAGATGGCAAGGTGCAATAAAGGTTCGACAATAGGTACATGTAATAAGACAATCAAAATGCAAGGAATAACCAAGTATCATAGTGATATTCATATGTAAGGTTTGAAAACACTTATTTCAATAAATTACAGTCTAACATAGTACACAAAACATGTTGCAGAGCAACGAACTAATCACAGCAAAGCGAATATTAGAGTGCAATAACGAACAATGGTTTGAGTGAGGCATAGTCCAAGACAGGAGATCTTTACGAAGCAATAATTTAGAGAGAAAGAGAGAGAACTCGTAATTGAAAGGCAGAAAATGTAGCTGGCGTGTTAGATCGCTGACTTGCTACACTGCTAGGGGAAGGGGACAGGGGACTTCAAAACGGAAATTGTAGGCGAACCTACGTCACTGAATTTGATGCTTTTCAGCTGGCTAAAAGACTTGCTTTCAAAAAAAGAAGAGGCTTTGGAACTTTCCCGACACATCATTATGCTTTCTTCCACTCTATCTACACACATCTAAGAACTAAACTCCTATCCAGAATTTCTCAATACCTAGAAACTCTCTACCATCGTCTACGACTGAACAGTGTTTATGGAAACAGCTTACAGTATACCGCAATGGTCAAGCAGAAAGTCCATACTGTAATAACTGTGGCTCCATAAAAACAGCAGGCATATTCTGTTTGAGTGCTGAGCGTATACCCGTGAGCGTGCGCTCTATGAGCATTCCATGTATTAGCTAACCCGAAGAACTTTGTAAATGGGCTATGTCTTGGGCCCTTTAACCTGCTTCACACGACAGAGGCATGCGATGAAACTTATTCAGGTATTTACACAATATCAGTCAGCTCGACAAACTCTAACGACACTTGCGAAACTCGTAATGATCATTGTCTCAGCTCATGTGCCCGATGAAGAAATGATTGTAAGCTCACCGCATTGGCAGTAGACGCGCATCTCGTAGTTAGCGCAGGGTTCTCCGTACTGGTCTTCCTTGAGGCAGCGGAGTCCGGTAGCGACCGAGCAGAGCATCGAATCCCCGGTCTCGTTCCACGGTACGTGACCGTCGACGGTGCGACACTCGACGCGCACCATGTTATCCACCGGACAATGGTCGGCGTGCGCCATCAAGATCTCAAAGTCGTTGCCCCGCTGTGAAACCAAACCCGTGTAAAACACGTTGTTCAGCAAGCCAGTGGGGAGAAATGCATGTCTTAGTTGGGTTATGTCAGGCGTCCGTCGGGATCAGTCCATCGCCCTCTCACATAGCAACAGCTGCGGGCGCGTGCGTTTATCCTCGCCCCTAGCAACCGGAGCATGTGGTCCGAGAAAGTGTAGAAGAGGGTAGGTGCCGTGCTTCGCCACTCCTTCTCTTGCTCTTCGCTCTCTCTCTCCTCCCTGCGCCCCACTTTCCCGTGTGCTCGCGCCTCACTATCGACCGTTAACTGGCTGGGTGCCTCTCAAAAACAACTGGAAGTGTGTGCTCGAGATGCTGCTGTGAAACGCCAACGCCGAGCCTAGAACACTGTTTGCTTTGTTCACTTCATAGTATTCTTCAACCGTGCGCGCTAGGTATTTGATCTGCAAACGCATACCATGTTTCTTGCCCCCCCCCCCCCCCCCCCCCCAAAAAAAAAGCACCACGCGTGGCTGCACTGTGTCAGAAAGAAAAAAGAAAACATTATTCTTTTAACGCTGCGTTCTCACGTGCGAAACGTCGTTATTGACACTACGCAATGCATTCGTATTTACTCACGATTTCCTTCGGAGAGGTGGGGGCAGTTTTTAAGGGGGAGAGGAGCGAACAATACCAGTACGGGTCAGTCAGATGGGTTGAAAGTGGTGAACACCCCCTCATCCGAACTTTTTTTTTTCAGTTTTGCGTTTGTACATATTCACGTATACATACAAACTCATGCATTAACATACGTAAAGTGTAGTTAACCTTCCCTCTCTCTGGTACTTGCCATAACACTTTTTACAACAGCCAGCCTGTTTGCGGTGTTATATTGTAAGTTGCATGAAGTTAGACCAGTACCTGAAATTTAGGTTCAGACATGCTGTACCAGTCGGACCATCCGCTCTGGTTGCAAGTCTTCAGCTCCAAGGGGCACGGTCGTCCAATGCACTCGACTTGACCTTTCTTGCAGTAGCTGCAAAGAAAAGAAAAAAAAGTGATATGATAAAGACGCCTAAGAACCGGTGGTACTTTTTCGATCGCTTAACAAGATGTCGCGCTTTAGCCAATTTTTGTTCTCGCCTGTTTTTACTCGCGTCACATTTCACCAGATGCTAAGTTCCGCGTATTCTTCGAGATCCAGTTAGTTAGCTGTGACACTTCCCGTTTGTTATAAGGGGCAGGAAACAGTTCACTCGTAATTTCACTGCTTATATCTACAATTTTTTTTGTGCGTTGAGTACACTCGGCAAGAATGAAATAAAATAACAGCTTTTGGCAAGAAGGTGTCGCGAATACTCTTGAAGTATTTACCACTACAGGCCTTGCAAGTCGCATGTGACTGGTGATGAGGACATTTATGTTGGGGTGTGGGGTGGTGTGGTTATATGGGGGTCCGTTAAGATATTGTATGCACAATAGTTTATAGGCCCCTGGCTTGAGCATGGTTGCGTTGCACTGCACGAGTCTTGCCGGTAACATGCCCGTGCTTGGCCTTAAAAACACATTAGCTTCATACAATTTGAAAAGAGTAAACCAGGTGGGGCTATAGCTTGCGCATTTCACAAGGCTAGATCCACCGACAGCCTGCAACATAGTAATTTTAATCTTGAAAAACAAACTCACTCGCACACACCAGGCAGATTATGCTGGTGTTCCAATCAAGTATGTCTCCATAATTATGATGAGCTACGTCATTCAAATCTTACATAGCAGGTTAATATTCGAAATGAATAATCAATAACTAAGGTAAACTTTTGTCTTCTCTCGTGAAGCGTTAATCTACGCAAATTGTGACTTCAACGTAGAAATATCTCTTTCGCAAGAAAATGATAATCTCATTCAGAATATTTCGTGTTAATGCGCGCAAATTCACTCTCCTGCGCTTTCTTTACAATGCATTGCTGTTTCGCAGTATCCATGCAAATTTCAGGGTAGTTTCGCTTGCTTATTGGCCCAGCATTGATCGTATCATCATGATTCAATGTTCTTGTTTATATTCCCTGTAAAGGCCTTCCGCAAATATGGTGAAAAAAAAAAACCCTGGTTGAGCGAGAAAGTAAGCGAAATATACGACAGGTAGTGAAGTGAAACCAATGCATAACACGCTAGCCACAAAAACTTAAAATCAGAAAAAGATGGAAAGAGGTATGACACTTCCTCTTTTTATGGGCACAATGCAATTGCATTATCTGGGGTAAATGCGGAGAAGTTGTTTTCTAAAGCATGCAGAGGAATCTCATTAAGTCTTCACTGTGTTATCAAAATATTCGGGAAAATTCAGCCTCTCCTTGATGGATTTCTCCTCATTTATTCAAGGAGGTACGTTCTAGGATGTCATGCTTCGAGCGATGTTCGAACAACCTCGCAATTGCTGCAATAAGCTTCAAGCATAATTAATGCACAGCTCGGGTCATGACAGCATCCGCAAATGCTATTCCCGTGGCACGTAATATCTCGAGAAACATGTGATTAATTGGATAGGTAAACACCACCCTCGAACGACGCATGGTTAAAATATAAAAACTCCAGGTGCGGCTTGCTTGTTTGCATTTATTCGAACAACACCGACCTCGATCTCTGCCCCTCTTTGTTTATTTTTCTTTATGTTTTCTCTGCATGTTTTGAGTGCAAGTATCTCACCACAGCTGTGCGTGAACACAACCTTAATTCGAAGACCAGGTCACAGGGAAGGGCAGACAATCAACCCGCGTAATTGAGCGCAGCGAATGTTGCCGCGTGTTCTACAAAGGCACGTCCTAGGTAACTTTCGGTTATCGGTGCCTTTCAGCCCATTTCAGTTTCTTGATGCAGATTTAGGTAGTCCCGCTATACCTTCGGCTTCTCGTACAGAACGCACGTTTCTCATTAAAGGGCCATTACATGTGCTCCCAATCACTTGTGGGTTTCAGCAAAAATAAGAAGTATAGGGTCTATTATACGTAAGCAGGCATGAAAATTGTACCGTAAGATAATATCCTAATCCCAAATAAGTCACCGGCTGTAAGCCCCTCCCAAAGCCGATGACCGCCATTCTGCCATGGCATGCGCTGGAAGGTTTCAACCATGAAGCAAGAAAGGAGGGAGCATTACGTCACACCGAGTGCGGTCAAGTGCAGCCCTCCGTGCGTGCCCAACACGTGACCAAAACGTCAGAACGGGTGGTAGGATTGAGTACTCTCGGTAGTGTTCCGTTTTAAACCTCCTGCGTGAGCCGGCCGGTCTGCGCCGAACAAACGCATTTCAGATAAAAGCTACTGAACGCCACACTTTGAAGTCTCGGCTAGTCTGGTTGCTTGCGTGATCTTGATGCAAAAGGTCACGAGTTGGGCCGACACTGCTGGCTTCAAATGGGCTGGCTTGCGAAGGCTGGTGGCATGACGTCATGCTCCCTCCTTTCTTTTTCTTCATGCGGGGTGTCAGCCGCTGCGAATCATTTGATTTCAGTGCCAAGCTGAAGAAAGCTCGATTTCACGCGCAGCTGACAATGCAGCAATGTTTTTCACCGGAACACACACGAGCGCATAGCTAACTTTTTGTTACGTCACGACTCGCCAGTGCGCCAATGTGGCCCGACGTCGCCCACGGGTTTATAAAAAAAATTGCATATATATTAAGAGTTCAACCCGATGCGCTAAAGTATTGACAGCTTACCTGTGCATTCACAACTAACTTACACAGCACAAATATATAAAAAACTTTATAAAAAGACTGGTGGAGTTTAACGTCCTCAAACGACGACATGGTTGTGAGAGACGCCGTATAGGGAAAGAGTGCGGAAATTTTGACAATCAGGAGTTTTTTACATGTACTTAAATCTAGTAGAAGAGCCTCAAGATTTATCACTTCCAATGAAAATGTGGTTGCCATGGCCGTGATTTGATCCCGTGCCCTGCAGGGCAGCAGTCTACTGCCCTAACCACAAGACCACCGGGACGGCTAGGCGCCATCTCCTAAAATAGGTTGTCTAATACGCTATTGCGAGTTGTAGCAGTTAGATAGTGGCAAAATTTTAGGAAGACCTAATAGAATCACGTTTTCATTGGAATGTAATTGCAAGTAAATCGCAAGAAGACCCACTGAACTGCTTAATATACGGCACTGAGCTTTTGCTCAAAGCATCGCCAGGTAATTTTATTATTTATGTAAAAAGACATGTGAAAGAGTGCTAAGCTGTATTTAAAGCGTAAAGTTGTCTTATAGAGTCGGAATTTTGAATTAGATATTTTCCTGCGGAGGAAAACAAAAGCCTAAAAATGAAGCACGGAATAATGAAAATTGAGACGGTAAGAACATCGGTCTTCAAGCTGATTGTCACTTTGAACAGAACAATGAAAGAAGCTTGAGGCGCATGTATAAAGAAAACAGCCTAAATAAATTACCTTTAAAAATTGTCAAATATGTGTAGTACCTACAGGTGCGTCTGTAAAGAAAGATTTTTTACTGTGGAATTGTAGATTATTATTATTATTATTATTATTATTATTATTATTATTTTTATATTGGGTTTGTGTAGAGATAAATTGCAAGGCAGAGTACATAGGGAGGGAACAGTCTGAAAAATTCCTCATAGGGGCACAAGGTTATCCTGTTTCTTCGGTAAGAGGAGACATAGAGGAAAGGAAGACAAGAGGAAGAAAAAATGAGAGAGAAGAGAACACCCGTAAACACAAATAAATAATCGCATGGAGAACTGGCTATAATTCAGAGGCCAAGTCTGTTTTCTTCAAGAAAGTTTACAGGGCTTAATGGGGCTGGTCACCCCTAGCAGCGGGAAGCTGCAATCACACATCTGTCGTACTCAGTAGATGCACAGAAATTTTCATGATGTTTTCTGGCTTATAGTTGCAGTGGTAAGCAGGTGGCCTGATGCAATGAATACCTGCATTCGATCTTCAAATGGTGCCACAGAATCACGTCTAGTGTAGAGGATAGCAGTAATTCCTTATTTTCATAATACATCTCATGAACTTAAGCAACTCGGTAATATATATAAAATCGATGTGCTTTTGTAAGCCAAAAGCAAACTGCAGTCCATTAGTTCACGCATGCGCAGGGAGTTTGCGCAATGTCGTATGAAACAGCAAAAGGTTCATGGACTGCGCAATGGGAGTAGTTTACATGACTCATTTTAGCTGTGGTAAAGTGTACATAGATCAGTCGAGAAGGCGCATCAATGTTCATCTCAGAGAGCACGATTCTTCTTTGAAATCCTCAGGGGCATCGCATCTCGCGGTTCGTTGCAGAGAGTGCAGCTGCTATCCTCTTTTTCAGGATACTGAAGTGGTTTTTTGATCTAACAAACAATTAACTCTTGCGTTGACGGAAGCTTTTCAGAAAAGAAAAAGAGGATGATAATGCGTCGACCAGTCTTCGGCTTTGCCGCACAATAAAGAGTTTGCTTTTCTGATTGATTGATTGATTGATTGATTGATTGATTGATTGATTGATATGCGGGGTTTAACGTCCCAAAACCACCATATGATTATGACAGACGCTGTAGTGGAAGACTCTGGAAATTTCAACTACCTGGGGTTCTTTAACGTGCACCTAAATCTGGGCACACAAGCCTACATCATTTCCGCCTTCATCGCAAATGCAGCCGCCGCCGCCAAGATTCGATCTCGCGACCTGCGGGTCAGCAGCCGAGTACCTTAGCCACTAGACCACCGTGGCGGGGCCAATTTGCTTCTCTGGATTATGTTTCTGGATAATTTTTCTGCTTTTACACTCTGTTCTCGAGTTGGAACCGTTGTACTTTTTGCATGCACACGCAAGCGTTGTTTCCGATTGTCTGCTTATATATATATTCTTCTCTTTCCAATAAATCATTTCGTTGCGAGAAAGTGCTTGTCCTCTCTTCCTTTGTGTTTATTCGTGCGCTTGAGCGACAGTTATACCATGCATATCCCACTAGTCCAACTTTCGATTCTGTTGCCATAGTGTTTGTTGAAGTACAGTTATATGCATTTGTTCTGTCCCATAACACCGTTTCAAAAAAAAAAAATGATTCGCACTGTTTTCCTTCATATGTGAAGTCCCTGCGCAGTGGCAACTGAGGAGATGATGAACGGGCCCCTGTGTGAGTGTGTACGCGAATACGCCTGTGTGAGAGAGCTTTAATATTGAACTCCCCTTAAGAATAAACGCCCCTGTGTGAACGGTCTACAGCGAACGCTTGTCAGGTGAACATGCAGCTGATCCAGTAAACACCCACGCACCACGATTGACACGGATTGGGCGTGGCGACCCTCTGTCCTTCCTTGTAGGGGACTCCGCCGACGTTGCAGCCGGTCTCCGGCGGTATCTCGCAGTCGGCGAACGGCACGCAGCGGTGGTCCGTGGCATTGCGGTGCACTTCGCCCGTCGGGCAGCGCGCCGGGGCGCAGCCTTCGAGACACACGGGCGCCGCCTTCGGGCAGTTGGTCTCGGACGCCGGGTGGGCGCAGTTCGGGGGCTCGCAGCCGCTCACGCACGCCGAGTACTCGTCGCACGTCTCGCACTGAACCGCTGTTGGGAGGGTGTAGAAAAGAATACCGTGCGGCATGCTTGTTAGAATAATTGCTTCTGTGCTTGGTGGCCAAGTGGTTGCAGCAATATCGAAACGAATCGACGAAGGAAAGATACATGAAGACAGTTGGTGACAATAACAACTGGTGTTTCATCCGACCTCCGTGCATAATAAATTTGTGCGGCTATTCAAAGTGAGGAACTTTGGGTCAGAGATTACAAAGCTTAAATGAGATACAACAAAATTGGTCACTTGTCATGAAGGTGCTCACTTTATTTCCGTGTAAATATAGATGTTAGGGACACAAAAATGAAGGGCACGTATTGCATCAGCACTCCACTAGTCGTTCTATCACGGAAAGAAATCGACTATCTTCATGACAAGCGTCCAGCTCTTTTTAATCTTGCTTATCCTTTCTAATCTATGGCCATGAGTTTTTACCTTTAGATAGCCACATCTATATAACCTGCATAGTTTAACTAGAAGGCCTGTCGTTAGTTAGCAGTGTTTTCGTTTCTATCATCCATGCGTTGAAATATTGCTGCAACCACTAGACGCGCATACTTGCGTCTAACGTGAGAACCATGGCAGCTCGGGGTAATCCAGAGGACACTATGGCAAGGCATGGTAAACTTGCACTTCTCAATGGATTTTAATGAGAGCAGCTGTACCACCAAGTGTGATTGTCTATCAGCTAGGGCGATTTCCCGCCCTCAAAGCAACAAAGTGTCGGCAAGTTTTCGGAGATTTTCGCGTGTTCATCTTTATCAGCCTTCTGCCCCGCCGCGGTGGTCTAGTGGCTAAAGTACTCGGCTGCTGACCTGCAGGTCGTGGGATTGAATCCCAGCTGCGGCGGCTGCATTTCTGATGGAGGCGGAAATGTTATAGGCCCGTGTGCTCAGATTTGGGTGCCCGTTAAAGCACCCCAGGTGGTCGAAATTTCCGGAGCCCTCCACTACGGCGTCTCTCATAATCATATGGTAGTTTTCGGACGTTAAACCCCCACAAATCAATCAAATCAATCATTTATCAGCCTTTTTACTTCGAGTGTGGGAACATGCATGACCCGTGAGCATCGTTGCTGCGGGGTCAACTATATTAGAGTGCCAAGATAAAAACTGTGAATTTACATTCACGCGTCAATCTTGTATTGTTTTAGGGTAATTGAGAACTTCGGATTGTAAACTATTATTTTAGAGGAGCAGGTGCAGGTACATTTAATTAATATGTGGGGTTTAACGTCCCAAAACCACCATATGATTATGAGAGACGCTCCGGAAATTTCGAACACCTGGGGTTCTTTGACGTGAACCAAAATCTGAGCACAGGGGCCTACAGCCTCTTTGCCTCTATCGAAAATGCAGTCGCTGCAGCCAGGCCGAGGCTGCGGGTCAGCAGCCGAGTACCTTAGCCACCATACCACCACGACGGGGCACGGCAACATTTATGCACCAACATTTTCTGAAATGCTCCTAATAAAATAAAAATATAACACTATTTTTTCAAGAAATAAGAAAGGGTTTTCAACAATTAGAAGCGACGTTACAGTGACGGGTGAATAAGCTTTGCGTGTTCAGTCTTGTCTACGCACCTGTCACACAGTTTGAAGCTGTTATCAAGGAAAGTTTCGCCGACATGATACGACAGATGCTTTCGCTAGTTGGTGATTGGGAATCAACATACTTGCACAGCGCAAGACTACGAGTAGTTGCGACGTAACTACAGAAGTCTCTTCTTCCGTAGTTGCGTCGTAAGTACACGTAGTTTTGCGCTGTGCAAATATGTTGATTCGCCAACAGCCGTCATTGAGACTGTTCAACCTGCTTTACGAGGCTTTATTGCTGGAGTGAAAATTCCAGCGAATGTATTGAAAGACGAAGAGATTAAATGACAGAGAAAATGAGAGAACTACGTACTACGAATGTAATACTTTTTCAAGGAGCTGTACTCACGACAGAGTTCCTGGGAGCGCCAAAGAACGCGGACTCCTCTCTGGGCGCATTCGTGGGCGTACGCGGACAGCGCGGTGCACAGGCACTCGCAGTCTCCGCCGGTGTCGCAAGAACACGTGTCCGACACGCAGCTGCAAAGACAGGCAACGCAGGCCGTTGAAAATGCACAATAAAGCAACAAAGTCATGCAGAATCATGCACTCGTGGGATGGGGCAATGAATGACTGCGTACAAACATTCAACATTCAACAGGCGGACTAATGCAATGACCAAGGATATTTTAAGTGCTCAGGAGAGGAGCATCGGCGCGAGGATATTTTCAATAGAGACTCCTTGTACAGTGGACTACTTTTTTTATACTACAGTTACTAAATTAGAAAAATCTTGTCTTGTTTGGTTTTTCATGCGGAAGGGGAGAGCTACTGCTACTGCACATCTTTTGTCTGGTATACCTATGCTGTCGGAAATATCCGCTCTTTTAGAAACAAAAGCTCTTTATACATTGTTTTCTGCCCTTTTCTGTGTACCGCAAAGACAAGATACCTTGAATAGCTGTCACTGTTGAGTTATTCAGTGCTTCTGCACACACGTTGAAAGTCGCTAACGCTCTACACATGCACAGTAAGCGGAATGACGCCGAAAGGTGGGCCTGGCCGTATTTACTTTTATTTCACAGCACTGCAGCTTATCCCCGCCATGGTGGTCTAGTGGCTAAGGTACCCGGCTGCTGACCCGCAGGTCGCGGGATCAAATCCCGGCTGCGGCTGCTGCATTTGCGATGGAGGCGAAAATGCTGTAAGGCCATGTTCTCAGATTTGGGTGCACGTTAAAGAACCTCTGGTGGTCGAAATTTCCGGAGCCATTCATTACGGTGAGTCTCATAATCATTAGTGGTTTAGAAACGTTAAATTCCCCATATGGACCAAGCACTGCAGCTTATCTTGAGCACGTGTTCGATGCGTTGCTTAATTATAACACTGAGTTTGACTAAGACACTTCACCTTATACAGTGGGAGAATGACTGACTCACCGAGGTATGGGAAATATGTAATTCTACCGAGAAAGCACATCAGGACTCACCGATCGTGGAATGGTTGCATGTCAACTTCGCTGTGACATTCGCGGAAGGGTTGCTCCTTCAGTGCTGCGCATCGGGATGCTGCCCACTCTCGCCGCTCGGGGCGTTGCAGGCACCCGTGCTGCGCGGGTACCGCGGGCGCGCAGTAGCTGTGCAGACGCCACGAATCCACGAACTCTTCGGCCTGTGGCAGGGCTGGTCCACCCGACGGGGAACGGAACTCGTCGGTGCCATCGCCGTTGAAGTTACCGCACAGACCGCTGAGCTACGATGGGGAAGCCCGGTGGGCATACATTTATTAAAACCGAAGTGGTGACGTAAATGACTGGACACCGCATTATATCGATGAATGCTTGTTATGAATAGATGTGTGTTTTTTAATGGCGTCAACGTGGGCTTGGGTGTTTCTCATCACTCGTAAGCTGCTATGCGTAAAGGACGCAGCAGGAACACAGACCCACGGTGCCATCCTGAGTTCTTGTCTACGTCGCTTACACGCAGCGGTTTAAGAGCTATGTGTCGCTGTAATACGAAGCAGTATGTAAGTTCATCTAGTGCGGGCACAACTAGATATGTGTGCGTATGCACTCTTTATTGCAATCTGAACTCCTGCAGCCTTGCTCTAATTTACCATGTTCTTTTTTTTAACTTGTTCTAGAGCGTTATATAATTTTATCTGTTCATACTTTAGTTTCGGTAACCAGTCTGTTTTTTTTTTCGCTGCAGAAGTAGTAGAAATGTAGTACTGGAGGTAATCTAAATCTGCACCTCTCCACAGCAAGTGAGTTAGGACAGGACAAAGCAATATTCTCGCTACCTAAACACTTTAGCGGTTACTATGTGTAAAACAATACGTAAAGGGGTAGAGCCTGTGATGCGTAATTTGAAGGTCGCGGGTTCTAATCCAACTGAGGGAAAAATTCGTTCCAATTCACCACAGTTCGTTCAACTTATGCATTTCAATTTACGCAAAAAATACTCCACTACAGATATAACTCGCAATCAGTGTTTCCTCTGCTTTTATTGACCTGTAAATCATTACTATTATTGTTACTTGATATACATATACGAATACTCAAGGACACAGAGAAAAAAGGGAGAGAGAGAGCTGGAAACTGGCACCTGCAGGGGCACAACGCCTGCTCACTCTAGCGGGAGGAGGGAAGAAACAGAGAAAATGAAGATAAGAGGGGTGAAGGGGGAAAAAAGAGAGGCAAGTAAAGAAAAAAAATGACGAAGGCTTAGACAAGTAGAAGTAAAAAAAATGCAACTATAAACAGATGGCCAGGTCCGTTGGGTCGTAAAAGTAAGTAGAGCCCAATGGGCCTGGTCGCGTCGGGAAGCACGACCTCTCAGAAAAAGGTGATCATATGGGGGCGTGCACTTGAGAATTTATATTCCTTAATCATCAAAACCCGCTGCGTAGCAAATGCGAGATAGTGCATCATGAGATGCGCGTGTGTTTCGCAGCAGCCACAAGCACCACACAAAGGAATGTCAACACGCCCTTGACGGTGAGTCACCAAGCAATAACACATGTATAGGGACGACGACGACAACAACAACAACAACAACAACAACAACAACAACAACAACAACAACAACAACAACAACAACAACAACAACAACAACAACAACAACAACAACAACAACAACAACAACAACAACAACAACAACAACAACAACAACAACAACAACAACAAGTGTTCCGAGTGTCTTTTACATTCATATAGAGACGAAAAAAAAAACGTAGGAGAACACCGCAGTGTATGTCTTAGAATAAATTGTGGACGTCTTACGATTCTTGAATATCTTCAGGATTTTGCTGTCGCGTCTTCAAGTAGTGGTTGTCTCATGCTCAGTAACGAAATGACATGAATACACTGTCATAGCCCGGAAGATTCGTCGAAGGGATGAAAATTATGGTCGAACCAATTATAAATACTCTCACTGTTCAAGAAAACACAAAACACCGTGCTGCTCTGCGCGAGATTATGGGCCTATATCTCAGCCCTGGAGGCTCCTATAGATGAGTGTGGAATGCGAAATCTATCATGTCAACAGCATCAAGGGCATGTTTATTTTAATTACAGAGGGCCCAAAGTTCTTATAAAACACCTTGAACAATGCCATGGTGATTACGCAACTGTGAGACACTTAACTGCATAATTTTTTTTTGCAGGATACCTGCTTTTTCAATGTCAAGCACGCTTTTTCAATGTCAAGCAAGTTCTGACGCTTTAGGTGGATTTCACGATTGATGTTTGCTCCATTCGCGATGTGCTCTCTTCGAAGACAATTCGCGTTCTGACTCCCACTCTTCCTATCTATCTATTTCTTTTAATACCTCCTTATCATTTCCGTTATGCATCACTAGTGCTGAGGTGTCCTCCAGTTGGATGAATAGTTCCGGGGTGCAGTTTTTCCTTCACTTCCCATTATTTTATTGTAATATACATTCACACAGAGCTAGTTTGTGTGCTGAGTTGCTTTCCACTGTCACTTTTTCTTCTTAACGCCGGGCAAAGTTTTTCGACGCCGCACTGGGTGACGACAATAATATTCCAATAATGAAATTTGCTAGTGCGGGCATATTTTCACTCGGAACTTCACTTAGTGCGCCAGAACTACCGTATTAGAGGTTCGTTAGGCGGTTCTGCCAATGCCTAACGCAATGACCGCATGTTCATTGCAGCTGCTCACGTATGCGGCATGCCAAGTGGGACGCGTTTAGCGGGCGAGTATGCAAACGAGCTCATGTCGAGCGCGTACCTTTCCCGCCCACACCGGTCCGGCGACTACGTAGACACGAGTGTGCTTGTCCCAGTAGACGCTCAGACTTCCACGAACATAGACGGCCACGAAAAGACCGATGCTGCGGACGCTCATAGCACTGTCGTCGCTTACAGGTGGCACCGGGTGGCCCTCGGTCAGCACCAGGGGCTCCTCAGAACCTGGCCATGGCGAGAGAAGGGAAAATACGCTGAGCACAACTTCTTCAAAAGGCAGACAATCGACCAGCGTAATTGAGCGCAGCCAATGTTGCTGCGTGTTCTACAAAAGAACGTCCTAGTTCAGTTATTGGTCCCTTTCATCACTCAAAATATTCAAAGAATATTTTCAGTTAGCCTCTTTTTTTTTTACATGTGAAGCAACTTATGAGGGAGCTTAATCCGGCGATGTCTGCGCTCCATTGCGCCTGAGCCTATTTTCTCTCCCACTCTCCTCTTTTATGCAGGCGTTAAGTCGCATTCTTTCCTCTCCTCCACCCACGCCGTAAACCCACTCCCTTCTTCTCCTCTCCCATTTCATACAAGCGCATGCACTCGGTCGGCTTCTTTGATCGTCGCTTCACTCCCGTTCGCGTGAGTGGTAACTAAGCACTAATGGAACCAATGCACAAACACAACTTAATGATAACACAAAAAAAACTAAATACAAACCGCACACACTGACGGAAACACCGAGTGAATGTAAACGGAAACGGGGTGTGCACCCCCAGTGCTGCTTCGCGTTTCCTTAAGGTTCCATTCAGGGGGAGATGGTGTAATGTTCTTTCATTAAATAAAAGGCCAAGTCCTGAACAGAAAATGCACGTCCAAGCATGAACGCACCCTGGAAAAATGATTACAGCATGCATTTAATAGCAAGTTTCGGTTCCTACTGCATCCTGACGTCACGACACGTCATGAGATTCTCGTGTCACGTGCCGGCGCAAGACATCGTGATATTTCCACTTCCGCTCCTCACCATGGCTCCGTCAGTGAGGCGCACGGTGGCGATGCACACGCAGCCAAATGAATGCTTTGATAATCCACAAGTGGGCAATTTCGGACGTTTTGGCACCATACCCTGCCACAACTAGCCATACTGCAGCGTGAAGACACCAGTATCAGTACGTAGCCTTATGTCAAGCTAGTGTCGATGTCTGAAGGTGCACACATCGGGGAAATCGGCTTAGATTTCAAAATAAAATTTCTCATAAGCGTTTGCAGAGCTTCACGTTTGCTAAGAGCCATCTCTGCAGACTGATTTGTATGGCCGAGTAAAGTCGTCTTCAAAAAATGGTGTCAGTCCCTTTTTAACATTTGAGGCTGTTTCGATGACGCATTCAATTGCTACATAACACATTCAACTTTCACATGACCTATTAAACTCTTGCGCAATGCATTATGTTCTCAAGTAAACACGTTTAACGTTTACATAACTCGTTTTACTTTCGCATAATGAAGTTTGAAGTTTCGCGAAAAGGAAATAGACATGGAATCAGAGTCATGAAAACATTTTCTTAAATGAGTATCATACTGCACTATTTAATTTAGGTCATTTAGTTTTTAGGTGTATTCTAGTATTCGTCTAAGATTTAGTCTAATAACAGCAAGTTGCATAGAAATTGGCAACCTAGGTATTCTTATCGTGACATCCTGAGCATCCCATCCTATCCCTTCATTGGAAGATATCGAATATGCGCCACCTTCTCTGCTCCCACCATTTTCACAGTTTCGTTGATCGGGTTTATTCACCCGACGAGCGCGAATGAAAACAATGAATGCATGTGTATTCAAGAAAGCGCTGCAATAGAAGCATACGTGGGCATTTCTTTTTTTTAGCAGACTTTTAGCAGCGATGTTGAATTTTGATCTATGACCAAGCAAGGGCCCACTCCGATTTATGTACAATTATCCTTCACCATAGGTAGGTAGTTGGGTCAGGTGGGGGTAGGGGGAAGTCTTGTTTGGCATGTTCAAGGAGGCTCATCTTCATCGTAGCACTTATTAATGTTATCTGCTTCTTCGTTTTTGCATCTTTAACTTGCTTTCCTCGCATTTCCGATGGAGGCGGAAATGTTGTAGGCCCGTGTGCTCAGATTTGGGCGGACGTTAAAGAACCCCAGGTGGTCGATATTTCCGGAGCCCTCCACTACGGCGTCTCTCATAATCATTTGTGGTTTTGGGACGTTAAACCACACAAATCAACCAATCAATCAATCATAACTTGCTTTCCTCTCTAATGTGTTTATTTGATTGTCCCCTGCGTTCATGATTGCTTGCTAGTTGCGCAGAGCGCAATCAAGTTTGTGTTATGGCACACTATGGCACAGAGGACAGCTGAAGAACCCACCGGCGATGACGGTGACTGTCTTGGCGCAGGAAGACTTGCTTCCGCAGGGCACGTTCTGCACGACCACGCTGACGGTGTGGTTGCCGGAGAGCCGGCCCTTGGCCAGGACGTAGTCGCACGTGCCGCGGAAGTCGAACGACAGCCCGTCGAAGGTGCGCACGTGCGAGTCTCCCCACAGGACGCACGTGCCAGCGCACTCGTGCTGAGTGCACAGCCAGCGGCCGCGTTCGCACTTGCTGCGAATGCACGTGCAGAAAGTAAGATGCCCGCACGCCTATCTGTTACTTCAACTTCTTTGAACAGGCTAACACGAATGTGGCCACGCGTAGGGAAGTACAGTGAAAATTGAGAACACGTCCATAACGCGTGACGAAAAAAAAATTACGAGAAAGAATGTAGGGATAAATTAGGATACCGCTGAATGTTTTCAGGAGAGTTATAATGGGCGAATAAAGTAGAGATACTTTCACTTTTAAATTCACAAGTTCTCAACATATAGTGAATACTGACTAAACATCAGCTTTAACCGTGTTTTCGAGTTGTTCCCTTTACCAGGTAGGAATGAGAAAACTGTGGCGTCTGTCACGTATTACGCTTTTAACTGGACTTGTACCGAATAGTAAATAACCAAGAAGCAGCTCGTTTCGTGTTGAGTGTGTGAAGAGCTTTCATACTTTCGGCGGTCACCCTGTTGCTATTCGTCTATGTCCTACGACATCTCTTCCAATACAGACTTAAACAATTCACTTTTGTTGTAGCGATTCGTGGCCCGAGTTTCACGTCGAGAAACGCTTGTTTTACAGCATCAACAAAGCATGTGATTGCTGAAAATTTTAATCCCCACTCTCTCCTTTATGTCACGTTTAGTAAGCGCCTGTGACCAAAAGCTTTACCCTGCTACGCTCTCTTTCTTCGGTCCACATTACGTGCCGCAACGACACACACCCTCGAACAGAGCGCTAATCCAGCACTTAGAATAGCTACGCTCGAGCAGTGGGAGGCTGTACTGCTGGGAGCAGTGCTCAGATGATCACGTATGGGCTGTCTGGCTGGCCAAATACGCTGCCAAGACACAAGACGAGGCCACTGCCTGATGAAGTGGCTAGTCTCCCGCCTTCCTTGACTCCAGCAAGGACGATATAGTTTTGTCGTTGTCTTCTAGTCGAACAATGTAGCTCGTGTATTCCGTGGCCATGTTTCTTACGAGCGGCTCTTACTATGTACATTTGTGTCGTGTTTCTCATTTTGGCAAATATTTTTAGCCATATACTCATAGAGCTATCGATGCTTCGACACTCGTGCACTGACTTCCGCCGCCTTTGTTGTAATGCAGGGTTTTAATATTCAATGTGAAAACCTCATGCGAATGTGGGCTTGAACGGAAAGCCAGAGTGAGGAAAGGGAAACAGAAGTTATCGCGGGGTGCGTAGCCATTACTGTACATTTTTAATCTCATCATTATGAAAGTAAATCGATTCAGTGATAGTTAATTTGTGTACATTACTTTAGGTTCAGTCAATCAGTGGAAATTGGTGATGTGCTAATAAAAAGTTTTAAGAATTGCTTGGGTAATTATCATAAGCTATTATTGTGCACTAGATTGTGCGTGTTCAAAATCAATAAAAACACAGTAAATTAGCCCCAATGAATGGCTCTCACTTTGCAGACATGTAGGGTGAATCTTAACCAGGTTTTTTTGTTTTCTGTAAGTTTCTCTCTAGCGCAAGCGATGCCTCTATTATGACTTTTTACGCTCACGATTTCTCCACGATTCTGCAACGCTGCCCAGATCTCGTATTTGTACTCGTCAAAGTAGCGACAGGCGTGTTGTAAACTTTTTCCAGAAACGCGATGACAGCGAAGTGCAGTCTCCTCTTACTCGAACAGAACTCATTAGCATTCATAAATACGCGCGTCAGATGTTTTGTTGTGTTTTTTTTTTTCACTCGCATTGTGAGCCGCGTCTAGCGTGATACCCGCTGACGGGCTTTGCGCACTTCTTGGCGGCTGGTACGCACCACTGATTGCATTCGATGTCAATTTTGTCTCCGTCAGCGTAGCTTCGCAGTCCGTGCTGGCAGGGACACGAAGTGGGAGGAACGCAGGATCCAGTCCTTTCGTCTCGGACGAAACCCTTTCGGCATCTGCGGTGGAAAAGGCAGAGTCGTGTCACGCGTACGTCCCTCGAGGCATGTTGCCATGCAAGACGCTAACTTCTACAACTTCTTTCATCGTCAACATTTTTTTACACGCTCGGAAAACTCGCTTTCAGTCATGTTTTTCGGACAGGAAAAAATGTTTTCTTGTGCTCGTGAGTAAACTGTGCCCTCCGTCTACATATGAGACTCAACGATGAAATCTTCGTGGTTGACGCGCGAATGCAATCTTCCTAGACAAATGAAGTTAGAAGCAAATAGTGTCGTTGAACTGAATACTTTGGCTGGTGTCACATACGTACTCTTTGACGCTTTCGTTACTGCTTGGCCTATTTGTTTTGTATATTTGAGAAATTCGAGAAGCAACAACGATAACGTCTCGGCACTGGTCAGAATAGTAACAAACTACAGGATGACAAAGACTAAAGAAAAAAAAAACAGTCTTTGCATTCTCTTGTTCTGTGGTTTCCATTTTTCTTTTTGCAGCATGACAGTAGGTTTCATTCGCTCCAACAGTTGAACGATTGTGTTAATAACATTGTAGCATTTATTAAAGGGAATTGAAGTGAAACAGCAAACTATATTTCTCTGAAAATCTATACTTTTGAAACCGTATTTGTTGACATAACCACAACAAAAGTGCAAAAATAAATGCCAAAAGTATCACTGACATTTCTCGCCGACAACTACGATACAGAAATCACGAGTTTAAAAGCACCTTTTTGCATTTTTTTACATTTCCGCAGCAATTATACCTGAAACTTGTTATATTGAGCCTCTAGCTTTCTCTGAAGGCTGCATTTGATTTAACCTATTGAGGACTACGTTGGCCCAATAGACACAATTAAAATAGATCACGTCATGGTGTCTGGTGCGGGAAATTGAATGTCCCGCCACCCCCCTAACTTTATGCAAGCGTATTCTCTAGCTTATCATGCGCATTCTAAGGCAAGTGTGATGGTGTTTGAGTATTGCGAAAGATAATGCTTTTTTTTCTTTGGTGTCTGTAAAAAAGATTGCATGAAGCTGTGGAGAACAACTCTGTTGAGAAGAAAATCGTAGGCGCAGGACGATGCATCAGCGTCCTGTCTTTGCATCTGTTTAAAAATGAGTATGCTTTAAAATGAGGTTGTGACAGTAGATATTGCTTTTTTTTTCTTGAGTAATTTGTAAATGCACGCATGCGTGAGGGTATCGGAAGCTAAGCACCGGCTTGATAAGTCTGATTGTGAGTATGCGCTTGTCCGCGTCTCTTCAGTCTTCGTTCTGCGCCTACGATGTCTTTGCCAGCTATGAACCTACTAGGCTGTGAGCAAATGTTATGGAAGAGCCGTGTTACCCGAGCGAAAAAGATGGTCCGCAGTAGCGGTGAAATGTGGTGAAGAACTTACTGGCATCCAGCCTGGCAGACGTCGACGGCGCAGCTTCCAGCGGCCGGAGGGCTGTGGAGTGACGCGCAAGTGGCCGGACAGTTGGAACGGCACTCGGTGTATTCCTCGTTTGTGCCGCACTCGCTCGCCGGAGGCACCAGGATCACTTCGTCGGCGCTCGCCGGTCTGCACTGCCACTGACCCGCCAGGCACTCACTGCATGAAATAAGCGAATATCATCGTAATATCTGTGGGACGTTGCAAAACCACGATATGCTTATGAAAGATGCCGTAGTGGAGGGCTCCGGAAATCTCCATCATCAGGTGATCTTTAACGCCACTGACATGGCACGGTACACGGGCTACCATATAGCTTTTATCGAAATGCGACCACCGCGGCCAGAATAATCTGTAGAAATATACTGTCAGATGAAGAAATAAAATAGGAGAAAACAGACAGAAAGAAAAGATAAAAGTAAGGAAAAGAAAAAAAAGGAAGGAAACAGGTAAAGGAAAGAAGGACAGGAACAGCAAGAAAGAAAGCAGGGAGGTTAACCATGCACATGCCCGGTTCGCTACCCTACGCTGGGAGAATAGGAAGGGGGAGTATAAAGAAGAGAGAGAGGGGAGAGAGAATAGAAAAAGAGAAACACATTGTTGGTCAATGGGCTGACGTGTATGCAGCGGTGGCACTAAACAAAAATTAAAGGCGTCCACATAGGCCTGTAGTCCTTAAAAAGCACAAAGCGGCTTTGACTGCCTTTTCAGCCGACGAAGGACAAGGACGGTGTTCCAGCAGCATCTGCACAAAGAGTGGCCGATCGTCCAATTGTCGCAATGCATCAGAAAGCTTTTGTCTCTCAGAGGCAGATCAAGGGCAATGGCATAGCAGATGGTCGATGTCTTCTTCGGTGCCACAGACGTCGCATTCCGCACTGTCGGTCAATCTAATGTGGGTTGTATATGCCTTTGTGAAGGTGACCCCCAACCAAAGCCGACAAAGAAGCGGGGCTTCATGTCGATGAAGTCCGGATCGACGTCCGCGTTCCAGTCGAGGGTTTATTTGGTATAGTCTCGTAAGACTTATGCTTGGGGTGTTCCACTCCAACAGACACAGACTACGTGCCAGGTGACGAAGTTGCTTTCCAGCGTCTGTCCTTGACAAAGGGATCGGAAAGATGTGCTCTTCTTGGTGCGAAGTGCTAGCCGCGTTTTCTGCGGAATCATTGCCACTGATCTTACAATAACCAGACGCCCACTGAAATTTGACCTCGTGGCCTGTTTCTGTGGCTTGGTGAAGAAGCTTGACAACCTCGTATGTTAACTGTTAGTGGCAGCCTCGTCGAAGAACTGACTGCATGCTCTGTAAGGCCACTTTCGAGTCGAAAAACATAGCCTGTTTACTCGTTCTCTGGGATTTGATGTGCTCTAGGGGGCCACGCAAAGCCGCAAGTTCTGCCGCCGTAGACGTAGTAACGTGTGACAGCTTGATTCGCAGGGTGATTTGTCTAGCTTGTGTCACCACTGCACCTCCAGAACTATAGAAGCTGTGGTATAACCACCGGTGTATCTGTACACGTGGTTATCGTACATTTCGTGCAAGAGGTGTAAGCCAAATTGTTTTAGGGCTGAAGAAAACAATTTTGATTTCCTTTGTATTCCTGGGATCGTAAGACGTACTTGTGAAAGGGGGAGGCGCCACGAAAGATGTACCAATTTCTCCACAGGCGTAAAACTTGACGTAAACGGTGCACGATGCGCACAGACAATTGCATGAAATTTCGTGCGGGGCCTCTCAGTAGCGAAACTCGCCAAGTGGTAGGAAGGGTTCATGGCATGTTGCCTGTGGTACATACGGATCGGTTCAATTTCTGCGGTACAGCCCGACTGTAATATCTAACGCGTGCAAAACTAACCTGCGCACACTCTTAGGATATGCTCTTAGGATATGCCTTCGTATACCCTGTAACGTTTGCAGTGCTCGCCCTCTTTCTACGTCGGGGCTTTCTGATAACATTGCCCGATTGCTGTTATCTTGCTGTTTTCTTTTCTTTCGTGCCAACCTGCGATTGGCTGCGTAGCGCTTAAAAACGCGCCGCAAGGTGAATAAACTGGGATTGTCTTCCTGGCACTGCTTGAGTCGTCTCTTTCCTGGGCCGGCTGTCGTCCAGCCGCCGAATACGTAACAGCTGGTGGCAGCGGTGGCGGCGGTATGGAGCGCACGTCGAAGGCGGCCTTGGCGTCCGGTTTGGTGAGAGCACGGCTTGCTTGACTTCATTGGGAGCATTAGCAGCATTTACTTGGTAGTCGAGGTTCTTTTGTATTTGTTGTTGACTTTGCTAAATAGTAGTACATATCAGGGTAGCACTTGTTAACTGCAGTCATGATCCTCACGTCGTTAACGAAACCCAACCTAGTGCTGCTAGCTGAAGAGCTCGGTATCCCTGTACAGAAGTCTATGCGGAAGCCTGCAATTATCGAAGCGATATCCAAATGCGGAGCAAACGACGACGAAGTCGAGGAGTGTTGGAGGGCAGTCTCGGAAAAGCTCAAAGAACGAGAAGTAGAACTGAAGTTAAAAGAGATGCAACTGCATAACCTTGAACGCAATGACAGTTTCGATATGCGAGGATACATGCAACCTTTCAAGGCTGGCAGTGACATCACTTTGTATCTCGTCAACTTTGAGAGGACGTGTACAAGAGCTGCACTTGCAAAAGAGACTTGGTCGCAACGCCTGTTGACATTACTTCCAAATGAGGCAGCCGATGTAATCGCGAGAATGCCAGATGAAGATGCTCATGATTACGAAAAAGTGAAACTTCATTTGAGGCGAAGGTACAGCTTGTCAACAGAAGCCTTGAGGATGAAGTTCCGTAACACGAGGCGTGGCCAAGGGGAGTCATTTTCAGAATTCGCCTACAAATCCATGAGCTTGTTAGAGGAATGGCTTAAGAGTGCCAACGCATACGAGGACAAGCAACGTCTGATTGAACTGTTTGCGCTCGAGCAGTTTTATGCGTCCATTCCGGACCAAATGCGGCTGTGGATTCAGGACAAGCCAAACGTAGAGACTTTGCAAACGGCAGCCAGCTTGGCGGACGAGTACCGTTCCCGTAGAATGGAAAGTTCGGAAGAACAAAGAAAGAAGCCGTCAGGAGCGTTCAAGAAATTTCAGAAAGGAACGAAAGAAACTAACCAAGGGAAACCAGGCGACAGTGTTCCAGCCCAAGGGCATGCAGCCAACGCGAGTGAACCGAAAAGTTCCAAGTTCGAAGAAAAACAACCGCTGGTCTGCTATAAATGCCAACAACCGGGTCACATCGCAGTCGGTTGCCGACAGCCAGCAGTTTCCGTCAATTTGCTAACCGAAGAGAGCGATTTACTCTTGCCCTACACATATGACATGAAGGTGAACGGCATCAGTTGCAACGTTCTGCGCGACACAGGAGCAACATTTGATATCGTCCACCCGTCATTTGTTAAGCCCGAGAACTTAACAGGTTCATGTGTATGGGTACGCCAGGCACTAGAGCCAGACATGAAGTGTTTGCCGGTAGCCAGAGTCGAAATGAAGGGCGCCTTCGGCACATTCGAAACTGATGCTGCGGTTTCCGATAAACTTCCTCAGAAAATTCCCTACATTTTTTCTAACCGATCAATGAGGGACTTCCAAAATGCAGGACTGGAACTTAATGCTAACCCTGTAATGGTCGTCACGAGGTCCCAAACAAGAGCTCAAGCTACCAGCGCTACCCGTAACACGGAAATTACAGACCAGAGTGAACCGACACAAGCTACTTCAACGACCAGTGCCACCATGCACCTCAGCAAAGACAATATGACCGTGCGAAACGTGTCAGTGCTGTGCTTGGAGACCTGCCCACGTGTTGGCTACCTGTTACCACCTCCAGCCGTTCATGAAGCGTCATCCTCTTGAACGCCTTCCGCTAGGGGTAGCTTTGGCCGAGTTGTAACGTTTGCAGTGCTCGCCCTCTTTCTACGTCGGGGCTTTCTGATAACATTGCCCGATTGCTGTTATCTTGCTGTTTTCTTTTCTTTCGTGCCAACCTGCGATTGGCTGCGTAGCGCTTAAAAACGCGCCGCAAGGTGAATAAACTGGGATTGTCTTCCTGGCACTGCTTGAGTCGTCTCTTTCCTGGGCCGGCTGTCGTCCAGCCGCCGAATACGTAACAGCCCCCTCTGTGCATCGACGGCTGAAACCAATGCCTTTGCACAGGACTACCCGATCATGAGACAGGTAAAGAAAGAGCAAGAAAGAAGCAGTTCGCAAGATAGTAGAACCATGCGACACTTGATGAGGTGAAAATGAGCCAGTTAGTAAGTCACCCTGTGTGATAACATGAATGTTGTTTCAAATGCGTTGCGATTCTGATTAGACACCATATCGGGGCTCTTTGTCACTGTGGTGCCTTTCACTACAAACTTCTTTCCTTCAAAAGTGATTATTAATAACTGATATACGTTACGCGTACATTCATTGTAGTCCTGAAACCCATGTCTGTGTGGTGGCCTACTCTGTTACGCATGCGCGAAAATTTCACTATCAACTTCCTTCACGTGCTTTCATTTTCGTTTTTTTTCTCACACTATCGCGTTCAGCACCCGTGATCCGTACTCCCAGTAAGGGCAATCTATTTATGGTCTAGCGGATTTTCGCCAGTTATCAGCAAACCTTTCTTCTCTTTCCAAAGTGAAATAGTATCAGCTGGGGAAAATGACACCATGCGTTGGATGCTGACGCTGCGCATAATTATTTAAAGGAAGTGTGAGGGCAGAAGAAGAGAGCGCACGAGGACGTGTCTTGCGGATCGACGCATGCGCAGATCATTTGTATGTCGTAACTCACGGTGCGTTCCATGGTTTCTCTTCAAAGAGGGCAAAGAAATGCCAACATGCGAACAGCTACGTACCAGTGCTGATCGTGCCTTCGCTGCTTGAATCCTGCAGGGTACTCGTGACCGGCGAACAGGCATCCGCACTGGCTGATGGGCACGCAGCGGCCTCGGCGGTCCAGGCTGAAGCCCGGCTCACAGGCGCACCCTTCCACGCAGCGTCCTCCACACGACGTGTTGCGGCCGATCAGCGCGCAGCTTGAGTCGCACACCGGAGCGCAGCTTTGGTAAGTCTGGCCGTGCTCGCAGTACACGCCTGCAGACACACAACGCCATTTTCGTTGTGCTAGCCATTATATGCAGTCGTACACTCGCTACGTGTTGTTGCCGTTTGTGCCGCCGTCATGCTCCGTATAACCCCTTCAGCGGTGGTCAATACAACAACCGTAGGGGGGCGCGTCACGCACCGCGTGTTTCCTCGAGTGGCCTGAAATGCTGCGTGAACGATTGTGCAGGTTTCTTGGGTGGACAACTATAGGTAATTTAACTTCATTGTTCTGCGTGTTGCTGCAGAGGATCCCTTTGCTAGAGACACTACCATCTTCGTCTATCGTTCGACGTGCAGCGTTCGAACACCAATGTCAAGAGAAATATTCTTCTTTGCTTGAAATGAATATAACCAAACAAGAAACGGGGCATGCATTCTGCACCTACTATTTGATAACCTTCCTACAAAAATTGAAGCAGACTGCAGAATAATTAGACACAATTTTATACTTATTAACATTATCTAGTGGATGTCGCACATGCACTGTACTGCCTCATTTCCTTACCTGAGATGTAATATAAGCAGTTATAAGAAAACCAGTAATCACACAATTCTGACTACACAACACGTGTGTGGTTTAATGCTTTCCACCCACTGCAAAGTGCTCATCCATCATTCCTTATCGTCAATCGTCACATTATGCCTTACAGATGTGTACCGAGTACTGCTACTTATCTGCAAAATACAAATAACGGTGTAGTTGGTACTGTCCCGCTTCACAAAGGTAAATTATTAGGGCGTATATGATGCCTTGTGGGAAGTCACAACTTCTAACAAAGTTGGCCTGGCCTCAACAGGAAGCTATGCTCAGAATTCGCATAACGCAGCACCGTCGCAATCGGCGAATTTTTGCGTATCTAAAGCAGGATTGCTTGCTTGAAAGGAACGTTGGTCTCTCTTGTCTCACGGAAAACTAATTCCGGCTACTCCAGCGGCCACTTACCACACACGGGCACCTGGGCTCTCCAGTCGATCACGTGACCTTAGAAGAGCACGCATGCGCGTAGTGTGAGAACACGGGGCAGAGACAGTCTCCGGAGTCAGAGTGGCAGCCGCACGATGCTTGGATGCAGAGCTCGAAGAACGGGTCCGGGTTCACCGAATGGTGGCACACTGCGCCAAAATCGTGGGTGAATGTTCCGTTTACTACATCTGCACGTCGTACAGACGCGCAAATAGCACATGGTTTCAGTGCCGGCAGATCTGCTTTTCACATCCATCAATGAAGTTGAAAAAGTTCTCCTGATAGAAATGAAAATGCTTGACTGCGGCTTTTTTGGAATAGCAACTAAGCGGCGAAGCTGCTATATAGGAGGAAAAAAAAAAGACGTATCCAAGGATGCAGTGTTCTGATGTGCGAAACACGCCGGTGGTATTTTGTAATATATATTTCTCATTTACACACCTCTTCCCTGTTCTTTATTTAGAATAAGACACTGAAAACACCGAGAAGGCTTCAATAAAAAAAAAAACATACCACTCATTCCGTTCGCAGTGTGCACAATATTTTTCAGAGACATAGGTTCGAGCTCTTAGTTTCACCCGAAACACTATTTAAATAATCCATGTTATTTCACACATTATTCACACAGTAGTATTTTCACGGGTCGTTGTATACAGATAGGAGAGCCCGCCAAGCTGCTTGTCCAAAGTTAGAAAGGGTCATGTAAGCGACTTCATGAGGTCCACGAGATGACGAACGATGGTTTGGTTCCTTCTTCATGGAAGTCCAACCTGGAGCGGTCGTCCACATATAGATGCGCTCTACAGCGTAACGAACTGCCACCAGCGGTGAAACACGACTTATAGTCCTTAGTACCAGCACGCGCCCACGGGAGGCACTTTTCATTCACGCCGTCACTACTCGTGAGCCTTGTTGTGATGATCTACTTTGGCCGCACCGCAGGCAACTTGGTTACTTAGCAAGCGCATATTTCTACAATTACTATTGCTTTTAAAAATGCTAGTCTTGCTTCGTAAAACATTACAATGGGTTGCTATCGCATTCATTGCTTCGCTTTTTTGGCAAAACTGCGACTTTGTTTCTAAAAAGTAAGGATGATGCTAGGGTAGTTGCCTTTACAGGATATCACGAAAAAACGTAATATGGCTAGCAGGCTTGTCTAACCTTCTTGTTGAAATTTTTTTTCTTAAAGATCGTGATGAATACACGAGTTATCTATGTACTGTTAAATTGGAAATTGTTCAATGAACATTTTCTTGGCGACTGATTCAAATGTCATTATCTGGGCATGAGACATGCAAACTTTTCCTTTGCCAATTCTGCGGACTTTGTATTCGAATACATGCATGACATACCAGTGAATGCGCCTTGGTAGAGCTGCCTGCAAATGTGTTTGCTCTCGGGCCAGAGCAAGGTGTCTCGGTCGCACTGCGTGGTCACAGCTTCGACGCTGGCACATTCGCCGTCGGCCCACTGCTTCGCGAACGATTCCACCTGCACCCCACACACAACGTTTGTATTTATCCTACGTCTATTGTTACTTGTCTGCCATTCCCACCTCATGCAACAACCCACACAGTGATATACGTATGATAACTTACGGTGTATTTTGGTTGCTGGCGAGAGTTTGGTCTCATTGCTGTTTCCTATTAAAGTAATAGACTTGTGAAATATCACGCAGCATCTTCCGATACGATTATTTAGGGGTGTGCAAATACCTTAAAGCTTATCCCACGCAGCCACTAGTATTTAAAATGAACTCAACTACACAAGTTTCATTACTAATTTATTATTTTAATTGCGCAATCGCAACATTCATTTCATGCATATAATTTACATTGATTACTGTCATAAATTTTTATTGAACCGATTTGAAGATAGCATGCCAGTTATATCCGACAAACATGTGGTCTGAATATCCCAGAACAAAACTATCCGTTTTGGTTCAATGTTCGTTCGATGAGCACAATCACCGCTGACACTGGTTAACGGAAAGTGCACAAATGTTGAGGGCGCGAGAGAAACGCGGGGTGAAGCCTAACGTTGACAAAAAGAAAAAAAAAAAAGCTCACTCAAACTGACTGAATTTCTTTTTAGAACCCAAAACCACGACATGATTATGAGGGACGCCAGTTGTGGAGGGCTCCAGAAATTTCGGCCATCTGTTGCAATTTAGCGTGCCTTTACATCACACAGTACACGGTCAGACTCCCTCAAGGAGTATAGTTCTCGCTCAGGGCTCACTCGGACTCACTCACTAAAATTTTCCTCAGCCACACTCAAACATAATCGGACGGACTAAATTTTCAAAACACACTCAAACACTCACTCTGACGCAGCTCGGTCTGAATCTGAGTGAGCCTCGGTGAGCAGACTTCAAAGCGAGATTGTCGACCTATGGACGAAGCTAGGGGGAACAGTTAAGCACTTGTCTGTGGCCCCTCACTTCATTCATTATTTACATTTTTTGGGTTGTCAATACCACAGCTCGAAAGGCCAGCGCATGCCACCTGGTAGTCGATGTCGCCTCCGGGACACAAGAAGTCGTCCTGGCTGTTGTGGTTGAAATGTGCCGCACATGCCCATCGTCTTAGTGTAGAGACCTTCGTCGGCAGTGAGGACGAGACGGCTCTTGCCGTCCGTCAGGAGCGTCAGGCCTTTGGTCTCCACCTGGAACACAGGGTGGTGTTTGCCATCCTGTCTGACTGACAACAAAATCGAAACATCAATATTCATCGCGTGGCTTCTCTAACCTCGATAAAGAAGGACGTTGGCTTCGTGATTGTGACGTTCGGAAGCACGGCGGGAAGGGACGTCAGCTCCCGGGCATTGATGAGAACCTGCATTGAAAAGGAAGTGGCCAGAGAGAGAGAGAGAGAGCATGAAATGTGCAACCGAGAAAAACGCGAGGAGGTTAAACAAAATCAAAACTTCCAGTTTTCAATGCTTGTTTCAGGCAAAGAATTTTTCTAGGAGCCATCGAAAACCAAACTTGTAATTCTTTTCTTTTTATAAAAAACCAAGTTGAACCCTTTATTTATCCATTACCAGCGTATAATTTACGTCCAGTGCACGGTGAGTGCCTCTCCCAGCTATCTCCAATTTACCTTATTTTGCGCGAGCTGATACCAATTGATGCATGAGGACGCATCAGCTTGCCCTTCTCTCCATTCTGCTGATCTAATGGTGCACTTGTTGTAAGTTAATTGAATTACGCAGAGCCATTTCTGTACTTCCTTATTAAAGGTTAATAGGCGTAAAGAGATTGGGGCATATAAGTAGCCATGTTGAAGTAAGAAGGCGAATATATAGTCAGTGAAGTGGACGCATGTATGACCGCCGCTGTACGTCAATCGGTATAGTGCATCGGACGCGTTATCCCAAAGTCACTGGTTCGGTGCCTGCCAGCGGCAAGTTATCTTTTCGTCCATTTCCCTTTCTTCTCATTTATATCGCAACTACTGCAAAAAACGTCCACAATATTTTCGTTTTGGTTTCTTGTATGCCATCTGGTTAACATCATGTTGAAGTTTGTAAAACACAAATAAAATTTCTAAAAAAAAGTGGTTAGCTACTTCAACAAGCCATATTTAGCTCACAAATAGCTCTCACCTGCAGCTGCTGGTTTATGGACACTAGGATGTTCTCTCCTATCTGTACGTGTATGTCTCCCAAGCAGACGGCGTCCTTTGGTAAACCAGCGCACACATGCTTGTTCTGGATTACCCGGATGCCTTGCGCCTGTAGCAGGATGAACCCGCAATGACCGCGCGTCTGAAACCGTCCGCCGTCAAAGGTGGTGTAGATGTGTCCCAGAAGCACCGAGCATGTTGCGTCACAGATGGCCTTGGTGCACTGCCAGCGGCCGTCGTCACACACACTGCACGGAATCGGTATTGAACGATGTAACATCAACCTTAAAGATGCTACAAGTATGTGACTGTTAAGTAAAATAGGACCAAAAATCAGCATCGGAAACCTCTGGGCCTCTTAGCACGCGGTGATCTACTTCAAATGATGTATTTTCCGGTTGAGTTTTATAACAAAATGAAACCCCTAGTTTATCGCACTCTCTATATGTATACTCAATGGGAGTAATATTCCAAGGGGCCAGTTTGTATTCATCACATGTGCGTTGTAACACAATAGAAGCGTTGTCAACAATGATACATATATTTGTATCCCAAAAATATTGAGAGTGGTCCTCTCTTTGTCAGGAGATGAGTCTAATTATTCGCAGAATTTTTTCTTTGGTTACATCAACGGTCTTCCCCATTAGCGTCTAGACTACGATGCCCTCTGTAGATTGTCTACTTCCGTGTCTCGTGAGCATCGTGCTTACAGAAGGGAACCTTATGCACAGTGCTTTCCACACTTGTTAGTTGTGGCTTTTTGCGAAAATTGCAAACCAAGCTGAATGTAGCTGTAGCTACGGCCCATGCAACCCCTACGAACTCGTCTTTCAGAGACTTCGACTTGGAGAGACACCTACCAGAGATTCCATACAACTTGACTTCCGCTATTAAGCGTCTTGATTACACACTTTTGGATCATGGCTGTGACAAACCATAAGCCCATTTTCGGTCTCCTTAAAAATTTGTATTTACTCCTTATTTTTAATTACTTGAGAGAACCCGTAATAGTTCAAGCAGCTGCCACGCATGCAGTCGGCCCTAGCTCCGTTTCAAAAGGCTTTGTCGTCATGCCTTTCCTCAACGTTCTGTGCACACGCATTCTTCCTTTACGGTTGTTTTTATACGTGATAAAATGTCTTCAAAGCTTTCACAGATGTCTAGAGCATCGTCAGCCTCTTTTGGGAAAGTTCCATTTTATTGTCAGTTACTCTTCGGCTGCAATGAATTGGGATGCTCGAGTGTAATACACAACGATCCGTGTTTGTACACAAAGAAGTTATTTTTTGCTTATTACTTTCTATGTGAACACCGCACGTATAACGCGTTTCAAAGAGGCACGTTGACTATCGGGAAGAAAGTCGTGGGATGAAAAAGAGTTAACGTATCTCTTTAAAGAGAGTTAAACATGTGTCACGTGTAAATAAAAAAAAAACAGAACTCCGTGTTTTCTTAGACTCTATAGGTGGCTTGCGCAATAAGGACACTATCGGTGACCGTCAAGCATAGCCCACCATGTGTTGCAGTCTTGGTCGACCTGCTCGCCGCTCTGGTACTTCCGGCCCCTGTAGGTGCAGGCGCACTGTCTCGGCTCCACGCAGCGGCCGCTGTCCCAGAGCAATCCTTGGGGACAGTGGCAGCCTGAGGCGCATTGGCTGAGCGTGCATGCCGGCTCGCGGTCGGCGCACGTGGCACGACAAGCAGGACCGCACTCGTGGTATTCACTACCACCGTCACACGTGTGGGCTGGTTGGACGAAAAACGCATGGAAGGAAATTAGTCCAGCAGTGACAGTGCCGATATCTGTTCTTCTTTATTGACCTTTGTCATGCGCATACATTATATAGAAAATTTTGAGCCAACATAGACCTACAACATCACTAACATTGTGACTGTAAGGTAGCATGAAGCAGAGCTGTAAGAGCGCGAGTTGTAATATATGGAGTATCGTAAAGAGGGAAGCGTGACGGCAACCATGTGTGCGAGTATGATTTTATTTCCTTTTTTTGTGTGTGTATGGCACAAGCAGTTAATTTTTTGTATTAAGCTATGACCTAATAATGTACCTTGTGCTGTAAGCTGAGACACGAAATTGACAATGGTGCGAGCAGCACTCATTAAGGATTATTTGGCATCAAGAGTGTACGGTTACTCATGCAATGCTGGGTGCGAGTAGTATTCTTCCATATGTGCGCTGTACCTTTTGTAGCTTTCAACGCGCTTTGGAGCCGCAGTCTTAAATCACAGTTCTGTGACAACGCCGCTGTACAGTACAATGACGTCACACGTGACGTCATTGCACTTGTCGGAAGTTCTGAGTAAACACATATCCAACAGCACAAAAGTGTAGTACGTGCTCAAGAACGTTAGCGGACCTAAAACATCAATCGGGCGTATCGGCAGATTAGCAGTCAAGAGATAAGTGAGAACAGAGGCTTGCAACGCACGGCAGACTGTGTCTCTTCTCCACGTTTCCTTGAGGTCGACGCCGAGGCGTTGGCATTCGCGGAAGTACTCATCCAAGGTGGCACACTCGCAGCCCGAGGGCGAACGCCTGTCGCAACAGTCCTGTTGACAGGACTCGAAGAAACGGTTTGGCCTCAATACCTGCACACATAGGGAAACCATTAGGTTATTGATCAAAGGCCAACTTATTTTGCTTTTTTTTTTTCTTGCTACGGCTGATCAGCGACGACAAGAGTGTTTGTTCACAAAGTTTTGTCGGTGCATATGCATTTTTATTGTCCTATACAGCAATAATGTCGATTCAAGTTGCCCATCAACATTTATTCGTATTCAAGAGGAGGGAGGACGATATTTGTGTCTACATACAAAGTGAGAATCTCACATCACTGTTTATTTGCCTCGTCTACATGAAGCACCGCCATTGCAAAAGGCATTTTTTTTCTCCTTATGATGTTCTGATAAAGAGGGAAATTATTCCGTCACTTTGTGGCTTTTAGTTCACCTATTAAGACATCACGGTGAAGTTCGCAGCTCACAAGCCCCACGTCACAAAACCATAACGAAAAAGAAGGAATACTAAAAATACACAGACCAATTCAAGGCTGAAGCTACGATCTATTAGTCGTAAGTTACGACAATATGGTTGCCTTTACATCGTGTCCTAATGGTTGTGAGCCTCCTTCACACTACGGGCTAATCTTTAATATGCTATAAGGAATAAAATCAAAAGAAGATCTGATCGAGAAACAGTGGCCTTCAAGCAATCTTTTTTTTACCTTTCTTCCCATTTTTAAAGCTCCATCACCCGTTTCCATGATGTTAGGTATGCATACCTGTTTTTTTTTTTTTCAAAGCAGTTAACAACCTCGCCTTTCGTTTCTATCCTGTCCCTACCTTCGTTTAGGCAGCGCGTGCTCGGAAGCAGCATTTGGACCACATTGGCTCTTTACCGTTAAGACCGTTTCACGTGACACAAAACTCGGCGATTTTTAGGCTGTGAATTCGGTCACAGTGGAAAAAACGACCAGTGGTCAGCGGCGAGCGACCAGCATGCTGAAAATGTTTTCGCTGTGTTCCCAGCGGCGGCGCGATTTTTCCGTCGGGACCCGTCGAAATAGCGCCGGGCCGGGTCGACCAAGCCGCAAAAAATGTGTCGACGCCTTGGTTTTAGTGATGGTCCTTCTGCATTTTTAACTTAATTTAGATTAAAGTGTTCTTAAGGGAGAAAACACGCGCAATTTTTGTCACCGTTCATGAAAAATCAATAATATGGTAATGCATAGGTACCGTTACATTAATTTTGAAAAAAAAAGTGCTGTGTTTTCCACAAAGAACAACAATGGATACTTTTGCTCGATGCGCTGGTCACAGAGCCAAAATCACAAAGCATTTACGGCTCATGTGAAACAAAACTGCCATTAGTGGCGGTTGCGAATGGAGCGAATGAGGCACAGTAGACGATTTTTTTTTTTAGCTGCAATGGCGGCATGTGAAATAGCCTTTAGGCGGCACAAAAGCAAATCACACCACTAGCATTGCCTCATGACTTGCATAGCCGAGTCAGGGGCTGTGGGTGACGAAATAACGAAATAAGCTCCAAAAGCTTGACATGTAAAACGATTCGAGAGGGGGGCACAGCTATAACTTAGGAGAACTTTCACAAACCACAATGACCGACATTGAGCGCGCACACCGCAATACTAGCGTTACCTTGTGGCAATCCCTGTAGATGTCGTTGAAGATGATGGAACAGCGGTCGAAAGCTGTCAGGGATACATTCTTGTCAGCGCTAGAGCGCACAGCGCAAGCTTCCCTCTCAAGGCCACTGTGGATGCAATCTGTGGGACCATCGAGAACGATAAAAGTGAATTCATTTGCAAGACCACCACATGCAGAGTGCACACATTGAACCCATTAAACAGTTCCCACAAAGTGAAGTGACAAGACGCACTCAAAGGCATATGATTACACATTCAGTGTAAGTATAACTGTACGTGAATGCTTTTAGGTGAATGCTTTTACTAACATTTCAGCCGTGGCAGGGACGAAGACTAGGTGAACGCTTTTACTAACGTTTCAGCCGTGGCACGGATGAAGGCCATGCCATGACTGAAACGTTAGTAAAGTTAGAGGAAGGAAAGGCAAGAAAGTCAACCAAGCGAGCAGCCGGTTTGCTATCCTACTCCGGGGGAAGTGGATTGAGGGATGAAAAGAGAAAGATAGAAAAAAAGGGTAAGCTTAAACTAGACTACCGCGTTCGATAGTACTGAACGCTGGACTTCAGGCATGTCAAGTTCCACTTTAGATCGTATACAGCTTCTTACCTCTCTCCACCACCCACGATATTCCAAACTCTCGTGGTGTGAGGGCGCTTCTGGCGTCCAGGAGAGTCAAGTCGTTGGACGGCTCGCCATCAAAGTGACCGCAGAGGCCACACGCGCTCTTGCGTAATGCCGGTGTCACTCGAATCTGAACGGACTCCTGCACATGGCACAGAGCAGTGATCGAGTAATTCCAAGTAAACATTTCTATGTGCGGTACGTATCTCTGTCTATCTCTGTTCTAAATGTATATAACGAATGGAAATCTACTGAAAGACATATATATATATATATATATATTTATATATATATATATATATATATATATATATATATATAGTGGGAGTAATCATTCAATGGGCCAGTTAGTCTTCGTGAAGGTATAGGATATGGCACAATGGGAGCGTTGTCAACAAGGATAAATATATTTATTTCCCAACAGTTTCGGGAGGGGTTCTCCCTTCATCAGTGGACGAGTTATATTTATCCTTGTTGGCAACGCTCCCGTTGTGCCATATCCCATATATATATATATATATATATATATATATATATATATATATGTATGAGATCTAACAGACAGTAATGCCAAGGAATGTACAGGGGAAGTTATTAGAACGAATGGAATGTAAATTAAAAGAAAGAAGATCTAATAAAAAAATAACCAGCCATCGAACGCGTTATTCGAAGATCGTAGGTTCGTTTCCTGCTGACGGCTGGTTATTTTTCCATCCACTTTTATTTCTTCTTATTTACATTCCATTCGTTCTAATAACTTCCCCTGTACATTCCTTGGCATTACTGTCTGTTAGATCTCATTATTATTGAGTTAAAACACGGAAAAACGAGCCCTTAGGTATACACTTCTTTCCCTTATATATATATATATATATATATATATATATATATATATATATATATATATATATATATATATATATATATATATATGCGTGATTGATAAGCGTGATTTGTGAGCTGTTGATGGCTCGGCTAGTGTGTCCTATGCCCACATTCAATCACGTCGTTACCAAAAATATTTTGCACACGCTGGCTTTCCAGTCTTCTTCTCAATGCGAATTATTAAGTTTTTCGTTCTGTGGTGTGGGGACAGTTACGAAACGTTGTTTTTACAGATTGTATCTATATTCATCCATTCGATGCTCTCCGTGCGCATGAATTTTTTTTTTGTTTTTATGTTCGCAAACTTAACATCACCTGTTAGATAAGTTTGGAGGAACGCATGAAGCTTATATCAGACCAAGATGCGGCCATGGAACGAACTTTCTATCTCACAGAAATGTGATTCGACAACTGTTTCACTGTCTCGGTAGGCGCAATGTGAAGGAACAAACGATTCCCTGCAATAGATGGCACGTGAATGCCTACCTCATCAATCCACACAGTGTATCCTTGTGGACTTTGTAGAACGAGGTACTTCCCGGCGTGCTGCGCGCTCAAGCCAGGAATAGCATCTACGAGCGGTTGAGCGTCCTCTGGCGGGGCCTGGCCCAGGGTAATGCTCACGCGCTCACCGGCTCCTGCACCAACGAGGTGCAACATTCGAGTGCAGTTGGCCACGTTGGGGCAGCCCTCGGAGTGCTGGAGTTCGACTGAGAACTTCGCCGAGGGGTCCGGTTGGGCGCAGTCTTTGAGGAGGACGTAGCGGCAGGTGCCCGCGAAACGAACAAGGTGCCATCGAAGCTCTTGAACTGGAATCGACCCCACGTGCTGCACACACCGGTGGACGCTGGTGGAAGCTCTGCACGTGACAGAAGTGGTGTCGTACAGCGTTTCATTAGTAGAAGACACCTAGGAATAGATATCTCGTGTTGAAGCTGATCATCAAAGAGCATCTGAGCCACTGAGTGCGCGAGGGAGCAAAAGAGAAAGCCAGTCACTTGGTGAATGAATGCACGACTGAGCATCTAGGAGGAGGAACAACAAAAGAGAAGGCAAGGAGTTAGCCAGGCCCCTGCCCGGTCGGCTACCTTAGGCTGGGGAAATCGGAAGGGGGAGTATATAGATGAGAGAGGAGAGAAGTAACCGAGTAACTTATGGTTTAGTGAATAAACGATTTAATAAAAAAAAGAAATAAAGATAGCAACTGCATAAACAAGAGAAAGAACTTGTTAGTGAGGTAAGTTTATAAGAAACTTAAGGGATGGAAAGAAATTTAAACAAGGCAGGAGCGCATAGGAACATTAAAGCACGAAGATGATTAAAATCATGGAACAGGGGAACAGGGTCACTAGTGCCGGTGTGGTCCCGTGTTCAAATATTTCCCTTTATTTTGGGGAAGAAGTGTTTTGGTGTTGTTTTCTTAATCAACCAAGTCGAGCTAAGCTAGAACATCAATCCCGCTTGTATATTTGTCAACACTTTCTGAAACTTTCCTCTAAAGTCATACCTTTCCTGTCTTATTAAAGAAAAACTGTTGCCGCGGTTGTTTGCATAACTGTGGATAGTTCTGGAATCTAGTCTGTTGATATCTTGACACTTTGGCATCCAATCTGTCACTCCTAATGACTGCGGTTCACACAGTAACAGACTAGATTTGAGCAAAAAGCGAAGGCATGAAGGAGAGACAGAGTTAGGTGAGGCAGATGAGATGAAATAATGTGCACTTATAACGCGGCAGCAGGAAGCCCAGAACCGGGTTGATTGGCGGAACATGGCGGAGGCCGACTGATAATGACGATGATGATGATGATGACTATAATTTCATTTAGATACGATAACATGAAAAGTTAGTGTGTGTTAGCGGCTAAAGTGGTTGCTTGGGCGTGTTGGTACGGCGTAATGAAAAAGAAACAGTGCGAAAAACAAGAGACCAGACAAAGACGTACACATACAGCACTCTGTATTTGTACTTCTTTATCTGGTCTCTTGTTTCCACGCTGTTTCCTTTTTACTATGTGCTAGCGGGCTGTTCCAATATCAAGAAATGTTTTAGGCGGAATAGAAATTGGCCCTAGCTGCAACCACAAACGTAAAAATTCAACATTTTGCGGTTTCCGCACTGATGACTTCGGAAATATAACCTGAAAATTGCCCAGGTGAGTTTAGTCCTGCTGTGAACAGGCGTAAATTCAAGTATAACTACTGCTTGACAACAGGATGCCTGTTCAAGACGATTAATAACATTGTAGGTAAACTTTTTCAGGATATGCTCAAGAAAAACCTTAAACCATTCGGGACACTCTTTTATTTAATCACATGGCGGGAAAAATGATGGTGCGCATAGTTTTTTGAACTTTCATACTGTTTTAACCAACACGGCAATAAATGCGGTTACGTACCATTTTCACCGGGAATCTGAAAAGCAAAAAACGAGAACGTTGTCAGTAATCAATATGGTGTCGAAGAATTTCAAAGCTTATAAAAAATTGTTAAAGAATATTACTTTAACCAATCAGTCGACCGAGGAATTATTCGGCATTTATTACAGTGTCAGCAAGGTTAGCAACGTGAAGCCGAAAAAAAGCTATAATGCAGATTAGCATTCTTTTTGGCCCAATTGTTTATTTCGTTTTATTAATCATTATAATACGTGAAAATATACGAGTTATTTATGGTTACTCAAAGCTGATTAATTACATTCGCTTATCAGAGTGATTGTGGGGAGTGTCGGGGATGGGGGTCCCGGAAAACTTCTGGCTACACGCCTAATTTTTCGCATAATGAGGAAAGTTGCGCTTCTATTTGAAAAAAAAAAAAGACCGCTAGAGAGACAGAGAGACAGAATAAGGATGAAAGAAAGGCAGGGAGGTTAACCATGGCTGAGCCAGGTAGGCTATCTTGCTCTTGGATAAGGAGAATAAAAGTGACAGAGACGGAGGATGAGAGCTAGAATTGGTCAAAATTCTAACCGAAGCACTTGCCATATCTGTTAACTTTCTGTGAGATACAAACCTCTTCTGGTGGCAGGTCGGAACCCTTGTCTGTCAGCGAATCACTGACCAAGTTCTTTTTCGTGGTGACTTCTGTCACGTGTCCCCCGAGATCGAGTTGCTGTTGACCGTCGTGCTCGGAGCCCTCCGTCACTGTCTGCTGACCCTGGTTCAAGTCTCCGTGTGCTGACGTGTTCGCACGGGAAGATCCTTTGTAGTCAGTGAAGAATCGCACATACAGACAGAAAAAAAAAAAGCAATCGTCAATAATGGAAGCCGAAAGCATACCATATTGCTGTTTGCCGAAGTCAGTCGTTGCAAAAGCTTAATTTCGTTGGTGTTTGTTGACTCTGAAAACGTCATCTGCGGCCTTTATCTCTCAAAGAGGAACATTTTATAGAAATAAGTGAGACAACAGGCTTGACAATATATCTGCACACATATGTCGGAGCAATACTGTAATTCGGCCAAGTCAGAGCATATTGATCTTGAAGTATTTGCGCAGGCACACAGGAGCCAAGATGAGAAGCATAAATTGGCGCAAATTTGCACCCGTTTTTTACCTTACGAAACATAGATCAGCAGCACGCAGATTAAAGCAGAGCCTTCGCGCTCTCTTGAGGGGAGAGGTCAATGTAGGCGTGATGTTCGCAAGCCTAACTTCGAAAATTTGAGACAGCATACGAGTTAAAATAAAAAAAAAATTGACTTCTTGGTATCTCTTCTCTCTCTCCTTTTCCTTTTTTTTTAAATGAATACGCAAAACACTCCTTCGAAACATGACAACGTGTGTGAGTGCTATCATGTGGGTAAACAGGAGCTTATGTAGTGTAAACATTAGTACAATTAGAGCACCATTCATTTTTTTCTTTAAAATTTTTATCCTCCCCGGACAACTAAAGTAAAAGTACACACGATATGTAGTTCTTCTAGATCAGTTTCTAAGAAAGCAAAAAAAAAATTTTTTACCACGCTCGCTCCAAACACAATTTAGCAAATAAAAATGTGTCGCGGAGGAAGAAAAAGGGCGAAAGGGAAACGATTAAGATTTTGTCGATCGTAAAATTTAGATGGAGCGCTATCCAAACAAGCCTGAAAATTATGTTTGCCCAAGGAGCGATGGCTAAAAGCTGCCTCCTCGGGTGTGACGTGGCAGATTGTGCGCCGGATCAGCATTGCCTTGAGCACGAAAACGTGTAGGCGTAAATATATTTTGACAGGCTTCAAGGGAGTTACGCAAAACTCCTGCAGCATGTTGACAAAAAAAAAAAAGAAACTTGCATGTCTTTAATGCCCTTATCCTGCCCATCTGTTTGCAGCTCAGGAATAGTCGTCGTAACACCTTTATGCTAGGAATTTAGTCAGAATATTTTATGCTTGCGAATATATTTGCAATATTTTCTTCCCTTCAACGTTTGCAATGCTTCAAAATGGCAAGAAATGCAGTGGCACGTTTAGTGCTGTACATTTTTTTCTTAGCCCCCACTCTCGGCTCACTAGCTAAACTCGGCGTATTATTTTAAAGCACCACTACTATAGGCACACAGTATTGCGTTCAGCGGCGTTGTTATTGGTGCCGCCATTGCCGTGAGTGGCGTAAGCGATAGACATGAAAAAGTTACCGGTTGATACAATTAAAGGAGAAAAAGAATCACAGCATACCCATGGAGTAAATGATAATGAGTGGGGCAAAACGTCCGTATGTCTCTTCGTCCATGCGTACCTCTGTTCATCTGTCTATCTATCTGTTTGTATGTATGTCTGATACTGCCGGTTATGTCTGACGCCGGAAAAGGTTAAACTAAGAGGAGCTTTGCCCCTAAAAAGTAACATAACACGTCGGGTTGGCGGGGATTCGAACCGAAGCCTTCTGCGTGGCAGTCGAGTGTATTCCCACAGACACTGGTGCTTGAAACTGATTTGCAAAGGGACCACATACAGGCGCTAACCTACGTAACAAAAAAGGCGTGACAAAACACATGACAAAAGAGGAAATAACAACCAGTCATGCCACCCTGTCAACTACGCAACGAATGTGTGGTTCAATGCTTCCCACCCACTGCAATGTGCACATTCATAATTTGTCATCGTCATCAGCCACGTGCAGCATCAAGAAAGTGCGCGCAATACCATACAGATGTCTAGCTGGCACCTGGCTTACCCGCAGAAAAAGGGATGATGGTGTAGTTGCTGCTGTTCTACTGCACAAAAAAAAATATTTATGACGTATTCTATACCTTGCAGAAAGCCATAAATTGGGGGGATCCGTGAGCTTGGTATTTAAGAGTTGAACGCTATAGCAATATCCTTTCCCTAATGTGTATACTTCAAACACTTAGTGTATGCTTCCTATTGCATGACTTTACTCGAGAAGTTATAATTTTGGATAACTAGAATGTAATTGATAAAGTTGATAGTGGCTTGTGACAATGAAGATTTTTCATATGGCTGCATTTTGTGTAATGGTTGATTAGAATGCTTTATACCACGGGTATATGCGCCTGAAATCTCTTCGAACTCGCTATGCGCCCACTACGTGGTCTTAAAAGTCTGTGCCCTACTCAGTGGGTGCCGTGCTTTAAACCATGAACTCATTATGATGATCCCATATTTTAGCACCCGAGGGCAATGTACGCTTGCACCATGCGTAAGTACTGCGATAAGACATGTTGTATTGTTAAGCATGTGCAGGTTGCGTGTGTTTGTAAAGCATGCATTATTTTTACTGCATTTATAAGCAGAAAAAGATGTTTTTTTATGTATTTCCAAGGAGACGTGTGGCTGTGTGGCAAAACAACTGCTTGCCTCGAAAACAGCCTGGGTTCGATCCGCCCTCAGACCCAAAAACGTTCCTTGCATCTTTCTAGATTTGTCAGTCACGGATGAGTTGATAATTTTCCCCTTACAACCAATGACGCTGGCGCTGACACCGACGCTGATGCCGTGATTTCTGCGAAACGAGGTATTTAACGCTATCGCATCAGCCTAATAATCACGACGTTCTAAGTTTCTTTGCCTGTAGCCTCTAACGAAACAAGGCGAGATTTTGAGCACTCATGGAGGATGTTGACAATTCAAAGAGAGATCTGAATTTTTGTTACCTCGCGCAATTGAACAAAATGTCGTGCACCTCTCTCCATTTTTACCGATCTATATTCTCTGTGCCGCATTACGTTTGAGCATGAGAATAAATCCGCCATATCCACTGATCATGGATCCAGATACCTTTGAATGGGCCATCGTACCCGATTTGCGCTCAAAGTTTGTGTGGCGTGGGTTATTTCTTAGGTGGCCCCGCCGCGGTGGTCTAGTGGCTAAGGTACTCGGCTGCTGACCCGCAGGTCGCGGGTTCGATTCCCGGCTGCGGCGGCTGCATTTCCGATGGAGGCGGAAATGTTGTAGGCCCGTGTGCTCAGATTTGGGCGCACGTTAAAGAACCCCAGGTGGTCGAAATTTCCGGAGCCCTCCACTACGGCGTCTCTCATAATCATATAGTGGTTTTGGGACGTTAAACCCCACAAATCAATCAATTATTTCTTAGGTGCTCACATTGAAGTTCGCAAAATTTCAGCGTATTGAAGGTCAAAGATTTTGTTTCGGGGTCAGCTGCGCATGCAGTAGAGCTGTTTCGATTTTCTTCAGCATGACATTCGAATATGACCGCTTCGCAGCAGCTGAAACTCAGGTAGAAGACGACGGCTCCGCTGAATGAAGCAGCACCTGACGTCACACACACCATGGCAAAATAGGGGTCGCCGGCGGTGGACGGGGTTCAGAGCCGGTGGCTTCTAAGGTTCTCTCTGCGATGAAGTATTCTTTCACGCGCCCCTTTTTTGTGTATGTACGAGCGCAATTGACCTAATACTTCTATTTTTCGCATAAAATCGCAGTCCGGTGGGTGACCATATCATTCCTTATAAATTAGAGTTGGTTCAGAATTATTTTGAGAACAGCGCAGTCAGCAAACAGACGAATAGTAGCACATGTATGAGGGCTATTCGGTGCAATATTTCAGAAAGAAAGGAATTCGCAATAAACACAGTCACTCCTTTCTCGTTCTCTGCCCCTCTATCCTAAGTTGCAGCAAGGTGGCAAGTTGGGCTAGTTGGATAACGTCCATGATTGAAAATTTTTGTTGAAGCGCACTGAAGGCAAGCGCTGTCCTTGTCAGCCTCTTCTGTCCGTCTGTCCTCAGTGCGCTTCAACAAGAATTTTCAATCTATCCTGTGTGTTTACTCGCCTAAGGTGTGAACAAAGCAATGGCAAGTTAGAGCAATGGTTGTCGTCTGTTTCTTTGGCGTGCTGTGTTTATTGCGCGATCCTTCCTTTCTGAAAGAATGAACGAAACAAGCGCCCGGCTCGTTTTCCTCCTTCGTTCATGCACGACTGCGCTGTTTTTTTTAAAGATGTGCCTCTTAAGTTGATTCTTGCGTTCACTTCTTTTTTTATGCCTAGTGTGTGTAATTTACTCCAAGTTTTGAATCGTTGTTCGTGCATTTTTTAACACATTTATGTTAATGGGTGCTTGAAAATGCAAAGCAGATTAATTCTCTCTTTAGCTGTTGATTGCAATCTACATATACTCTACTTCATATGTTAGCAGTAGTTGTAATTACACTTGTTGGCATTGTGTATGTTAAAGATATTCCCACTCCTGCTCGGGCCCGAGTAAATGCTGCAGCATTTGTAAATAATAAAAAAAGATTTACCAGGAACACACGGTGGAACGAAAGGTGGGTCCCAGACACCGGTCAGGCTGCACCTGTACACTGGTGCCGCTCCGGGTGCTTGGAATTCGAGTCCTGCGGGACACGACACCTGACAGATGGTCTCGACGTGTGTGTGGTTGCAGTGCCATGACGATCCGCCAGCGCCCAGCGTGTGGCCGTCGCACAGGGTGATGGCTGCGAACGGCAAGTCGCGGTTCAGGGCTCTGTCGAGCACTCTAATAATAGCTTGCACGTGACGTGATGACACAATCGCACAGCATGGCTCCAAGTTGGCGGCGTGCATGACGTCAAGGCAGCAGAATCACACCGCTACTAACCTGCTTCAGTGCGATAACAAATTCGCCGGTTTGTTATTGGGCCTCTGTTCATTAATAGCGAAATAACTGGCATGTGATCTGCTGATAAAATTAATCTAACATCACAATGATTACGTCCCACCGTGTTGGTACTCCAACGTAACTATTTCAGCGACGTCAGAGCAAGCTGTATGTAGCGGCTATGGTGGAAACTGTGTCACCTGCTGTCGGAGGTCAGTCGGCGGGCCAGTTTTCGAACCCAGTGAGATCGCTTGAAGAAACAAACATTTCCGTTCTGAACAGGAATAATTGAGTGATACACTTTGTATGTTTTAAGCACATTCAGCGAGACTGTTTAAAAACCTTGAGGAAGGTTGCTTCAATCTTGCGCTCCATGCATATTTCTGTAGATGTCCAACCCGGTAGCAACTAACCTGTCACACAGCCAAGTTTGAAGGTGCTGTTTTGTTTTCTACCATGGTCGCTACAGTTCGAAAGAAGTGAAAAGTAAGAGAGCTCTCGTGCTTAGCTACAGGTGCGCGGTATTGAACCCCTGGTGTTCATTAAGAATGTTGTGAAATGAAGTTCTGGGACAATGTTTTTACTTGTTTTATTTTAATTGTGCAACAACACCATGTTAATTTTTGTTGCAGTCTCGTGCCATTTCTGGAAACACATTTGCCATATATAGAGGGTGTTCAGCGGCCTGAGTGCGAAGCTGTATTAAAGAGATCACACACGTTTTCAGGCTTTCGCTTAGGCCAGCCTGACAAATATGCTTATTTCAGCTCAATTTATTTCGAACTAGATCCTTCAATACAATGTGAATTATAAACATGAGACTGTTTCAGCGCTGAGAATTATATAAAGAATGAATGGAGAAAGCTGCTATGTGCTCCAACTTCGCTCTTGGTGCGAGAAATGAGCCTTGGCTAATAGAGACGAAAAAATATCATACTCACGGTACTGGCAATAGTCTCCCCTGTACTGGTTGGAGCAGACGCACCGGTTGTTGCCGTAGCAACGACCCCCATGGAGACATTGAGGCTGACACACTCCTGCGGGTCCCACGAAGAGCAAAGAAAGAAGGAAGATGAAGGGGGGATAGCTAGTGTATTTACACCGGAACTTGTGTTATTTAGTATTGGTTTATTGAACAGTATTGTGAGCATTCGGACAGGCCTATACAGGATGAGGGGAATAAAATTACACAAGTGTATGGGAAGGATAAAAATAAAGAAAAATAGGAACACAAAAAAACGCAAAAGCACACTGAAAAATTGGCTGAAAACTCCTCTGGCAATCAACATTAGAAACTTTATTTTTCTACAGTAAAGAAAAAAAATTTAAACAATTGTAACATTAGTCAAACGACATAAATGCGATTATAATTATAGATTCAATAAGTATCGCTCTACAGTATAATAAGGGAATGACATCGCATATTGAAAAGTACCGTGCAGTTGCAAGAATGTTCATATGAGCTTTTCAAATACACTTCGAATTTTGCTGTCAAAGCTATTCACTGCATAAAAATTATTTCTTTGCCAATGTATTCTGGATTTCATTTGCCCATTGAAAAGTTATGAAAAGAAATGTTTAAACTTGTTTTGTGCATTGCCAGTGATTTGTAGCATTGATGATATGCACGTTGAAAACACACAGTAGAACAATATATAATAGAGAATCTTTTTGAAATGGTAGTGCTGTCTGTGATCTTCGTGTTCACTATTGTCGGTAATGTACAGTGCGTATATACTCTAAATTTCAGTCTATAATGCGGGCAATTCTCTCTGTTTTGCTTGGACCAGCTGTCCTCTAACAGTGAGCGGAAACTTCAAAGGCTTGCAATTAAAACTTTACATGTTTTTTAGCAAAAAAAAGATTTCACAAAACATTGATCAGATCTCTTCATTATCGTTTTATTTAGTTGCTTTCTTTATTTCGTGCAAGATAGATCCTCATCGTGCGCATTTCCCATTTTAAAAGTACTTAGGAGATCTGCGATCACTATGATAAATATATGTAGTGACCTTGCTAACTGTTGAGACTAAAACTTAATTAAAAACTTGTGATGAGATCCACTGTATACGTGTCTCAGGATGTCTGTGCATTTGGAAGATGTGGTTTAAATAGATCCAAACATTATCATATGTACAGTTTTGAAAATGTCATCTATTTCAACTCTTCAGTAAAACTATGCGATAAAAAAGCCGATTACTCCAAAGCCGAATCTTCACTACATCCGTTACTTTTTCCTTTTAACCTCCTATATAATTTTAACCTCCCATAATACATGATAGCCCAGCACGTAAGTTGCCGTGCTTCTGAGCTCGAGAGCGTGGGCCACGGCAGCTGCACTTCAATGTGGATGAATTGCAAACACCAGTGTGCTTAGATTAAGGGGCGCTTCACAGAACCCCAGGTGGCGAAAACCATTCCACTGTTATACCCCCCCCCCTCCACCCCCATTCTCATCAGTTATAATTGTTATCATTCCCGTTTCCCTTCCCAAAATGTTTTGGAGCCAGTAGTAGGCCATACTACCTTGACCCTTCTCTCTACTTATATTGATATGTAAACGTATATTAAGAAAAAGAAATGGCATTGGCTTATCTTAGTTATGGATGGGTACACGTGCCGAGAAGTGCGGTTAATCTTCTTGTTTAGCCTTGTGGTCTGTACGGTGTTTATCAAGGGACAAAATAAAATTCATAAATAGACTTATCAGGTGACTCCCACGTGCGTGATCCGCATGTGCACCCGTTTTTTTTTTATTATGTCATTGCGACTGTCACTCGTTCATTGTCTTTTGTTACCTCTAAGTTCACTTTCTTCCTATAATTAGGCTCAGTTGGAAGCTCTACGCCTGTGTATCTGTTCCTATAATCTTTTTTGTCTTCATCACACAGTTAGACTTTTTCGAAACTGTTACGGTATCCTCGAAACGTGTGGCTCGCTCTTCCTCCTCGGCTCATTGCCTCTTGGTTTCAATCTGATGACGAAGCCTGACAGGTTCCCTAACTCTCTTTCCATATCTGCTGACGAACCTCACCGAGCTGACTCTTCTATACTGTGTACGAGGCAAAGGCGGATCCTTTTCTGTTGCCGCGAGCCGTCGTCTCCGGCTTCTCCTATGACGTCATGCCATGGAGTATAGCGACAAGACTGCAGCTGATGTGGCTCTCCCTACAAAACTAACATAATTTCTTCTTAAATGCTTCGTAAAACCTATATTTAAAAAATAACGTTGAGGGATATAACGTTGAGGGAAATAACGTTGAGGGAAACAACGTTGAGGGCCCCACAAATTTTTCTTATTTTTTTCTTTATAGAAAGCACCTCGTGCGAGGGATTATGGGTCAGTTTCTAGCTAGCAATAAGAATACGTGCTTCATGGCACTAGCCACCAAAAAAGAAAAAAAGTGTTCCACGCTCGCTCTCATTGCAAACTAGCGTCACTGACTGACAATCCCACGTTTGCAATGCCCATATATACTTTATAAAGTGTACGGAGTAGCTCAGTTTGCAGAGCATCGGATGCGTCATTCGAACACTGCAGCTTCGGTGCCAGAGGCAAGTTACCTTTTCGTCTACTTTTACAGCGAAAGGAGTCATGAGATCACAACAAGGATCGCGCACGTTGTAATTGTCTGCCCCCGCCGGTGTGCGTAATCACTATCGTGTGAAATAAGAAAAAAAACTGAGTTATTGAAAAACACCAACGACACAATGGGATTTGAACCCGGGTCTCTTACGCGACAGCCCAGTATTCTACGAATCAGCCATGCCGCTGTTTTTTTTTAATGTTATGCATTCACTCAGCGAGAATGATCGCACAACTATTACACAACCATTCAAAAGCGCACATACATATATACATATAAAGTCCAGAAAAATAAGATAAGTCCTTCAAAAAGTTTATAGCGATGAACAATTCATCACGGTGGAGTGCCAGTCTGGTCTGAAATCAAGTTCTTCATAAATGTCGTCTCTGCGATGTACTAGAGAAAATAGAACACTACTTTATTAGCTGCAAAGATGCCATTCTCTTTTGGGACATCCTTCAACGAACCATAGAAAAACATTTTACAATTAATTCATATATACTATACGTTATCTTCCTCCGACATGTCTTCATGAAGTGCCTTTTGATATGTCTTTTCTTATGGGACTGCGCAGTCTGTGGAAAACGCTCATGCAACACTGTATATACTGCAGAATCAACGACTGCTACAAGTATGCAGTTCATGCGTATGGCTCTTCAAATAATAAAAAAAGCAACCATGCCGGTGCTTGACACGCCGTTGCAAACTGGCTTTAGGCCGCCTTCAACCAAATGTCATACCACGCGGATTGCGTAACGAGTCGGTAATCGAATGCCTCAACCCATAACGCTTCAAACATAGCTCTTCATTTTCGTCAGCCACAGCATAAAAATGACACATTTATTCCAAATATGTATCGGGTACCATGTTTAATCGTAGAATGATGAAGGATGGCATAGTGAATTTCCCCCCAGAAGCCTTTTAGTAGAACTTCGTTCATAAGTACTGTTGTATAGTGCTTATAGAAAGGTCACTCTACGCTTTCTTTGCCAATCCGCCAGAGTGGATAAGTGCCATAGAGGAATCAAGCCAAATTGAATGCCTCCCTATTACACAAAAATTATTATTATGATGATTTATTGCGTAGTGGGTACTCTGCAAGCGTACTTGTAGCCATCATTCCAAAGAGTGTGCAACAAAGTTTAAGCTCTATAAAGACCACTCTTTCAACTTTCGCTGTGAATCTGTGAATGTGCTGCGCAGGCTTGGTGTTTTTTTTTTCTTCTTCACATTTGAATTACAATTACTGCCAATACATTTCTAGGCTTTCTTTTCTGTTTGTCTCACAAACAATAACGGGTCCTCACAATTCCCGTTCTTTCACGTGTAAAGCAGGTTGTACTTAAAAAAAAAATCGGTGCATTTCTGTCGGGGTGTACAAACCTGCAACAGCCAACACGCTATCTGCCCTGTATACACACCTTCGCAATCGGGAAACCGCTGAAGTGGCGTCCACTGGCGTGTCGTGAGATCACAGTTCAGTGTCATGTGACGTCGCCCGTCGGGAAACTGGAACCCAGTCATGCAGTTGGCTGTGCACCGCCTAGAAGTCATGCGTATGAAAGGCCACATGTATTATAGCAACAGTACGAAACATTTGCTTCTACGAGCCCCATGACAGCGCATTTTCTTTCTGTATGGATATTTATTTTTGCTGACATCCGATATGTGCGCGTACTGACCGAATGTCAGCAGTAAATAAGGGGGTCGTCAACACCTCTGTCAAGTTAAACGGCGCATGACATATTCCAAGTCCGCTTTCAGCTTTGACTTGGAAAGAACCAAGACTACAAAAATAAGTAACCATGTCGCGCGTAAACTTGAGCAGCAAGCAGAAAGTGGTCGAACATGTGCGATAAATGTCATAAGCAGTGTCGTATACAGAACTGTAAGCGCGAACATTTTCATAGCCTCGTCACATATCGTATGATGTCACGTGGCAAAAATATCTATCTCGTATCCGCAGCGACATGCTTGGTGTAACTACAATATTTTAGCTTGCTTTATTTTTTGTTTTTTGCGCAATGCCAAACTCAGACGGCAGCTCTAGTGCTCATCAGCACCGTACGGTACTAATGATCACCGTTGACGAGGCAAGCTTTTAACGCCAAACTACACTGATATTAAGGACCCTCACTGGGCATGCTCGGCTCATCTCCCCTCCATCTCCCTCTCACCCCTTTCATCCCTCTCTCTCCTTCTTTTTCGCTCGACTTCACGCTTTGCTTGACTCGAGCAGATGTGATGGAAGCAACAGATGCCAATAGATGGCAACTGCTCGTGAACGCGAGCATGTTGCGAAAGGGGCGGGGTGAGCCAAGCAGTTTGCGCAGCCAGCCGCTCGTTTCAAACGCGGCTTCGAAGAACACAGTTGTAAGGTGTGCGACTGACGGCGGTGGCGACAACGACAACGTTAACAGCGACAACGATGACGACGAGAGTCTGCTGGAGCCGTTGAAGTCGTACTTGGTGTGCGCATCGTGTAAGGACTCGTTCGTGCGTGGGCACATACCGTCGAGGAGCATATAACATACGATTACCGTTACCCGCCTCCGCCCTCACGCCTACCCGAGATGAACGCTACCCGTTGAGTCCCAAACCAGACCCAATTACGCAGCAATCACTAACCCCCCCCTCCCCCCTCACTCTGAGACATATTTACTCGAGTTCTCCCCATGGGAAGATGCGGGAGGCTTTTTTTTATTTATCTGTCGTGACACTGTGTTTTTGAACGCGTGAGAAAGGCTTGCCTTTTTACGCGCACCTCAAACGCTGAGCGGCGTCTGCGTCCACATGAAACGCTGGTGGTGCGCCTCCGTCACTTCCCACAGCGTTACGAGACGCGCGCCAAAATGAATTAGCGTAGGGCAGAAGCTCCGCCTCCGTAGCTTTCCTTTCAGTGCCAAGAAAAATTGTGGCCGAGTATACTCGTAGAGCGAGCTACGTCGACAGCATGACAGCTCACGACAGCCCGACCCCCTCAAGCGCTCCGGACTCCGGATTGGCGCAGCTTCCATTTACTCACGGAAGGATGGGTCACAGCAGGCACATTTCTACCTGTATTATTTACTATGTGTACAGAGGTGGTGATTAAGCATGGACCGGTTAATCGTCACATTACCTTAATATCTATACAACACGCCACGAAACCCGTACTAACACAGCTGTGCCGTAAAACGAGTGCACGCTCGCGGCCCGGTCACAACAGCCGAGACGGATGTTGAGACATGTCCTCGAATCCCTGTTGCGGAAACGGTGCCTCAGCTCTTATTTCTGGTCAGATGAAAAACCAAGCTGAAAACAAGGAAGCCGCTTCTTGTCACCGCCACTGCAAATGAACGGATGTGGTCGCGTCGGTGTGAACGATCAGGCGCGCCGTCGTCTTGCGAAAGCATGCCGGATGGAACTTCACTGCTACTTCATTATGGCCGCTCATATATGCCCATTCAGGAGGCACTTCTTTATGCACTCGCGAGACTATGAGGTTAGGCCTATAGATACGCATGATACAGCACCATCCTGTCAAGACCTTCTGAAGCTCTTCTTTACTGACTGAAACATGTTAGAGCAAAGCAAAACCGGCGAACGCAAGATCGAAGACGAGGGCTGTGTTCCAATACTCCCCGTAGACGGCTAATTAGACAACTAATTGGACGGCGGCCATCTTAAGTCCCATTCCAATTCTCACGTAGCCAGCAAAGTAGACAGCTCCGAGAAGACCGCATCGTAGACAAATACGATGCAGGCTACTTTGCTGTCCAAAGAAGATGACTGCTCAGCGAATTGCTCAAATTGATGAAATCTCGCCAGAATGGCCGTCTGCACACAAGCAGACGCTTTCCCAGACGCTCAATGTGAGTAACATTTATTTGTTTTTGATTACAACTGTTAGGTTTGTTTCTTTTAGCTTTTACTTCTCGACGCGAGGTGGCGCATCATCGCGTAAAAGCATTCTAAACGTGTTCCAATTCTCGAACAGCATGGGCTCGGTGCGGTCTTCTAAGCAGTCTGCGTAGACTGTCTACGTGCTGTCTAAGAATTGGAACACAGCCGAGGACACGTGCAACTTGCATCCATAGGTAGGCAAACTCGCTCATAAGTCGACTCACACATATTGAAAGTAAATTTAGTGCGACAGTCATCGCCCATCAGCAAGTTTAAATCTACTTGCTCAGACTAAGTCAGCCTCGTGTATAGCCGTGAGCGAGTTAGGGTCAGTAATATTTTGTCGAGTTAGGCCCACTTAGTCTGGTTGAGCAAAATTTTATTGAGTCTTAGTTTGAGTGAGTTCCGCTAAATTATTGTTCAATGTCACTCCAAGTGAACCCTCATTCAATTTTTGATTGAGCCTTCCTTATTTGTGGCATATGGTCTTATCAGCCAGGACCTTCCCTCGCGAACTCTTTCCCAGGGCGTTCTGGATAGGAATATTTTTTGAGTCGTATAATTCACATAAACGTCATTGTTGGATTGCAACCACTGATAACTTGTATTTGAAGCTGCAAGATTAAAAGGCATACCGTAGGACACCGATTATGCAAGGTATTTGTGTTAAAGAGCACCGGGATGAGAAAGGCTTAACTTACGCTAGCGGACTCATAAGCCGGCTCACTCAGGCTGAACTCAAGCTATGATGCTGATTCTGAATGAGTCCGGATGAATAGCATGTTGATAAGTTTCAGCCCGAGTGACCTCACAGGGCAAAATGTAATTCTTGTGTGAGCCTGAGTGAGTTACAATTTCTTTTTGCCGACCTATACAGACAATGTTGTATTATCCGGCAAAGAAAGGTTCCACATATATATCCTTATGTCATGCATGCGCGAATCAACCATCATGTGTATATCAGTGGTGTCGCAACATAATTCACGTTCGGGGTCCGGCAAAGTGATAGACGGTTTCCTTACGCAACGATCTGTTCATGATGCGGCGATCTTCAAAAGCGAGTCTCGAAGAAATGTTACCACTTCTTCCCAGAGTGATTATGTCCGAAAGTATCACAGTAAAACCACGTGCAGTGACATGGGCTGCTATATGTACGCCCTTTTCTTCTTTCTTTTTTGTTTCTTTCTGCCTTTTTAGGGGCGAAGCTCCTTAGGGCGTGGGCTGTGCGTCCCCTGTAGCCTGTATGTAGCCACCTCTAGTTTAGTTCTTGCAGTGTTCACTAGATGGTGGTACCGTCCCCTGTATGTAGCCACCTCTAGTTTAGTTCTTGTTGTGTTTACTAGATGGTGGTACTTGTAGCTGATGATGAAAAGATGCAAGATGTTATAAACTAGAAAGCGGTACTTGTAGTTGATGAAAGACGCGAGATCTTATAAAATAGGAATGATGTCACATATGGCGCGTGTCATTGGTTGAAGGCAATCGTTCGATTTAGTGCGGCGACGTACGCTAGGGGGAGCGATGTAATAAAATCGAGTGGGCAAAATGTACAGAGGATCCATGGTTTACCAGGTTTACCTCCGGAGCTTCGCCCACTCATCATCATTCACTTCGTGGATATGGCGGAATTTTTTTCTATCTTCCTTTCTTTCTTTTTTCTTACTTTCTTTCTATCTCTTTATTTCTTTCTCTTTCTTTTTTTCTTTATTTCTACGGCATCTCTTGGAACCTGTATCGTTGTTTCCGGACGTAATAACACGACACTTACTTTTGCTGTAGAGTCCAAACGTCAAATAATTTATGCTAATTTATGTCCTCGAAACACATCATCCTCGTGTTCTTATTCTATGTTCTTCCTAGTGCATACTTCACGGTCCCGAAACATTCGCTGAACATTTACGTTTGTACGAATTGAAATGGATGCGTGGTGCCTCGTCCATTTTGAAATCTCTCAAGTTTCCGCAGAAGTGCGGATCTCTTACTTCGTATGTTGAATACACTCACATGCTGTCCCGTTTCCTTTGGCAAGATGTGGACGCAGCACTGGGGTTTGGTGGAACGTCGCAGAATGCACTGGCTGTAAGGAAACAAATAAAAATTGGGTTTCATGAAAGTGCATTTTTTCTTCCTCTGGTTTCATAATTTTTTTTTTTACTCCTGGCCGATCCATGAAAAAAAAAAAAACTTTCTTTGCGCAACCGTTGATTGAGCTCAAGCTGGCAGTATGCTCAAGTAGTAAAGACGACGACATATGGAAAGTCTTAACACACTAAGAAAGAGAGGGAGAGAGATAGATAAGGTGTGTAATCACAATGTGCGTCTTTTTATCTGATTCTAAGGAACGCATATAAAAATGTAAATAAATAAAAAAAGAAATCGAAAAACGTCGCTTGATTCACTTACAGAAGGAATAAAAAAAGTCCCTCGAGACGACGCTAAAAAGAGCAAAGGCGAACCTATGATCTCTAGAGCCTATAGGCTTACTCGGACGTACTCATTCTTTGAGTTGCAATTAGTTTCCCAGTAGACGGCACTGTTCATCCTTTTTCGTGTCCCCATTTACCCTCTTGTGGAGCTTTCTTGAGGTCACGCGTTATAGTACAAACCTTTGAACAAGCGACAATGTCATGAGATGACGTCATGTAACGTAAATTTGGTAGCATTCGTATTGTCAACGCTGAACACTGGATCTTTTTTTTGTTATATAATGCCTTAGCTCTAGAAACAAGCGCTATTGTAAAACTGTTCACCAAAGCACTTCATGGATGGAGCTACATAATATTTTGCGTTATTAATTTAATTGAAGACGGTCCTTATTTTCTGGGCCTAGATTCTGGAATAACCCTATGCTCTGGTGATCCGTTACTAAATTCACTTCATGGGTAAGCTCTCCTTTGTAGCGCACGAACCTAAAAGAAATATATGACTGTGCTACTGCTGTATATATAATCATGATTACAATCATTAGTACTATTCATCCAAAGGGACATTTTTACTTAAGTTTACAATAATCATCAGATATTCCCGTCAAAATATAACACAATATGTAGATTCATATGTGAGTCAGTTTGTGCGGCTGTTTCAAGGGCTTGACGTGCACTCAGAAGTGTGTTAGCGCATGGTCTGTTCCGTTAAATGCCACTTTTGTGTAGTTTGTGTGGAGTGTTGAAGTTCACTCGAGCTGTTTATTATAAAGGATGGCTTGCTGGTCCCGTCGATAATTCATACCGTATAAATGAACAAACAGACGACACAAGAACAAGCGTTCTTCATGTGTCCTCATGTGTTCATGTCGTTCATGTGTTCATGTTATTCATGCCGGAGTTCACCGCCGCTCCACTGGCATATTTCCGTGAGAGATATGACGTTGTAAATTATGTACTAACAAATTCGAAAAGAAAAAAAAAGGAGGCAAGAATCTATCACGTGGAGCCGAACCTGCAACCTCCCGATTCGCCACGCTAAACATTATGTTATGGAGCGTACGTTGTTTGGTATACTAACGGCAAGCTATATATATATATATATATATACGCGATGCACTGTGCGGTGGTACTCAGAGCTCAGAAACTTTAGCGCATTTTTAGTATAAATAGCGAGATGGCGAGACGGGCTCGCGTTGGCTAAAGCGTTGGGCGCGCTCTAAAGGTCGTCGCCTCCACGGACCGCCTCCTCCACGGAGCGGAGGATGGTAGTGTATATGTGTTTTGTGGCGGAGGTCACTTCGCTCGGTGCAGCGGTCGTGTGTACGAAAGGAGCGTGCTGCTGACACACCAAGAAGTAAGAATTGAGACTCTTTTTCGCGCTTGTCTGTATATCTGTGCGCTCGTTTCGTGCGCCTGTCTTTCTGTTTGAACAGCGTGCTTTAAGTGTTGAGCTGTGACAGTTGTTAGTCTGCGTTCGTCCTGTGTGTGCTAATTTTGTGCGTGCTTTCTGCTTGAGGTTTGCTCTGCAAGTTTTGAGCTGCCTGCCGCGCTTAACGTGATTTTGCAATTCGTTGCTGTTGATGAAACAATGTACGATAAAGTCTCAACTAATTTTAAAAGTTTCAATGTTGATGAAACAAGACACGTTTCACTTTTTTTGTGTTATACCGATTCCTGTGAGGGGGTACCAGCCACGTATATTTTTTTGTTGTTGAGCTCATTAACGGGGCACCATAAATTTTTTGTTGTCGACGTCGTTGGTTGTAAAAACACCAATGTTCGTGAATGAGCATTTGTGATACATGTAACTGAATAAATACGTACATAAACATTCACTACAAGTGAAAATCTAACTCAAACTGCCATATTGGTCTAGTCGATATAGCATCGACTCTTGACACGCGCGTCTTGGGATCGAATCCGGGACGTGGCAGCAACATTTCTCATGGAAACAAAAATTCTTGAATCCGTCTATTTAGGTTTACGTGCACGTTCAAGAATCCATGGAAGTCGAAATTTTCGTAGCCCTACACCACGGCGTCCAATAATAATATCTGGGTTTCGGAGCGTTAAGACCTTGAATAAATATTAGAAGTATGACCCAGGTATTCTGCGCAGCAAGCAGGCGTTTAGCCACAAAGCCTTGCATAGCTTGAAACTGCTTTGGCGAAAATAAAAGTGGTAAATGAACGTCGAGTAGTAAAAGGAGTTCCCCTAAATCAAATTTTGCGTGGCAGAATCATAGTCACGCCAGGCGTCGATACATGTGCATTGCGCAACGAGTCGGTGGTTTAAAACTGCCCGCCCATTACAAAGCGGGAAGCTACGCAGGCGTGCGTGGCACCTCACGGACGAGTAGTACGTGGGCACTTCGCAACCATGCCTGCAGTATAGGCATTTCTGAAATTTGAAATGGCTTATATTACGTGCCCGACCGTTCTTTTTTTTGCGGCATGGGTGAAGATAACGCGCATGCTACCAGATTGTGCTGTGGCGTTCTACTATATTTTAGTCTTGTCTCCCGCCATTCTGTCGGTGTTAAGAACATGCAGTTAAGGCAAGACGTGTGTCACGTTTTACACGCAAAAGTTGTGACTGTATCAACCTTTTTTTACGCAGTTTGCAGTCATTGCCTCATATGATGATGATGATGATGATGATGCGGAGGAGGAGGAGGAGGAGGAGGAAGAGGGGGAGGAAGATGATGAGGATAATAAGAACCCTTACTGTTTCGAGACATTTCGATTCTCTCCATGACGGGACTCTTGATGCCGCCGGTGCCAGAGTTGTGGGACATTTCAATCCTTTCCCTGATTGGGCTCTTGAACTGTCCATAGCCGTAATTTTTCGTTTTGACCCTAAAAATAGGAAAAAATCAAAACTTAATATCAACAGCAGCGCGCAGAAACGCAGGGTTAACCCGAGAAACTGATGGGTGAGCGCCCCTCTAGCACACCCAGAAGTGCATTAGAGCCGCTTCCTTTTTTTTTTGTTATTCATCTGTTGGCAAACTTATTTGTAGGCCTTGTATTTGCGCATAAAACTCTCCTTCTTCCGAGCGTTTTTAATGAGGTCACATAGGTCTGGGCACGTTGGCATTCTTTAATGAATTACCTTTCTTCTTCGTCTAAATAAGAGAAATCTGAGCTTCCTTTGTATATTTGGAAGCCACAAGTTTCATCTTTGACGACGCCATTTTTGTATGTTTTTGTGGAAAAATGACAAAAAGCGAAAACACAAAAAAGGGCAACAGATAGTGCTCTGCAGAAAAATAAAGTGAAATCTGAAGCCTACGTCATTGAGCCCGCTCTACGTGCTCCGGGAAGTTTTTTTTTTTTTACGGCTAAAAATCGTGGGTCACATAGTTATTATGCCAGCGCTTCCTTCCCTTGCGTGCACTTTTTTATTTATCTTTTTTTTCATACCTAGGCAACGAAGAAGCTGTTGATTAATGAAGCTTCCTGGATATGAAGACGGCTATTGTAATCTATCGACGCCCATACGTGGAGACAGGCCTCCACACTCCCCTCCCCCTCTGCACGCTATTTGACTTCGGCCTTATTCTGCGTAAATTTGCGCCCTACAAGAAGATACGTAGATAGCTAGCAGGAGAAGCTATTTTCAAAAGATCTTTTCATTAATTGAAAGCATTGGCAAAGCTGGCCGCATGTGCCTGAAGTTGGCGATGGTAAATTTTACAGCAGAATAAGTATGTGAGCGTTATTGATAAGCGCATGCGCTATCATACGCGGGAAGTTGCGAAAAACGCCTCCTGATGCTCTGAAGGTAATGAAATAATACAAGCACTTGTATATAACGACGGCTATCACACTGCGTTTTTGATAAGGATTATAGAGTTCAAATACTTGTGAAAGCCTTGAGACGAGGTGGTGTTATACGACTAATCCAGAGTCCACCACTGCGTCATTACCAACGAAGTGGTGGTACCAAAAGAAGTACCAACGCTGTGTGGTTGCAAATTTATAGGTTGTATGAATTTTAAAATGTATAAAATTAAAAAGATACATTTATTGCTTATCTAGTAAGTTTTGTTTTATGTTTAGGTTGCCACTGAATATGGCACACTAATGAAACAAACGCAAAATTGTAGCCCCGTTTCATGTAGATGATGCAAATTATAGCATGTCTCGAACGTTAGCTATATCTCATAGTTTTAGTTTAAGAACCTGGTAGTTTAATGCGGGTGCCAAAATTATTGGACGCTAACTACGAAATGAAGTCGATGAGGGTGGCGATTTGGGCTTTTTGGTAGAGTAGCATGATAATTGATTGTGAGCGCTGTATTTTCTTGAATGTGCCTCTTTTTTGTCCGTGTCCTTTGTCTTCGCTACCATCAATTATCAGCACACCAACCACGTCTCATCTTTTACTTGATAATGGCTAACTGAAGAACCAGCACACATGCAGAAGAACACTTGGAAATTTGTAGTTTTAACGTCCACTAGGGAAAGCGGTGCTGTCATACACTTTAGCAGCTGTAATATTTTCGACCATCTAAAATTCTGCGATGCACACCTACGTTAGAAGCGTGAGTGTCCTTGTATATATGTCACACAAATCAGTCACCCAGCTGCACCGCATTGAACCCGGGACACACCTTTAAGAACGTAACTTCATTGTCAGTTTAACAGGATGACGAATCCTTCAGGTGTGCATTCGGAAAATTTGAACTCAAAGTAAAATGGGAGATGACAATGAGTAAGAGGTGGACACCTATTCTAAATAAACAACTCAAGCAGCAAAGGAACCAAATACGTTAGCATCAGCAATAAAAACCCACTGCAAATAATTCCTTACTTCCCGCAGCCAGCCTGCTCTTTTGGCCATGGTGACGATGGTGTTAGATTTGTCAACACTTTCACACTGTGCCCTACTCTCCAAAACTTAATTTGACCCTGCGCAGTTTCTTTTTGTTATAGTTGCGAATACCTGCTAAATTGGTACGTGCGGGTAGAAAGAAGCCTTATAATAATTTTTTGCCTCACTATAACGATTTTAATTTGCATAGCGCCACTAAACATGTGGACACACAAAAAAAGGTAGACAGACAAGAGTGCTTCATAGTGCATGCACCTTTCTTGTGTCCAGTCAAATAGTAGCGCTATACAATCTACCATTATGATTTGCCAACACGCCCACTCCTAAACCTCAGGGAGTCTCAGTATAACAATCGTCTCGACGCGGTGTGATATCTCACTTACCCTCGCGCGGCTTGGACTCCGTGCAAGGCGATGCCGCACACCAGGACGACGGCCAGGCAGATGGACGGCCGACGCATGGCGGCCATTCTTGGAAATGCCTCCGACCACCGTTATTTGAAAAAACACGGTGTGGAGGCTCGAGCGTCAGGAAAGAAGTGAAGACGTCCCCGAACCGAGTCGGGGGTCCCGAATGCCGCAAGGTCGGGGTGAGAGCCGGCTTTCTTGAACCACCATGGCCACGTGACCAGACCTCTTCTCGAGTAGACGTCATCGGCCGCGCTCTCGTCAATTACCTATCTCGCTCTTTATCGCTCTCTCTCCAACACTCGGTTGCTTCCTTTGTGCGTGGTATAGTATAGTACGCGTTGACATTCTCCTACCACATGCCGGCAGCGTTTTCGTGGCACGCAGCCGCGGCTGGCTGCCTCGCATATCTGGCGTTCTTCACGCGCTTCCTGCGGTAACGGGTAATGAGCTTCGACCGCCGACTTCCTCGGAGCGGATGCGACGCCCTCTCCTTCGCGGCTGCCGTATCAACACGTCGGTGAAGCCTACGCCTTCTTTTTTACACAACGTCTAGATCGGGGAGCAATAACAGCTTCGAGGGCTTTGTAACGATTTTGTTCTTTTCTTTACTTTTTTTTGTGATTCAGAGTTTCTCTCGTGGGTCGGCACATAATTTAAACAATATAAGCTACGGGATGGAGCTTGAGATCGCATGTTTCCCAACTCGCTGCAAACATAGTGACGCGTTTGGTGACAGCGATACCGCCGCTAATTGCTAGTTTATGCTGATTAGGCTTCGACCTTGACCTTGTGAAAGCTGAATGAAGTGTCAAACGGATGCGCACGCTGAGTAAAATTGAAAAGTGTATATGAACATGGCAGATATCCGAGATTGTGCTAAACATTTCTCATCATGTTTTCATTAGAAAATATTCCTGGGGTGACATTTGTGCTTTGTAAAGTTTCGTGCTCAGCGGACACATTTTGTGTTAAAAAACTAAATGCGTTAGTGAGCAGCTGTGCCTTTGCATATCAAGGCTGGCACAACAGATTGGCACCAAACCTCTCCTTGTATCACCATCATCGTCGTCATCACCATCATTATCAGCTTAACTACACCCACTGCAAGGCAAAGGCCTCTCCGATGTTCTGAAGTTTAATTCAATAAAGACTTTTCTAGCCAGCCCCACCGCAGTGGTCTATTGGCTAAAGTACTCGGTTGCTGACCCGCAGGTTGCTGGAATCGAATCCCGGCTGCGGCGGCTGCATTTGCGATGAAGGCGGGAATGTTGTCGGCGTGTTTTCTGACTTACACGTTAAAGAAACTCAGGTGGTCGAAATTTCCGGAGCCCTCCACTGCGGAGTCTCTCATAATCATATGTCGGTTTTGAGACGTTAAACCCCACATATCAATCAATCGACTTTTTTAGCCAGTCGAAAGCGGTGTTGTACGGATACCAGTTATGAAACATTTAAATGACGATATTGTTGTGACCAGCAGGAGTTCCAGTAATCGTGCCTCACTCGTCTTTTATTCAACTCTCAGCTTCAAACATTTCATCCATTTCTGCTCTTAGGGCAAGTAATTTAGCTTTTTCAGTGAGGGTAAAGTACACTGTGACATACCACGTGCCTGCAGTGTCTTTTGTGACGGCTATCGAACCTTGGCATCAAGACATTCACATGTTATACCCACATCTTCTCGTATAATCTGAAAAATAGGCTTATAGCTTGAACTAACAGATGCCGCGGAAAAGCTTCTTCATAGCGAGGGCCTCGTTCTCGCTGACTTGATGCCTTCAGGTGATTATCGGTCAGCTCATTTACGCCTTCAATGTCTGTCGACGTGTCCAAGACAGATGCACGAAAGCCATTTTTAGACTGCCAGCAACCATGTATGATGCATTTTCTGCAATGTAAAGAAATTCTTTATTGCGAAATCTCAAAAGTGATTTTTTTTTTTGTCAAACTCTCATCTAACCTTGAAAAGGCAATACCATGGTCAACCACTAAATTGATGTTTTTAGCGAAGGATAGTAGTGGGTGGTTCTCTGTACCTTTACATATATTAAAAATGGACAAAAAAGATCACTTCATTGCAAACTGAGTTCTAGAAATCACCGGCAATAAACCCCACCTACTGCCAGCAACCGCCTTTAGGCATGACGTGTATGACGTCAGACGCTATCGAAGTTTCAGCCGCTGCGAATCGTTCACTTCTGATTTAAAAGCTGAAGAAAGCTGAAATAGCAGCATTGTACTCGCAGCGGCCCCCAAAACAAGTCCTTGGCGAAAACCCGGACGCTCGCAAAGCGAGCGGCTAGTTACGGCACGGCTCGTGAGTGTTATTGTTAACTGACTATCGGGTCATTCACTTGTTTATAGAAATGTTTATTATAGTTTAAATGCTTGACAAAGTAGGCCGAAGTTTCGCCAGCTTCTTCGTATAAACCTGAGGATTAACACTCATAACATATATTGTGAGCTTCAATTCGTTGTCACTTAAGCGCGCTTGTGCTTGTCACTCGGAGCTTCAACCCACACCCGATTGAGAATTCGCCCCGCCTGTGGGCTTCCGGGCATGCCCAGAACATGCGACTCTCAAAGCCACCCTGCCGTTGCAAAACTTACGCTTGTTCAAATGAAGTTCTGGCTCACAGCGGTCTGTGTTTACCGGTCTCGGAACTTCTGTGTGCTGTAGGACTCATTCTACTGCTTCGCCTATGAGGCTGCGTGCCTTGTAATTGAGAACTCGACAGGCAGTGGTCCCACGGAAAGTATAGGGGATGTGAATACGTGTGAAGCAAAGTGGACGAAAAGATGACTTGCTGTCACTTGCTGACTTGCTGTCAGTTGCAGGTTTGGCAGGGACCGAACCTGCAACCTTCGAATAACGGGTCCTATGATCTCGCTACTGAGCTACAGCGGCAGCCATCCCCCTCGTCACACTATAGTGTACATCATCATCATCATCATCATCATCATCATCATCATCATCATCATCATCATCATCATCATCAGCCTGACTACGTCCACTGCAGGACAAAGGCCTCTCCCATGTTCCGCCAGTTAACCCGGTCCTGTGCTTGCTGCTGCCAATTTATACCCGCAAACTTCTTAATCTCATCTGCCCACCTAACATTCTGTCTCCCCCTAACCCGCTTGCCTTCTCTGGGAATCCAGTTAGTTACCCTTAATGACCAGCGGTTATCCTGTCTACGCGCTACATGCCCGGCCCATGCCCATTTCCTCTTCTTTATTCCAACTATGATATCCTTAACCCGCGTTTGTCCCCTAATCCACTCTGCTCTCTTCTTGTCTCTTAAGGTTACACCTACCATTTTTCTTTCCATTGCTCACTGCGTCGTCCTCAATTTAAGCTGAACCCTCTTTGTAAGTCTCCAGGTTTCTGCTCCGTAGCTAAATACCGGCAAGATACAGCTGTTATATACCTTCCTCTTCAGGGATAGTGGCAATCTACCTGTCATAATTTGAGAGTGCTTGCCGAATGTACTCCACCCCATTCTTATTCTTCTAGTTACTTCAATCTCGTGGTTAGGCTCTGCGGTTATTACCTGCCCTAAGTAGACATGGTCTTTTACAACTTCAAGTGCACTATTACCTATCTCGAAGCGCTGCTCCTTTTCGAGGTTGTTGTACATTACTTTCGTTTTCTGCAGATTAATTTTAAGACCCACCTTTCTGCTCTCCTTGTCTAACTCCGTAATCATGAGTTGCAATTCGTCTCTGAGTTACTCAGGAATGCAATGTCATCGGCGAATCGCAGGTTACAAAGGTATTCTCCATTAACTCTTATCCCTAACTGTTCCCATTCTAGGCTTCTGAAAACCTCCAGTAAGCACGCGGTAAATAGCATTGGGGAGATTGTGTCCCCCTGCCTTACACCCTTCCTGATTGGTATTCTGTTGCTTTCTTTATTTAGCACTATGGTAGCAGTTGATCTCCTGTAGATTTCTTCAGGAATGTTTATATATACTTCATCTACGCCCTGATTCCGCAGTGTCTGCATGACGGCTGATAATTCTATTGAATCAAACGCCTTCTCGTAATCTATGAAGGCTATGTATAGTGGTTGGTTATGCTCTGAGCATTTTTCTATTTCCTGATTGATAGTATGAATGTGGTCAATTGTTAAGTAGCCTGTTCGAAATCCTGCTTGTTCCTTTGGTTGATTGAATTCTGTTTTCTTTACCTTTGTAAATAGCTTGTATACTACAGAGAGCAAGCTGATCAGCCTGTAATTCTTCAAGTCCTTGTCATCTCCTTTCTTATGTATTAAGATGATGTTAGCGTTCTTCCAAGACTCTGGTACCCTTCCCGTCAGGAGACACCTCGTAAACAGGGTGGCTAGTTTTTCTAACACAATCTGTCCTCCATCGTTCAGCAGATCTGATGTTACGTGATCCTCACCAGCAGCTTTGCCTCTTTGCACGCTCTCCAAAGCTTTTCTGACTTCTTTTATCATTACTGGTGGGGTGCCATCTGGGTTACTGCTAGTTCTTACAGTATTAAGGTCGTGGTTGTCTCGGCTACTGTACAGATCTCTGTAAAACTCCTCCGCCATTTTAACTATCCTATCCATAATGGTAGTTATTTTGCCTTCTTTGTCCGTTAGTGCATACATCCGACTTTTGCCTATCCCAAGTTTCCTCTTCACTGCTTTGACACTTCCTCCGTTTTTCAGAGCGTGTTCAATTCTCTCCATGTTATACCTTCCTACATCGCTTACTTCACGCCTATTAATCAACTTTGAAAGCTTTGCCAGTTCTATTTTGTCTGTTGTACTTGACACTTTTATGCTTTGACGCTTCTTAATTAGGTTCTTCGTTTCCTGAGAAAGCTTGCCAGGAAGGCATAGTGTATATAGGTGCATTTAAACATGCGAGTGATAGTTAGCGCCGCTAGTAGCCATCACAGGAAGTTTGACTTTTCCTGCCTGTTTCGTCACGTAGCACCCAATTCACGCCGGCGTCACGTAGTTCGCATGTATACGTGACGCCAACAAGCGGGAAAGAAAACTAGGACTGATGAGACTGGCCGTGAAGAAAAGTCCACTTGTCGAAATGTAGGGTCGAGCACAGAGCGCGTGTCGAGATTTTTTTTTATTAATTTGAACTAGTATCATCAACTTCACACAAGTGTAAGACTCCGGAATACTCGCAAAATTTGAAG